TTTTTTAAGTTTTAAAATTTAAACTATTATTTAAATAAACCTTTTAAATAATTCTACTTTATTTATATATCTCTAATATCTTTTATTATTAAATAATAAAATCTTTAACTTAAAACTATTAAGTTTAGCTTTATTATTATAATTATTATATTATTTATTTATTTATTTATAATATAAGGAAAAAATTAAATAAAATAAAGTATAATAATAACTTTAATATATTAAAATTCTATTTAAAAGAATTTTTAAAAATCCTATATTTTAGTTATTTTTATACTTTTTAAGTTTTTAATTTATTAAAGGAAAGAATATAAATTATATTTATTTATTTATTTATTAACCTTTTTTTATATTATAATATTATATTTATATATTTTTAATTTCATATAATATATTTATTTTATTTAATATTTTTAATAATTTTAAAATTTATAAAATTCTATTATAATATATAAAGACTTTAATCTTTAATAATATTTTATTTTATTTAGATTTAATATTTACCTATTTATTTACCTTTTAATCCTTACTTTTATTATTTCCTTTATTATGTTTACTCTTTTTATTATATTTTAAAATTTATTAAACTTTTTTATTACTTTTTATTATCTCTTTTATATATTTTATTTAATTAATTACTTCTTTTAAGTTACTTTAATTAGAATTTAGTATATTAATTTTATAAAAAAGTATTAATTTATAAATTATTAAATTAAGGAATTAAATAAAAGAAAGAGTTATACTATTATAATTTATTTAATAATATATTTATATATATATATATTAAAGTTTTATAATTATATTTATAACTTAATTTTATATAATAAATATAATTTATATAAGTTTTACTTATTATTATAAAGTAAAAATATAATAGAAAAAGGGTAATTAATATAAAATAGAATTACCTTACTATATTTATTTTTATAAATATAAATAGTTAATATATAATAATAAGTATAATAAAAGTAAAAGCTATATTTTAATAACTTTATAATATAATTAATAGTAATTAATATTATTATAGTTAAATAGATATTTATTAGAAATATTCTTTAAAAAGTAGAATTTAATATAATATATAAGAATATTTTATATAAGTTAATTAATATAAAGTATAATAAACTTATTAGTATTATAAGAGATATTATTTATAAGTTTAAATAACTTATTAATATTATTTAACTTTTAAATATAATAAAAGTAAATTTTTATTTATATTTATAATATAAATAAAATAGTTTAATTTATAATTTATTAATTAATTATTTAAATATTTATATTATTTTTAATAAATAACTTCTCTTTTATAAATTAAATATATTTAAAATTAATATTAAGCTTAATTAATTATTAAAAGTTTAAATAAATAATTTTATATTTAGTTTATTTATTAATATTATTAAAAGATATAATAGAGGGTTTATAAAAATAAAGTTATAAAGTTAGAATTATTATTCTAAAGAAAAGAAGAAAGAGAGTTAAAAGTTATATAAAAAGAAAGAAGAGTTTAAATAATAGTTAAAAATAATAAAAGTTATAAAGGAAAAGTTAAGAATTTATTTAATTTATTTAATTATTTAAATAAGTAACTATTTAAAGTAAATTAATAATAATTCTAATTATTTATAAATTAATAACTTAAAATATAATTTTTAACTTAATATAATTAATTTTAACTTTTTTAATAATTATTTTATAAAAAAGCTATAAAAGTCTTTTAATAATTATTAATAATAAAAGTTAAGTAACTTTTCTTTTAAATATTAAGTAAAAAGAAATTACTTACTTTTATTATTATTAAATATATCTTACTTTAATTATTATAATAAGAAACCTTAATTATTTATAACCCTTTTTAATAACCTTTATAATACTTTTTTTTTTTTTTTAATTAATTATATAGTATTCCCTAGAATTATAGGCTTTCTTATATATAAACCTTTTTTTATTATTTAAATTTGTTTACTCTATTATTTAATATACTATTATTAAATAAACTTTTAACTTTTTTTTAAATTATATATTAGCCTAAAGTTATTTTAATATAATACTTTTAAAAGATAGTAAGATAAAATAATTTATATATTCTTTTATATTTACTTAAATAATAATAAAATTTTAAAAAGACTTAAATATTATATAATTAATTTAATAAAGTTTTATATTTAATTAAACTAATTAAAGAGTATCCCCTTTTATATAAATATAATTTTAAAGCTTTAAATAAAGTATATTATTAATTACTTCTTTCCTAACCTTTTAATAAGAGATAAGTATAAAAATAGAGTCTATAATATTTATTTAATAAAATATTTTATATTTCTTTATAAATTAAAGGATTTATTTTAAATAATTAGAAATTAATTAATATTTATATTTAAATTAAAATAGACCTTTTAATTAATATTTATAAAATATAATTTATATTATTAATATTATAATTAAACTTATTAATAAAAAATATAATAATTAAAATATAATATTTAACTTAAAAATATATAATTAATTATTTTTATTATTTATATAATTATTAATAAGTATTATATATTTTATTAAGTTAATTATAAATTTAAAAATTTTTATAATTAATTTAAATTATAAAAGCTATAAAAATCTTTTAAAAATTATTATATATAATTAAATAACTTTATTTATATATATTTAAATAAAGAGGATTATAAGGTATCTACCTTTAATATAATATATCTATTAAATATTTTATAATTTTTAAAAGTATTTAATAATAATTTTATATTATTAATAACTTTTAAATATTTCTTTTAAGAATTAAAAATTATTTTATTTAAAAGCTTTTATAAATATATAAATTAAATAAAAGCCTTTTATTTATAATTAATCTTATTTAAAATATAAAATAAAAGAAAATAATAAAAATATAATAATTATAATTATTTAAATAAAATTTAAAAGTAAAGGTTATTAACTTTATTAGTTTAAAAATTATAAATATTTAAATAAAGTAAATATTATAAAAAGATAATACCTTTAAAATAAAAGCTATTTTTATACTTAATTATAAATTAATTTCTTAATTTAACTTATTTATCTTTAAATTTTTATTAAAAATAAAGTTAATTTATTTAACTATAAAGAATATTTAATTTTAATTATAATTATATATTACTTTATAATTAATTAATAACTTAAATTCTATTAAGAAACTTAAAGTATTATTAGAATTTTAGTTTATATTAATATTAAATTTATTAATTTATTTTTTTAAAATAAACTTTTAAAAACTTTATTATTAATTATATTTATATAAAGCTTTATAAAAAATAAAAGATTAATATTTTTAAATATTATTTATATATATAAAAGTGTTTCTTAAATTAAATAACTTTTATAGAAAGTTATATATAAAAATAAGTATTTATTATATATTTTTAAAATATAAAGGATTATTTTTTATTATTAATAATAATAATAATAATAATTAACTTATATAATTTTATAATTTTTAAGTTAATTAATACTATTTTTATTATAATAACTAATATTAGTCTATTATTAACTTAATTATTTTATTAACTATTCTTTTAATTATAAAGGTTATAAGTATTATTTTTATTTAAATATTTTAGTTTTATTTATAATTAAAATAAAATATAATATTTATTAATAAATAAATTATAATATTAATTTTTAAGATAAGTTTATATAAAAGTTAAAGAAGATTAAAATATAAAATATAGTTTAAATAACTAAATAAAATATATAAAATAAAAATATATATTAGGCTTTTAATATATTAATTTTATTTTTAAAATTTAATTTTAATTATTCCTTATACTTATATTATAATATTTTTAATATTTCTTTTAATAATTTCTATTTATATAAGTCTTTAATTTATATTATTATTTATATATTTAAATATATATATATTAATAAAGGTATAAATTAATAAAAGCTTTTATATTTATAGGTACTTTATATAAAAATACCTATCTACCCTTTATTTAAATAGTTAAAGGAATTAATCCTTTTTTATTTCTCTTCTAAATATATTTAAATTAAAAGATTTTTACTATCTCTCTTTACCTTATATAGGCGCTTCCTTAAACCTATAATTAAGCACTTAACTAATCTACTTACACTCTAATTTATTATAAGTTATTATTAACTTACCTTATAATTATATCTATTTATTTAATTCCTATTAATTACTTACTTAATATTAATTTTTCTAAATAACTTTTTTATATTTATAAATACCTTTTAAGTTAATATTAAAAGACCTTATAATATAATTTCCTTCTTTAATTTTTAATACTTTTAATATAAACCCTTTTAAGTATACCTTTTAATATACCTTTACCTTTACTTTTACCTTTACCTTTACCTTTACCTTTATTATTTAGTTTATATATATTTAAATATTAATTAAGTATTTAAATATTAATTAAATACTAAAAAGTTAGAAGTTAAAAAGATAAAGATAAAGATTATATTCTTTCTAACCTTTTAATACTCCTTTTAACTTTTTAATACTTTAAACTTCTAACCTTTTAATATTTAATTAATATTTAAATACTTAATTAATATCTAAATATATATAGCTTAAAAAGTATATTAGAAGGTATATTAAAAGGTGTATTAGAAGGTGTATTAAAAGGGGTTTATATTAAAAGTATTAAAAATTTAAAGAATTTTAATTAGGTATATAGTTTTATATAGGCTTTATATATAAATTTTTATATTAAGTGAGTAGTTAGTAGGAATTAAGTAAGTGGATATAATTACTAAGTGAGTGGATATTAGCTTTATAACTATACCTTTAATATATACTAAATATTAAGTGTCTATATAATAATCTTATAGTTAATCTATTATTTAGTTAATAGTAAAATAGTACTATTTATAGTAGTTAGGCTGTTCGCAATCGATGACCGTGCCTAACCCTGCACAAATATTCCCCTCTCTCCCGTTGCACATAATTTAATGCTCTAAGACTCAATCTCAACCATGTTACCTCAGTCATCAAAGAAATATGGCGGTCTTCCCTGCTTCTTCCTGTCAGGTTGTATCCTAACGATTTCCCCTTCTAGCTCATTCCAGTATCTGGAAGTGGGCGTGATAGTACGAGCTAGCCGATCCCACGTGGTCTTTAGCAAGTCCTCGTCGTAGGGTTGGCCAGCTTCCTTCTTTCTCAACTCAAGCGAGCCGACTTCATAGTCATCCATTTCTGGCCAATCAGACGGCCGAAATGTACAATCATAACGTCTAAATGTCTCCTCCATAGGGATCTCATATGGGTTCTTGAATATGTGATGCTCTGTCAATGCGTCGTAGGCGTTCCAGCGCCATCTGTTTTCCTTGCTGATGCTGATGGGGAGAGGACTGCAGGCCAGGTCGGGCTCTGGTGACAAGAGGAAGCCTATCAGACTCTTGAACTGATTTTCAGTGGGCGGCGCGAGGGTGGCAGGCTTTGAGCTTTGTAGATACATTCCGTTGCACTGCGAAATAGGTTCGCCTTCGCTCGGATCTCTGTAGGTAGATATTTATATGATCGGACTTACCTCATCCTCGCTCAGCCCACGGTCGAATAGAACCACACCTCCAAAGATTCGGAGTTCTGCCCAGTATCCTGCAACATCTCCTAAACCATGAGGAAACCGCTGCGGGTCCATATATTGGTTAGCATAGAATAACGTGGGCGGGCCACATTTGCTGCGCTCCCGCTTGCTGCAGTGCTCCGGGAGTGTTGCCAGCTTCTTCTCGCGCCAGGTTGTCCATTCCGCGTGTTTGTGAGTTCCGTTGTCTATAAGATACAGAGAACTGGCAATATTATGACAGCCGGTGACAACCAACTCTAGCAGGCGAAGTTTCCAGGGCAGAGAGCCGGGCACTGTATTTTGGTATGCTTGTAATGCCTGCCCTGCTTTGTCAATCAAAGCTCGAACATGGGACTTCGGCCAAGAGACAATTTAGACGGTACGTATGCTAACCTTTGGGTCAAGACTTAAGCAAAGAATGTCGAAGTCTGCGCGCAAGGCACGAGTCTTCTCCAGGGCACCGGGACAAAGCTCGTCATGCTGCATGACCGGGAAGTCTTCTTGAAACCAATGGTCTTCCGCGTAGACACTGCTGACTGGCATTCCATCAACAATCTGGGCGTAAGTAAATTCTGCAACTGGTGTAGAGAGCATATTGGCCAAAGCCAGCCTGAGCGGGGTGAGATGCCCTGCATCTAAATCCTGGAGGGACATTTCTGTTGGGGGTGAATGAGAAGCTGGCACAAGAACTTGACTGCACGTGGAAGAAAGATGTGTCGGAAAGGAAGATGTTGCCCGCGACTTGTCATGAGTCCGTCGTGAATTGAGAAATGGTTGTGATGCTGGTCAGAAGTGAGAGGATCGGTGAGCCTTGTTGATGTTGGTATTATCAATGCGGACCCACCGGTCTTCTAATTTTAGCATTGGGTTGGGCTCGGAGTGGAACCTCCCCGACCACACAGAAAGCTGTGCCGCCTAAGCCAACCAACCAGCTAATTCCACCTCCCTCTTTATCCTAGAGTTAGGGTTATAGGATTGTATTTTATTTTAATAGCGCAGTTTTAAAAGTATGTATCTTAATAGTGTGTTTATACTAGAAAGTTGGTGGTCGGAATTGGGGGGTGGTCGGAACGTGGGCCGGGTACATTAGCTGGCTTTCCGAGGAAGGAAATCCCAGCCTGGCTCGATGTTACTATCACTGCTAGAAAGAAGTTGTCGCGGCGGTCACAATGGCGGCTCCCGAAAAGCGCACATCGCCGAATGACGTCCGAGGTCTCCAAGCTAGGTGGACTTGACCAAATGCTAATAAATCCCATGGCAGGATATTTCTTTTTAAGAGTCAAAGTTCGATCCAACACATAAAGGCATTGATTGCAACCGGGAATTATCTTATAAGACAAAGAGATAGGCAGCTCAGTACATGATTCCACCTTCTGAACGTACTCAGGGTTGTGACTGCCCAACGTAAATAGGAGTGAGATGAGAAATGCAGAGGATCAAAGTGGACAAATGAGTCTCATCATGGCCCGCATAAATAAGATTTTCGGCAAGCTTGGAGCTATCAAAACTCAAACAGTGCACAGCTCACTAAACATGGTCAACAACCAAAACGCACGTAAAGTCAAGGAACGAAGAACGGATGACAAGCGCTGTACCTGATTTGCATACTAGTTGCCTTCGGTCTGCGATTCAACGAGTCCCCTATTTCGATCTAAGCTTTGATCTTCCAGTCCCGGGTTTTATTCTAAGACCACTATCCCGACAAATACAACATTGAAGATATCTCGATAGAGTTTAGATGGGACGCCCGAGGTCAAGGTAAGATGGTGCGGTGCTAGACGACTCACTGATCGCGCAACCTTGTCCATCGAGGTCTCACCCAGGCAGGGGCCGGCGGGGCCCATTGATGGATTTCCAAGGAGGCGGGGGACGATTGATGAACCCCCTATAAGTCGCCGGGGAACGAGGGGCCTCATTGCCAGCCCCCGAGCGAGGCTCAGAGGCACCCTGATGAGTTGCATGAGCCGTACCACCACCCTGTGCCGACCGCGGAACCTGTGGGCCCGCGTGCCTTGGATCCGAGCCCGGGACTGCAGGCGGCCGCGGGGCGATGTCCGGCCGCGTGGTAGGCTGAATCGCAACATATCTGTTGGTGGGCTGATGTATGTGCTGTGGTTGCGGCTGGACCGGACTTGGAGGTGCCGCCGAGGTGTGAGCCCTGCTCTCGTGCTGAGGCGGGTTCTGCCCCCGGTATTGGTGAGGTGGATCCGGGTTCATGAAAGGGACCTGGACATGAACAGTCTCGGCTCGTGGTGAAAATGGTGCAGGGTGACTGGCAGGGCGATCGAGTGAATAAGACATGGGTCTGGAATTTGAAACCGCGGCACTGGCCTTGTAAGCATTGTACTCTCGTGTCGTTATCGGTTGCGCAATCACAGGCGACCCAGACCCGGCTAGGTCGTGGTTGTGTTTGAGACCATTCTGGGCCAAAGTTGTCAAATAATCGACACGAGGGTCCGCTGCTTGAGGAGGTTCAGCCAAGAAGGGATGAGCCGAACGAGGACGCTCCACCGTGGCCTCAACAGCCGAGTTGACTTGGGTCGGCTGGTCTGGGTTGACGGCGCGCATGGTAAGTGGTGGGGTGGTCTCTACCCCGGCGTCCGGCACTGAGGTTGTCTTATGCAGCTCACTGGCGTCGGGCGAGAAGACAGCAGCCTCGTCGGCATGTATCACGCTCCACTCCGATACTGGCGAGCTGCTGATGGAAATGATGTCGACAGATTTCCTCGGCGCGCTGCTTGCGCGGTCGGTATTTGGATCAACCTCGATCATTGTCTCGCCATCGCTTACGACTGGCGCGGGCCCAGCTTCCACTCCTTCATCTTTTGGCTTGACAATGGTGGCTTCAGGGGAACTACTCTCGTCCGCACCAGGCGGGTGGTCCATTTGGTTATCCACCGGGGTCGTGGCATCTGCGAAGTTCAATTAGTAAAGAGAGGAAACCGCAAGAAATGCAACATGAATAAGCCGTACCATCATCCAAGTCCATTTCGACAGATTCATCCTGCCCTGACGGAATTTCAGGTCGTGTGCTCAGGTACTTCCGGACAGCTTTGAGTCCAGGAACGCCCCACTTGTCAGATGTCTCCATGTCAAAAGCCCCCAAGTGGTGTGCTGGCAGCCAGCAGGCCAGAGACGGAAATTCCGCGTTGTCATCAAAGAACATGACAGGGAATTGACGCTGTGCTACTTTTTCTCCCCCGTCTTCGAAGCCTTCTTCCCACTCAAGCCTGCCCGTCGTCGTGTCATGCCGATAGCACGGGGGCAGGTCGCCCATCAGCTTCCAATCCTCCAACGTGCCCGTCACGCCGACGTCCTCGAGGTTCGTGTTTGGCAGTAAGAGCGCAGGCCAGCTCTTCTTGGCCTTTTCCCAGTAACCAAGATAGACCTGGCCCGGCGTCGGATCAACAATGCCTGGTGCGGCTCGGAGGCCATGCTTGCTGCCGCTGCTGACTGCTGGGTCGTCAGCGGGGCGGGGCCCTTTCTGCTGTTTGCGGAAGGCTTTCCGGGCGACGTTGTTATTCTTCCTCGCGAGTTCTTCGTTGCAGTCCAATACAGGAATCCCGAACTTTTCGACAACCCCCGCAAACTTGAGCCTCGGCTGGTTCCCATGCGCCGCACTGGTAACGTGAAACCCAGCGCTCACCAAGGGCTTGTCCTCGAAATCGCGAGGGCAGTCCAGACAACGGAAGATATACCATTGATCGGAACCCTTGGGATATTCCTCGATGATGTGTTTTGTCTCGGCGTGACCGTTCTGATAGACGTTGTTAAACAATATGCTCGTTACCCTCTTACTGCTCGGGAGCCGTTTCCGCGGCCTACGCGGTTCGGGTTCTGTATCGCTTCTACGTTTGCGCTAGATGTTGTCAACAGTAAATTCCATGTGTTGAGGCAATGGGCATTTCTCACCACAGATGAAGAGCTGGCATCAGCACGTCCCTGTCTCTCACGATGTGCATGTGGCGACCTGACAGGGTGTTCGACAGGCGACACGACCTCGGACTCGGCCTCGGCAGGTGGTGTAGGCTGGGCAGCTGATGGGGCGGTGTGGTTGACCGGATCATGTGATGGAGTATCTGTGTATTCTCGGATAACCTTCAGAGCCAAATCCACGCCGAAGGTTTCGACGAATTTACGGAAAAGATTCTCCAGCACTAGACGGCACTCTTGTGTAAAGACTTCGGTTCTCGCGTCCATGGCTGCTTGGTACTCGCGGCGGAGCTGAATCACCTCGTTGCTGCGGCGTTGAAGCATGTCCTCTAGGTGTTCCTCTGCATCTGAGCCGCCCTCAGCCTGCGCGGAACGAAACTCTTCTGTAGCTTGTGCGAGCCTGGCACGGCCTGCTATTAATGCTTGCTCTTCGGCCTCAGCTTGGGGAGCCTTCGTCGCATTCAGCTCATCGACGGCCTGTAAGTAATAATTTTTGACCGGCGTCATGATGCGCCAGACATAGTTTTCCTCGTCCAACATCTTGAGCAACTCGATGAAGAACGTTGGAAGCCAACGTCACAGCTTTGATGAGGGGGTTATAGGAGGGAAACTAGAGGTCAATCGCAATAACGTGGCGGAAAGCCATCAATTGCAATAATGGACGGGATCTCTGAGCGCGACATGGACTTGGGAAACGAAAAATGGCGGGGACGAGGTGGGCAAGGCAAGGCAATAAGAGCCTGGCTGCGCAAATGGGGAGAAGTGGGCTAGCTGGCTGCATCTCGGCTGTTGGCCGTTGGTGTTGGCTGTTGGCTGTTGGTGTTGGATCCTGAATTGATGCCAGTGGCCCACCCATTGTGACGGCAGGGATTAGCTATAATTAGCGTAGCTATCACATCCAGCCAATTAAGACTTCATCCCCGTTTTGGCTACTCGTGCCACCCTCGCCAACACGGCTTTTGCGGAAGGATCAAGGCCCCGCACGCGGCTGGGGTAAGCGTCTGCGAGAGTGCGGCGATGCCATGCATGGATGGCGGCGCCTATTCTCTGTCCATCGAGCCCTACGAGAACATTTGAATTCTAAGAGGGGGGTTGAAATCTTACAGTGGACTTGGGCCGTGTCTGGGCTGGCGAAGTAAGTGATATCCTAAAAAACAAGTTATGCTTGTACAACAGGGATTCATTTAGACGTCCTATCCACCCCAAATGTTTTTGAGTTTTTGCCCAGGTAATAAGCCTTCGTCTAGCAGCCTCCCGGGCTAACATCACCGTTTCTATAATTGCACCAACTGTGTGACCACGGCGGACAGGACAGTGGAGCACTGCTGCCGGTTGGGCCCCTCCGATCATGGCCTTGGTCAAGCTAAAAGCCGTCGGTCTGTTGCAGGAGGGCCTCTAAAAATAGCCCACCAATGTCAACGTACCCCTGCTCCCCACCTGCTGCTCGTGATTCGCTGCTCGATCCAACACAGGGCAGGATTTGATAACTGACCCGTTTGATTCATGGGTTGATTCCAACGCAGTCATTCTGCATAGTAGGGGGTAGCCGGCGCGGCACCTTTCTACTCTTCGAGGCCGTTCATAGGGATGATATTTGGAACACAGTTCAATGCACCACTGCTTCAACGAAGTTGTGGTGGTTTTGTTTCTAATCTCCACACATATAAGACTCGCGTGGCGCCGTAACTCAGTGCTACATGCTCAAGACTCAGCTTTAAAAAAGAGATCGGATATTCACACCCACCAAAACGGAGGGTATATCCAAGCCCCAAGGGATAACCTCTCATAGGAGGACAACCTCCTATGGGACAACCTCCTATGGGACAAATTCCTGTGGGATAACCTCCTGTGGGACAAGCTTCTATAGGAAAACATCCTATGGGATAACCGTATGGGATATTTTTTTGTGGTTTGGCGCGAAAATACGCATTTTGATCTCCGAGTTCCCTGGTATGGGTGTACCCTCCGTTTTAGCGGGTGTGAATATCTAATCTCTAAAAAAAAGAAGACAATGCTAATCATAGTGTAGAGTACTACGAAACGTCTGTGGGCACATGGCCTCAGCCTCGTGCCGCACATTCAACTACATCAATACCCCCAGCATGGATTCATCCAGGTGATCGTACCGATGATCTGAAAAACAAACGCTTGCCAGAATCCCAATCCTAAGCTTGAAATCGTCCTTTCTTTCCAGTGAGCGCGTAGGTACCCACCATGAGCCGCCCTTGCGCATCTACTGCTGTACCTACCCACCCAGCCACATTCCCACCTCAGGCTGTCTAGCTGATATGAGGCACATACTGCGACCACCGAACAACATCATACGCCGAGGGCGGCAGGTGCGACAGGTTCGCCAGACACTCGACAAAGATAAAGAACCGCAGGCCGAGGTAGATACACCCGACAACGACAATCCCCACGACCTTGACGACGCGGATGACCTCGATCATCCACAGGAAGCACCACTTATAAAACATCCACCACCACCGCCGCCACCCGTGCTCCCACCGCCCGAGCCGCGCCTCCTTCTCGGCGAGGTGCTCCGCCTCCTCGGCGTCGCGGTCCTCCTCGTCCATCATGAGCCAGGGCCGCACGGCATTCAGTATGACGCCCTCGGCGTGCGCGACGGGCACCAGCAGCCCGCTGCACGCGAGGCTCACCGACGCCAGCTTCCACAGCGCCGCCTCGGCGCCGCTCGTGAAGGACGCGTCCCACGCCAGCATGTGCAGCCCCCCGTACAGGAACCCCGTCAGGCTGATCCCCAGGTGCGTCTTGAACGCGTGCTGCTCCTGCGGGATGCCGTCGTGCCGCCGCCGCGGGAAGTTGGTCACGCGGTCCACGAGCGTGTTGCGCATCGTGCGCTTCAGGCGCCGCTGGGCGCGGTGCCTGCTCTCGCCGGGGTGGGCCGGTGTCGCCGTCGTGGTGGCGGGGGCGGTGGTGGCTGGGGTGGGCTCCTCGTGCGGGTGCCGGTCCAGGATGTAGTGGTCCCAGCCCTTCTGCGCCATCTGCATCCGGGCCCGGAAGCGGCGCTCCTGGTCTGCGGCTGCTTGGACGAGCTCGCTTAGGCTGGCGGCGCCGGCCGTGGTGGACTGGTCCGCGTCGTGGTCCCGGGCTGGAGGGGTGAGGAGTGCCCACGGGCTGGCTGGTGTAGGTCGGGAGGTTGTTGGCCGGCTTGGAACGCCCGTCGTTGGCCGGCCCATGCTGACGGCTGATGACTGGGGACGGCCGCCGTGGAGGTTCAGGTCGCTGAAGGTGATCGGGTCCTGGTTGATGGTTGCATCGAGGTACGTCGACGCCCGTGGGGCCTCGGGCGTGTATTCCTGGACCGCGGCCTGCTCGGCTCGTCCCAGCTTCGTGTACCTGTCCTCGTCACACTCGTTGTGGTCGAAGCTAGTCAGTGAGTACAGAATCGCGATGAGCCAGTGTGGCTGGCTGACGGTGTCGGGCATGTTGAGTGGATCTGGTTTCGAGATGTCCACAGGCTTGCGAAGCCACAGCCAACCAATGATCAGGGCAACGATGCAGTGTGCGAATGTTGTCAGCTCCAGCAGAGAAATCGAAAGACCCTGGGCCATGCGGACGACGCATTGCAGGCTGAACCACAGGGCCTGGAACAGGGCGATGATCTTCACAAAGGTGCTCGAGCTGCTCTTGTCCAAGATATCGAGCACGGACAGGTTTGGTATCACGGACGGCTCGTGCTCGGCCACGAAGCGCAGTGCCTCGTCTCTCAACACTAGCTGCTCGCGGCTGTGGTCGTCGGGGAGGAATACCTTCGGCCCGTCACGCAGCTTGTAGCTGTAGCCTCCCATCACGGCGTACCAGCTGTGCGTCAATGTCCATATGTGTTTGGTGCTCGTATCCTCGACATCCGAACTGCGGTTGAGCTGGAACATAGTCAGTGGAAGGTTGTATTTGCGTCAGGACACACGCGCGCTCACCCGGCGACTGTTCAGCAGAGCGGGCCACCAGCTCTGCGGTCGGGCTGGCTGCAGATATACGCGTTCCATGAATGCTTGCAATGACTTCACATCCCAATATTGCCTAAAGGCAGCATAGGCAATCTACGCACACGTGGTGGTCAGTCAGGTGACAGACACATGAACGGGCGCCAGATAGCCTACCAATTCTGGCGCAAACAGACCTATAAGCAGCCATCCGATCTGCCTGGTGATCTGATGCCCGCCGAAGATATGCACAAGCCTGTGCCGCATGCTGTGGGTCGTGTCTTTCTTGAACCATGCCGTCCACGGAAGGGTCTCATCCGGACACGTGCCCGGCAGGTTCAGGTGCACGATCTTCCATGTACACAGGGCGAGCGTCACAAAACATGATGAGATGATGCTGAAAGTACCCCTTCGCATCGGCTGCGGTTCCCATGTGAAGCCGGTGGTGATGTTGCCCTCGGCGCCAGCGACGATGTCCCACCCGTTCGACGTCGACATCGTGGCGGTGCTCTGAGGTACCGCCCCCTTGGCTACCAGTAAGTGCTGTTGTCTACGCTGCGCGCCACAGTATCGATGGAGGCGGAGGACGGTCTCAAAGGGGCACACGGCGGATTTGTAGTTTGGCCTTCTTGGATAAGCTTAAAATGAGTTCTGGGAGATCCCTACGAAACGAGATGTCGTTGTCCCTGAAGGTGGACCCCGAAGACCCATCCGACATGAGGCCCCGTAGTTTTTCCGGCTTGGCGGCGCCTGTTGACCGCAATTCCAGGCGAGCAGGGGCCCAGTAGAGGACTGACTAGGGGTCGGAAGCGTTGACCATCCTCACGCAATCATCAAGCGAAGCGAGGTCGGCGATGTGGGTCCGGCGCCATCTTGGGCAGAACGGGACTCGCTAACGTACCGATAGTGGACGGTTGCCATCTGGAATGGCGAGATGGGCGTGACTCGAGCATGATCAATTGATTGAATTAAAGAGTGAGCACACTTAGTACATACAGTTCTTCGAGGGCCATCAGAAATAGCCCAAGGCCTTCGTTGATGTGGTCCCGGTCCCGCAAGCTCAGATGATTTGGAATTTGCAATCAAGCGTATGTTGAAAAGCATCAACCTTCGCGATATTTCATACAAGGCATGTCGTGGCGTCACAGACGAACAAATTTTGCCAATTATTGCCCAGACTCGGCGAGCAATCTCGGCGAGCAAATACCTGTCGGCTCATCAGGAGTCTTGATGGCATAAATCATCGAACCCTCGTAAATGACAAACGACCGTACTCGTCCTGACTCACTACCTCATCCTTATGGCACCAGACCCTGTACGAGGTTAGCAACATTAAAGTGAATGAAATACACCGGAAACTCATCCACAACTCACCGTTGATGACTGGGATCTCTCTCACGCTCAGCACCCCCGGGGTAGATGGCCTCCATCTCAAGCCTGTGCTTGCTCTTCGGCTTGCCCTCGGCCAGCCTGCGCTTCTCGAAGTAGACATAAGCGGCATAGTACACGGAGCTGGTGCAGCCAGCCATGGGGCCCTTCTTCTTCCTGAAGTCGGCCAGCATCTTGGACTGGATGGACTTGCAGCCAGGGGCGTGGAGCTGCGCGTGGAGGTCGCGGCAGAACTGGGCCTGGGTGAGGCCAGGGGTCTTGAGGTGTGCCGTGATCTTCCTCCGGACGACGTCGCACGTCTCGAAGACGGGGACCGAGTCCGTCTCCTCGCCGTCGAGGTGGATGCTGCCGAGGTCCGCGTTCGCGTTTGAGAGGCGGGCCTGGGCTGTCTTGGCCTTCTTCTGCGTCGTAGCAGAGGCAGCCGGCACGGACAGGCCGGCGAGCTCCCGCTTCTTGAACCAAGCCCAAGCGTTCCAATACACATCACTCCCGGAGCCGCCGTCCCTGCCAGTCTGGGCCAGGAACCTGTTGACGGAGTTGGGGCTGCTCCCGATGGTGTTGCAGAACTCGCCCTTTTTGAAGATGCCCCGGTCGAGGACCTTCTGGATCATGTTCCTGACGTAGGTGCAGTCGCGGTCGACGGCCATGTGATCCACCTGGATGTGATCAAGATCCTGCTTGTAGGCAGCGATGGCCTCCTCGGACGAAGACGACGAAGCATCCGACTTGCGCTTCCTGCTGTTTGAAGCGGGTGGGGCGGGAGCAGCTGACGGCGCAGGGACAGCAGCGGCGGATGGCTTCACTGCAGGCGCAGTTTTCCCCATGGCTTTCCCCATGGGCGGAAGCGGGACTGGTGACTGATTGGCCCTGGCAGTGACATCTTGAAGAGCCGCACGCGGTGGTGGCTAATGGAGGGCATGTCAGAGTTCAGCATGACAAGATTGGAAACAACATCATCCTGGGCCTGGCACTGTGGGCAGACGAGGATGGCGGGAGGGTTCATGCCTACCAGGCGTGGTGGAGGAATAGGAGTGGTGCTCTGCATGTTGCCTGAGGAGTTCGAGTACCTAGGTATGGTTATTAGAAGATTGTGTCCACAGTCCGTTGCTGGCGAGAGCTGGTGAAGGACGCCCGTTTGACGTCCAAGTTTCCCAAGAGAGGACGCGTTTTGACAACGCCCAAGTGGTGCAATTGGTATCGGCGTCTGTCCTTGAGCCAATTGATATGGATCAAGCGAGCTTTCTCCAGTTGTTGGCAACGTGAAACTTACTCACCGTGGAGGCAGATTGATTCGAGATGTGAGATTTGTCGATGGATGATGACCTTCGTGGAGTTTGTTTACTTTGTGGGGGACGCGTCGAGATGCCCAAGTACACACCAGCATGTCGTCATGGCCACACCGGGGGACGAACCCTTGCCAGGTACGCGGTGGCCCGTGCGTTCAATCTTGAACTCAATCGCACATGTACCTAGGTTCCTGCCAGATAGATTCTGCACCCATCCACGCTTCAAAGCACTAACAGTTTCTCAGGTGCTCGATTTATATAGCTTTGATTCTTTGAAATTCTAGCAGCATCTGCCAATGTGACCCCAAAGTTTCAGCGCCTCTCTGGTCTCCCAATATCGGAACAGCAGATGCAGATAGGCATAGTATCAGACCCTGCGCTCAGCCATCGATTGGATCAGCTCCTTGCTCTAGGCCTCCCCTCAAATTTTACCCTTTTTTTTCACCGGTTTTCATTTCAAATGGATATGACATATTATGCAATGAGAGCAGAAGTGCTGGGACTATGAGGTGCGATAGACAAAGGACGGACGCCTCACTGGGCTGGGCGCCAAGCAACCAACATCGGTTGCACTGTGTTCGTCCTCACCGAGAGAACCTTGGAATGTACCACACATGATATCTTGACGTGTAAGCACAGCCGTAGTGCCGCACTTGCGCTATGGATATTGGATCCTGTGACACTGATTCCGGAATGCGTACAACTTCAAATGTTAGAACCCGTTCAATGTTCACACGCTTTGGACCTTGGTCCAGAAGACAGGCAGGGTTGTCGCCAATGAGTGTATTGATGGTCACTCGAACTATACTGAGGACCGAATTTGAACTATCACGGCGGGATCTTCAAGCCACGCAGGTTTCAGCCAATCAGACAGGCCATGAAACCGCCTCTCAAATTGTGAGGCAGGAATTCCTCGCCGTGTTCATGGGGGAACTGATCAAGATCCCGCCCGAATTCCGCTTTGTTTGTTGGCGGGTTCTTTGAGTCTCCCGAAAGTCGCCATCGGGGTGCTGCACGGGACTTCGGCAGGCCTGCTTTGGCTTTTAAGTAGGTGTTCAACCCAATTCACGTTTTATCAGATACTAGTCAGTCCATCCATGGATGATACGTAGCACTTGCATTGAGGAAATAATACTCCCCAGAGCAAAGCCAACTTACCAAGATGAGGTCGAGCCTTTTCTTCCTCTCTTCTCTACTGAGTAGCATCTCAGCCACACTCACAGCATCCAGCGGCGACTCGCCCTATTCAATTGAACTACGATCCGTCCCAGGCACCCAAGCGCCCATTCTCGAAGTTGCCCCGAAGAGTCGCCATGTCAAACTCCGCAGGAGCGACCATGCCCTTCCCAAGCACCTCGCTCTGCGGAGCGTACTGGGACTCGACCAGGATCATATCGGAAGACGCGAGGAAGGGGAATCGGCGCCGATGGTCCAGCTGAAGGGCGAGTCTTACATCGCCGACGTGACCATTGGCGACCAGGAGATCCCGGTGCTGATCGATACCGGCTCTGCGGACTTGTGGGTGGCCCCGGACAGCTTTGTCTGCCTCGATGAGAACCACAACCAGACGTCCAAGGAGACGTGCAACATTCCCGTCTACTTCGAGGGAACATTTGGCGACGGGGTGGTGGAGGACCAATACTTCTCAATCATCTGTGCGCAGGTCTTGCCACCTTGATACCATCCTCTTCCACATAAAGCTGACACCTCCCAGACGCAAACGGACAGTACGTCTATGGCGAATATGGATACGATTCCGTGACATTCGGCGGCATCACCGTGCCGAAGCAACAGTTTGCCCTGCCCTCAACTGGATACTTCCATGCATCCTCGGGGGACTTCTCGGGCATCATGGGCCTGGGTCTCCCAGCCATGACCGCGGCGAAGAAGGGCGCAAAGCCGCGAGAGACTGTGAATAACCAAGACGAGATTGCATCATACGACCCATGGTTCACAAGCGCCGACAAGCAGAACCTGACCGAGCCTGTCTTCAGCTTGGCAGTGGACATGGATGGCGGCGGGGTCCTGGCCCTCGGGGGCGCTGCCGATGTGCCTGTCAAGGGGGACTACGTCTCGACTCCGATTCTCATGGTGAGTACCGACAAGCGAATGCCCGCTTCAATGTTATCAAACCCCGATACTTACTAAACACCAACAACAGCTCAACCTCAACGGGGAAGAGCGCGGGGGCGACGAGTTCACGTACTACACCATCATGCCGGAGGAGTACATAATCGCCGGTCAGCCCTTCACCAACCACACGGACGAGACCACAGCCACAACCACAACCGCAACCACAGCCGCACCACCACCACCAGAAGGCGGCCCAGCGGTCCCAGCCCTGGAGGAGGCCCAACAACCCCAGCGCCGCCACGCCAACGGCGTCCCCACCATCATAGACAGCGGCCTCTCGACCAACATCCTCCCGCCCTCGCTGATCAAGGCCCTCTACGGCGCCTTCGCCGCCCCGCCGAAGCTGGTCGAGCTCAGCCCGGGCGGGCCGCGCCTCTTCGCCGCGCCCTGCGACGCCGAGGTGCCCTCGTTCGGCATTCGGATCGGCGGGCACGTCTTCGAGCAGCCCGCGGGCGCGGTGCTGCTCGCGGGCGCCAACGCCACCGTGGACGGCACCGCGTTCTGCGCGCTCGGGTCCCAGCCGGGCATCGAGCGGGCCGGGGCCCTGGGCGCCGCGTTCCTCGGCGGCGTGGTCGCCGTGTTTGACGTCGGGGCGGCGGAGATGCGGTTTGCGGAGAGGGACCGCAGGGGTCTGGCGTCTGATGGGACTGCTACTGGTACTACTGGTACTGCTGGGAACGGGTCGACTGGGCGGAACTCGACTGGGGATGTGACCATCCCCCCGGCTAGTTCTGGGCTTGCTAACACCAACGCTGGCGGCAGGCTGCTTCCGGTGTGGGTTCAGCTTTTGAAGCAGGTCGCTTGCGGGTTGTTGCTGGGGCAGATTGAATGTTGATATTTTTCATGTTGGTTCGGAGTTGTGAAGCTAATTGGGAATTGGGGCACAGTAATCATGTAGTCTAGTCCATAAAGCAGTTTAGGAAAATGCAAGGGGTAAATTCGGACACTAGTAATAAGCTTGAGGATATGTGGTCTGTTCCCTAAAGACTTCGGGAGGATGGTTAATTCGCGTCAATGAAGTGAATTCAGTACGTCATTTGTCAGCTTCTGCTGACACGGACCCATCGTTGATCCCACGTCCGATAGACCCGGCCAGTCCGACTCAGGACCTCATCAGTACCCCCTTCTCGCGCCTTGATAGACGAATTTCATGTCGAAAACGGTACCGAAACTTCAACCCACTGACTGTTTAGTAACTCATATTAGTATCTAAGATCAGCAAAATGACAAGTCTTGCAGCGAAAACTGTCGTGGCTACCGGGGCCTCTTCCGGGTTGGTACGTCTGTTCTGGACTCTTCAAGCTCACATCTCTCTCAGCCTGTTGCAACCTTCTGGTCGGTAGTAATAAAGCGCTGCAATGAGAACTGGCTAACAGCTGTCGTCCGAAAGGGCTTCGAGCTGGTGAAGCAGCTGCTGGCCAAGCCGGAGCCGTACAGGTTCATCCTCGGCGCCCGCGACACGGAGAGGACAAAGGAGGCATACGATGACCTCAAGTTCGACAGCACCACCCACAGCCTCATGATCCTCCCTCTCGAGCTGTCGAACCTCAAGACGGTCAAGTCGTTCGCCCACCAGGCCCTCGAGAAGCTCGGGCGGGACAGGCTGGACTACCTCATGCTTAACGCCGGCATGGCCAAGGGCGCCAGCGGCCCCGGCCCGCACGGCTCCAAGTGGTGCGAGCCATATGTCGTCAACCATCTCTGTGAGGCTCCTAGACCGGCACCATGGCTTGGCCCACGGGATGATCTATCCCAGCCACTAACCCCTTTCCAGCTCAGCACTATCTGACGCACCTCTTCCGCGAGAAGCTGGTCGAGTCCAAGTCCCGCGTGGTGGTAGTATCGTCCGGCGCCATCCGGGCCGTACCCGACACCTGTGAGAGCCTCTCCCCTCACATCCCAGATCCACACTTCACTTCGAGTTCTGGAGCTGACCGCACCGCCAGCCGTGCTCGACAACCACCTGCTGGCCGACTCTGGCACCGGAGACCAGACCATCTACTGCGAGAGCAAGTTCGCGCAGCTGCTGGGCGCCCACTGGTGGCGCCGCCAGCTGCCCGAGTGCCGCATCGTGGCCGTCTCCCCCGGCCTGATCCCCCAGACCGGCATCGCGCGCCATGGGAGCTTGAAGCTTACCATGGACATGCCCGATGCCAAGACCGTACCTGAGGGCAAGTTGCTTCCCGGAAATACACATGTGAATTGGCTCTAGATCTCCCGTTCGGCTAACATGTATGCTTGATGTTTAGGCGCTCAAAACATCTGGCGGGCCTTTACCCGTGATGACTTCCCCGAGGACCCGGAGCAGATCTTCCTCACCAGCTGGGGCGAGTGGTGGGGCAAGGATGTCTACGAGAATTCGCTTGATAAGGGCTTGCAGGACAAGTGGTGTCCCAGTCTGGAAGATATCGAGAAAGAAGAAGGCATTGCCGCATAAAAGACTGGAGGCGCCTTGTAGTGATACAACTGGACCTCAAAATACGAAGCACCAACTTGCAGCCCCGTGCCTCTGAGTTAGACTGGCAGAGGCATTTTGCCTCCACACAAATTGGCCAGAACGCCAATGGTGAAAGTGGCTGGAACCCTCCCTCATTTGAGAATTGCCAATGATTGGAGGGTAGTTGCCGCCCGACAACTGCGATTAATCTAGTGTCGCTATATGAAAGGCACAACCGTACCCCAAAGCCCTGACTCGAGGATTCTGCTGCTGTCCGCGGCCGTCTGAAATAGCAGTATCATCATGAGGCAGCGATATATGATCACGTCATCAGTGTTCTTAACCCGGTCTTCAGACTCCTCTGGTTCCCTTGGGTCTCCCGTTGGTCCTGCCCCCCCACGTTGGTCGGATTTTGGATCCTCTTCCAAGTTGTTGTGAATCAAGATGCTTATTCTGTCCCAAAGGTTCCTCGAAGGATAATATTTCGGGTCCGGATCCACAAATTTCTCCAGTTTTTGGACTAGGGATTGATTCTCTTCGGGACTTCTTAACACTCTGCAGAGTGCTCGCAACGTCTTGTTATGAATCGTCCTAGCAGACTCGACCGATTCTTGTAGTCCGGTATTTCCTGGATCTTTTGAATGAGCGTCCAGGCAGTCGGGACTTTCCTCTATCATCCTCTCTGCGCGTGAGAAGAATATGGTTGTGTTGCACAGAAAGACAGATCGGGTTTCCATATTCGGTACTTCTCTATTGAGCCATCGGTCCACTTGTTTCATTTGCTCAAGTATTATCAACCTGAGGGCTCTTTGCTCAACCGGTGATGCCCCGAAGAACCAGGTTTGAAGCTCTTCGGGTCGATACAGAAGCTTCAGACACATGTGGAGCACCACACGGTGGCCATCAGTAGCTTTGGCCCCTTGGCCTGTCCATTTTGCCGCGGCGTCCACACTGTTGCAATTAGCGGCTCTGGTTTCCTCCCTTTCTGGATTTGTTGGTGCCTCTGCTGATTCGTCGGCCGCTTGATTCACTGAGCTTCCTCCTGCTCTAGCTCTATTGCTCGCGCCGTGACTCATCGCATGTACCAGCGAGGGCTCATTTTGAGAGATCTTCTCTACAAAGGCGCCTCTCATTCCACCGAAGAAGTCCACCAATTTAGGGTCGAGATCAAGGTACATCTTTTCGATATCGGGGCGGCGCACGGTCGGGTCCCCAATGTCATGCCACTTGAATCCGCCCCAGCTCTCAGCAAAGTGATGTTCTGGCCATTGGTATATGTGCGACTGACTGTACCTTCGAAGATCCTCCTTTGCCCAATAAGTACCTTGCAAGGCAAGCGCGGTAAGAGGGAAGCCAGTCTGCATTGATGCGACTGGAAACAATGCAGGGATGTACCTCGGCGTGCAGGCTTGAAGGCCGATAATCAGTGGCAGAAAGCCCTCTGACAGAGCATCCCGATCTATAAAGAAATACTTTTCTTCGTCTGTGGGGTTCTGCAGTGCAAAGCCTTTCTGGCCCATGAACCATTGCCCAAGAATTCGTCGTCGCGCGGCCTTGGCGTACACATCCATTGTCCCCGAGCCACGGAACGGAACGTTGCCTCGGCCGTATTGCATTGAAAAGCACAATTCTTCCAGCCCTAGACCTCCTGAGCATTCAGATTTGCGTGGCTTTCCGTATCTTGAGTAAGCGCCAATAAGTCCGAGAGATGGGTGTTGTCGGAAGTCTATCTGAAACCCATGGCCAAGGACAATTGGATAGTTTTGCTGGTCAATGTATAACTTCTGGATACCGGCCGTTGCTGCAGCTGCAATGATAGCCCCGACTTGTCCGTAGGCGGGTGCAGCCATGAGATCGTCTGGTAGATAATCTGCGGAGACCTCCCGTATGCTGTCGTTCCAATCGCGAATCTCCAACTTGTCCAAGCCCACTTCTTTGAAGAATTCAAGCCACGCCGCAGAAGGGTGGTGTGATGGCCAGTGGGATGACCTCACGACCTCAGATCCCTTCGGCTGTGAATTGCATGGTCCTGACATCCCACTGGCAGTTCCAGAAGGCATGCTGGACTGTTTCGCTCTGGAGACATTCCTCCGCTGGAGTTTGCGACCAGTCTGTGCCTCGTTGGGGGTGTTCCGAGTCTCTATCTCGTGATTGTCAAAGTCCTCTTCGACATGACTACCATCTAAGGAGTCTTCATGCTCTGTTATAGGCGGGAACAATTTCTCCAGCAAGATGGGCGTTGATGCTGTGTATTGGAAATTCATTTCCGTCCAAGACCATGTTTTTCGAGTTTGCCTTGACCATTTTCCAATAGCACGATTACTAGTTACTCGTCGACTTTTTCCTGTGGCCGAAATGGCTTGGAAAATAGTTGCCGAAGCAAATAATAGGGCGAGAATGCCGATCAGGACCGTGATCGAAAAGCTTATTGGGTCCCAATTGATTTCTTTGTCGTCGGCTTTCTTTTTCTCGTTAAATGATTGGAGTAGTGCACGCAGGAGGCAGTCGGTTGAGTTACTGTCCTCAGGGCACTGGAAGCCGTCGGACCCCATTATCTCGCGAGGCGTCTTGATAATGTAGGTCGAGTATGGTCGAAAGTAGACGCACTGGGGCCAATTTGTTGTGGGGCCTGTTCGTCCGATGGGAAGATCGCAACGAGTGGTTGAAGTATACTGGGATAGAAGTGATCGACTCATGACTGCGTCTTTAGCTGTTCAACGGCTGAAATACTCGTCTAAAACTGCCTTGAAGCCAATTTGAACTCCAGGCAACTGTCAGCCTGATGGGTGGCGAGGGAGGGCTCACCGAATCTAACTGACGAATTGAACTGCATGCACGGCACACAAATTGGGCAAGGTTCTATCCGTGGCTTATAAATGGTAACCCACCATTTCAATAAAATGCATCAGAAACCTGCTTTAAAGGTGCGCCACTCTTACTTGAACAGGGATTTCCAGTAGGACAGCAACGTTGTGCGACTTTAATCACAGTCATAAGGCGGAATCTAGACCGGCAACGAGTCTCCTCCCATTCTGACTGGCTGGTGAAATCGGTACACGAATCGAAGAGTTGGTATACTTCCGTGTTCAACTTGAAGAGGAGTTAGATGGCGTTGCCCAGCCTAGGTGTGTAAATGCACACTACCTCACCGTGCCTAGCAGAGGGAAAAGATAAGTTGATCCTGGGATCCCACATCTATATTTAGCTAAGTATTCGAGATCTAGCTCAACTTCCTTTTGATATCTTGGAACTTGAAGAGGTACCTAGGTAACAGTATGGGTTTGTGTCGTCTTAAAATAACACTTCTGAGCCCTCGCACACGTTCGTCATCCTATTCATGACCAGGGTCGTTTATTAACAAGACAAGGGCCTCGGGTCCTCCCGATAGACGCCAAACACTGTGCTTGGCGTGACCTGACGCCGCCTCCACATCGAAAGTATTTCTGCCAAAAGCAAGCTGCGGAGATTCTGAGATTTCCAGCCAGTGTCATGGTGCTGCGCAGGAAGTGCTCGGACATCACACCAAGTGCTGTCGGGACCTGCTCGCCGGCCGTCGTCCTCTATTGTCGAGCTCCTCCATAGCCCCTTGTCTGAACTAACGACAACATGATCTACCCTATTTCCACTGTTTCAAGAGCTTACAACTTATTAGGTCGTCGCTTTATCACTTGAGGTCGATTTGAGCGCCTCCCAATGTCTCGTCCCAGACCTATCCTGAAGTTAGCGTTGATCTTGTCTGTCTAACTCATGATCAATGGTGGGATACAGACATGAGTTAATCTTCGGCACTCGCTACTCCGAGTCTCCGCCGCGATGTACATGTTGGATTTGAGAAACTGGGTGTGATGCAGCCGTTGTTCGGATATGTGTTGGAGATGGTTGCACTGGAAGCCGAGCATGGCTCTCTCCGTGACCCGGGTGTACCATCGTGCATTCCATAGTGGAGGCATGTTAGCCTTAGGCTGTCTAGGTTTTGCCAAGATACTTAGGTTTTCACAGTTTTCGCCTAGGTCCTACATAATCCTTCATACTACATTGGCAAGGAACGAGTCTGGTACGGGTAAGGCTGCTAGTTAGCTAGATCTTACGTGGGACTCCCTAGCGATTCCCATTAACGTTTAAATCTTCTTGGCTTGACCATACACTAGCCGCCGAGGTCGTCACATCCTACGAAACTATACTCACCTTCCTTCATTGGCTAGACAGTATAGGTCAATGAACAGTTTCCATTTAAGTGCCAGGCGCCATTACAACTTGCATCTCTTGAACTTGAGAGAGACTGCTGCCTAAACCTCCTCTTTGGCCCATCAAGTGTTGATGGAACGCCCTTCGTTGATGTAACGCCCGTGTACTTGTGGAGTTTCGGACCCCAATGTTTAGTCTCGAACGCTAACTAGGTGATCCTTCGCCCAGACTCGATGTTTCCCAAGCCCAGACTCATTCTTCACTCTTCAAGCAATTCAACATTCCCCGATTGGTAGGTAAAGTATTTATTTCACGCGGGTACGGCGCATGTAAGAGAGGTTGGCGGTGAGTGAAGCCCGATGGGAGGGCGACTAACCCGGGCCAAGCGTACCTAGGCAGAGTTCCGTGAGAGTTGGTAATAATACCTAAGTATCAATGCCCGGAGACGTCTAGGCCGAGTTCTAGTTGATAAATCTATAAATGAGCGCCGTCTTCCGCTGTTATGCCTGTGTAGAATGTTGCTCTTCATCCTCCTCACTCATCTACACTTCAGACCTGAACACCAATCCCCCCTAGCCACCATGCAATTCATCTCTATCCTCCTGGGCCTCGTTGCCACCGTGTCGGCCATCGACATCTACTTCCATAACTCTGGCGACTGCTCGGGCGCCGCTGCCATCTGCACAAACGCCAACCCAAACATCTGCTGCACCGGCAACTCGCCCACCGTTGCCTACCGCGGCGTCCCTACCAACTGGAACATTGATGCCTTGGGCTTCTCCGGTGGCGGCTGCGGCTCGCCCAAATGGACCGCTCAGCTCCGCGGGGACAACTGGGTCTGCATGAGTGTCAACTCTCGGCCCAACTACACGGGCTCCTTCTACTACTTTGTCGGCCGGAAGCGTGCCGCGGACAGCGCCTGCGAGGGCTCTGTTGCCCCTGACACCCTGGTGCTTGCTGATGGGGTCACCAAGTATGACATTGCTGGCTTCGACGAGGCCAAGGTTGCAGACCTGGTAAGCTCAATGGTTTATATTTGAATCCGGTTATATTTTCAGCTTCTTTTTGTGTTGGTCACGTTTCAAGTTGTTCGGGAACAAAGACATCCTTGATCAAAGTGTTGACTCAACCTTTTTAAACAGCTTGCCATTGCTGGCACTGGAGCTGGTCCCGCAGAGATGCCGGAGGAACTGCAGGTCAGGCGCAAGTAGAATCACATTACAAGATCTTCAGGGATACAAGGGTGAAAGTCATAAAATCATGGAAATATGTGGGTTTGAGTGGGTGGTTGGCTTTCATTCCATGGCACAGGCTTTGTGCAAGTTTGTACCCAGCAGGACAGTTGCTCATTGACTGGTGCCACCAACTATACACTTGCAAAAATTGAACTTGTTTGAGTTGTTAAAAGTAGGACGCAGGTGCCTAAAATCGGCTGTGCCTTTCGTTTCCTGTAATAGATCGCAAGTGGGGCAAGTGGGACTGCCGGGTAACAAGCCTCAGGCTGATTAGCGGAGGTAGAGCGCAGTGCCGACCCAAGTGCTTGCTCCTAGTAGTAGAGCAACCCTCAATGAACAGCAACTGGTAGAAAGTTGATAAATTGGTATGTCATTTCTTATTAATTTGATATGGCACCTGAAAACACTATAAAACTCCAGTGGTTTTGTATCGTTTCTAATCCCCGTATATATAAAATGTATGTGGTGTAAGGCTCAACAGGCAAGAAATGATAGTGTGACGAAAGCTGGTCTGCGGATGGTAGCTTATATGCTCTTTGAGTTAGGCGTATTCTCTACTTGTAAAACCTACAAGGTGACGGCTTGTGAGGGAAAAACATTCTATTGATGATGTGATCCACGAGCGGTCTCCCGGTAGATATGGACCTAGGTGCACCCCTTGCATAGATTGCAGATGTGACGAATTCAATCAACCCCCATTATTATGTCAAAAGGGACAGATATACCGATAACAAAAGCTCGTGCCAAACGTGCCCAGAGAACTACTTCATGCAGATTTGATTAGATACACGAACTCGTGATCTGTTTACCTTGTTGGATGGAGTCAATTAGCTTCAGTTTCCGTCGGGATGGCAAAGTTCAATCTAGTGTGACTGGAATATATTCTAAAAAGGAATTCTTTCGGGGATTGCATGAGCTGCCAGGTGCTTTTCCACCCACCCTTAACCCACAGGATTCGAAGCTCCAGGAGTCATTGGTCTGATAATTCCTCAAACTCTTGTATGACCCACAGATAGGAATTCAGCCGAAAGCAATCCATAAATGCAACAAAGCATCGAACACGATAAAAGTCTTTGAGGTATTATTTCGCTTTTCCAAAATTCCAGGCAGCTATATGTTTGGAGTGCCTGAGTGGCTGAGCAGCACCGTGTCAGCATGCGCCTCACGGCTGCAGGATTGCCTCACGAACTTAGGATCAAATATTCGCGCACCTTGAAACAAACATTTTTAAATTTCTATTAATATATTACTTGTTTATTCTTAGTTATTATAATAGAGTAAAGGATCTAATATATAAATATTCTTACTTATTAAATGTTCTTCTTAAATTAAATATAATTTTAAAAAACTAGAAGTATAATAATTATATTTATTTAAATTAATTTTATATTATATATTAAGTAGAGTATATAAATTTATATTCTTTTATTCTATATCTTAAAGTGGTGGTTATATTGATTTTTAAACATTAAAGTTAGTAAAAAGGCTTATATAAAGAGAACGAAAATTTACGCACCTAAAATTAAAAAGCGCACACTTAAATATAACTAAATAATACCTATATATATATATAAATTTATTTTAACTAAGGCCCACTATAATAATTAGTAAGGTTATTATATACAACTAATACTTAATACTATTTTCTCACTAATTAATAAAAGAGAGGTTAAAAATTATATAAATTATATATATTAGGGCTTAAATAGATAATATTTTAAATATAATTTATACTTAATTATATATATACTTAAATTTTAAGTTATATACTCTTATTATTATTAATAAGGTTATTTATAGTTAGATCTATCTATAGCAATTAGTTAATAGTTCTTTATATCCCTATATACTACTTTTTAACTACTAATAGGGTGCTTAAGGATATACCTAAGAGAGTAGATTATCGCTTTAACTAATAGTTTACTTACCTTATAAGCTTTACTACTAACTACTAATCTTATTAAATAGTCCTTTACTAAATATTACTATTATAAATATCCTTTTTATTTAAAAATTATAAGATTAAATTATTTTACTTTTAAACTAAATTTATTTATGAAAGAGAGATTATTATTACCCTTATTTTATTCCCTACCTTATTTCCTAAATTAATAATTATTAATTTAATTTACTTACTTATTATAATTATTACTTAACTTATACTCTACTTAAAAATACTTACCTTATTAATTATAAATATAACTATTTTATAAGGGTATCCTTAATCAATTTAACTTACTTTAATAAATAAACTATAAATAAAGGGTTATTAATTAATAAGTTATAATTAAACTAAAAGAATTTATATATATTAACCTTTTAAAAATTATTTAACCTCCTTTCTATTAATAATTTAATTAATATAAATTAAGCTATATTATATAAATATAAAGTAAATATAAATTAATTATTAATAATTATTTTATATAATTTTACCTTTAAGTATTTATATAGCCTCCTTTTAATATTTAAAAAATCTAAAACTACTTATAAAACCTATATTAAAAAACTTTCTAACTACTTTTACCTATTAAACTTCTAAAAGGAAAATATTTTCTAATATATCTTTTCTAATTTAAAGTTATAAATAATATCCTTTAAAGCTTTATAAATAACCTTAATAAAGTAAAAGTATTCTTTATTTTATAACCTAAATAAATTTTAAACTTTTAATATATACTTTTATTAAAAATATTATATATAAATTAAAATTAAAAACTTTATAGGTTTTATAAACCACCTATTTAACTATAATCTCCCTTTTTTTATTTATATAGTAGGTCTTTAAATACTAAATTATTATTTATTAATTTAAAAACTCCTTTTATAAATAATATTAAGTTAAATTAAAAACTTAATAATTAGTTAAGTACTTTATAAATTTAAATAAATTAAATAGAGTTTAATAAATATAAAGGACTTTATTTAAAACCCTTAATAAAATAGTTATTTTACTTTTTATTAGAGTATTAAATAAAGCTATATTTAAATCCTTAACTCCTAAACCCTTTTATTATTAGCTTTTTTTCTTTTATATTCTAAGCTTAATACCCTTTATTATTTTTTTAATATTAAAAATAATATTTATATTAATATAAAAATATAAAATTAATAATAAATATAAAAATATATACTTAATAATATTAATTAAAATAATATTATAATTAATAATAATAACCTTTAAATTTATAACCTTATATTCTACTAATAGTAATTTAATTTATTTTAAAAGCTATTAAAAGCTTAATTTCTTTTATTATTAATAATACCTTAAAATAAAAGTAAGTTTTTCTTTATATATATTATAACTATACTTAAAAATATAATATTTTCTTATTATTAGTTATATAAATATAATTAAAAAGAAATATTAAGTAAAATATTACTCTTAAATCTATATCATTTATTACTTTTATACTAAAAGATACTAATAATACTTTCTTTTATTTTAAATATAATAATATTAATAGTTTTATTTTTAAATTAATTTAATATTACTTATATTAATATATAAATACCCTATTTTTTTCTTTATTTTATTAATTAAAACTTTATTATATTAAATTTTAATATAATTATAAAATATTCTTATTAAAATATAAATTTAAGTTTTTTAGTTTTATTATGAAAAATTATAAATAGTTTAAGAAAGGAATTTATATTAATTTATAATTAACTTAACCTAACTTTATTCTATTCTAACTACCACCTAAAGCCTATAATAAACATACTTTTCTTCCTAAACTATAAGTTTCTACTTACCTATTATAACCTTAATTATATAAATAACTCCTTACTAAGGGTAGTTAGTTTTAATTATAATAATATTATAAATAATTAAAGTTAAAAATTATTATATATTATAACTATAAACTAAAATCCTTTAATTTACCTTAAAATTATAAAAACTATTAACTAACTAACTAATTTTATAGCTTTATTTAATTTAACATTAAATTCTTTATAAATATTATATTTATTATTAAAAACTTTAAAAACATAAAAAATTAAAAAGTACTAAAAGCAATAATTAATAATAATAATACTATAATTCTAATTATAATAATTAACTTACTAATATAGTTTAAACTTAAAATAATCTAATATTTACATTATTAACTATAATATTTAAAAACAATATTTAAATAAATATAATAAAAATTTAATCCTTAATTAATAATTTTTACTACTTAAATAATTAATTTAACTTATAATTAAATAATAATTAATAAATATAATTAAATAGGAAAAAAAGATTTTACTAAATATATTAAGTAAAATATAAAAAGCACTACTTAAATAATCTAATAAGTAAAATAAAGTCTTCTAATTAGCTATAACCCTACTTAATTATATCTAAGTATATACCTTCTAATTTTAGGTGTACGAATTTCCGTTCTCTATATAAAGGTACCTTTTTAGGAAAGGATAGGATGCGCGGTATACGTTTTTTAGGTGCGCGAATATTCGGTCCCACGAACATCCATCGCCTGTTTACATTCTGGTACTGATTAACCGCCCTGGGAAGTTGCTGTTCAAATGCGGTGTAGCGCCAAGCTCGACGCTGATCACCTGCAACTTGACCAGGCTGCAATTCGCTCTCATCCGCTGGTACTCACAGGCGACGGCTTGGCATAAGACCACCTCACCACCCAGCTTTGGAGCCGTCCTCACCCGTCCCATTCATCTCTCCCCGCGTACAGGGCAGCATTGACATCCCCCCTTGGTCGTCTAGCACATCCATACCATGTCAGCTCCAGCAACAGCAGGCCCAAATGCAGACGGGCCGCCCCAGTATGATGCGGTCGTCGACGTGTGCGAGCCCACCATTCTCATACTCGCCGGGCAGTCCATCCATGCTGAATCAGCTGACTCGGCGCCGCTCTACCAGCTTAACAGGGGTATCGCAACCCTGACCCATACAAGCCACAACGTCGAGTTACAGCGTGTCCAGTACAGCGTCAAGACGACGCCGGGCGGAGAGCCGGCCGTGAAACCTCGCGACAGGCACATCTACAACCTCAGGCACGAGCACAAGGTCCCTGGCGGGTATGACTCGTGGCCCTCGGAGTCGCCAAACTTCTACATCGAGCCTGTGTCCAGCACCACCAAGGAGGCGGGGACCCTGGGGCTCAAGAGGTCGCGGTTCCCGGGGCGGAAACACTGGACGGTGCTGCGGGTTGACAAGTCCGGGAAGCACAGCAAGAAAGATCTCGGCCTCCCGACCTTTTACAGGAATACGAAACCGGTGTTTGAGATCGACCACAAGAAGGGAGGCTATGAGTGGACGGACGGGGAGGGCAAGGCCGTGGCTATCGAGGACGAGGGGGAGGACACACACCGGCTGATAGTCACGGCGTCGTTGCCACGCAAGACCTTGGATGCGCTGGTGGCTATGTGGTGCTGTCGCATGTGGCAGTATTCAGCAGACAACACGGAAAGCGTCTACCCTACCATGCAAAACAGTGAGTACAAACAGAGGCGTGCCGTGCAAAGGCTTTGCATTTTGCTAATGGAACGGAAGCAGTAAAGAGAAAGCTGAACCTTCAGAGAGATTTTATGAACAATTAATTAATCAAGCCCGCCGCCAACCCGCGAAGCCCTCCCACGTCTTCCGCGGCACATGGGCCGTTGTGCAAAACAACGTGCTCAGGCACCAGGCCATCCTTAGCCGGGATGGTGAGAATCACCGTCTCAGTGGCACCCGGGAATTGACTTCGATGGCCTTGGGCGCTCACCGCAGCGGTATCGGCAGCAAACGTGACCCCGAACTCGCCGCCGACCGCATAAGCGCTAGTACTATTGTCGGTCGGCAACGTGACGTAAGCCAGTCCCGAGAGGAAGATGACCCATCTGAAGGATTTCAGTCTCGCGCATAGTCTCGGTCCAGAGCAAAGGAATGTTCATCATGGTTTGGGGTGAGGGGATCGTGGGTCTTACTGGTTGAAAGGCGCGGTGTGGAGCCCGCCGTCAAAGGCGGCGGGTATGACAGTGAATGAGGCATTTCCTACATCTCCTAATAGTGCCGTTGCGCTTCCGCGAATACCCGGTGTTGCTGAGGATGCGAATGGACTGTCTAATTGCCAGCACTCTATGGTCGATGCGTTATTTGCCGCACCGGTGGCGGTGATGTTCAAGCGCAGTGCCTGTGCTGCTCGCGCACCGAGGCCAAGAATGTCGAGCATTTGCATATTGGTGGTTTCTTTGTCCGACAGTTATGTGACGAGATGAAAGCTTGAGAGAACATGAATCTGGAGGCAAGGAGTCTTTTTCAACGCATAGCGAACTTCTACAGAATTGGCACTACAGTACCAGCCGGGAGCGTACATCGTGACCAATGACGGTGGCGCATATTATGCAGCTTGGTACCTGGTACCTAGTCATAGCCTGGTTAGAATTCTGACACAATAACACATTTGATGCGTCTAGCGCTAGGGCTGACCGTCACGGTGTGAGTAGCTGGCTTGGAAACACGAGAAACCATTGGCACGTCATCAGATTCAATGGTTGGTTACTGTATGCGCATCGTAAAGATACCCGGCATATGCGAAACCACTAGTTTAAGGCTTGAGATGGAAAAAAAGGACACGCACATTATTAGGGTAGCGCCGACACACGCTCAAAGAAGACAACATGTGACTGGTCCGGGGTATGCTTTCCATCTACGTAACAACTCTCTTCTTGGGGGGGGGGGGGGCTTTTCTTCTTTACAAAGTCAGTCCTTGCCAATGGGAATCGATATGTAAGAGACTATCCTATAGAGGTTACGAGTACCCCGTGGGAAGGAATCCGGAACAAGGCCATTCTGGACAGTATGAGGTTGTTCTTAAGGGGCTGGAGAGAAGACACGATAGTAAGCGAGTCTTGCAACGCTTCTCCTTCGTGTCCATGGACCCGAAAAGATCACTTGGCAGTTAACCCAGCAACTTCTTCGCGCTAGTCAACCCGAGAGGAGAGTCTCTTCGAGAGTCCGTTTTAATTATGATGGGGCTGAAAGGGAACTTTGTATCCCATGCATCGAGTCGGGCACGGCCCACATGGCCACTCCCTTCGGCATACCAAGGGAGTTCACACCCACAGACCATGGCTCTGGAGCCATGTCCTGACAGGGTCCCGACCAGTTGACCAATTGGCTGTGAAACTTCTAGTGTGCCGTCCCATTTGTCGCAGCCACAGTTCCGCCCACGGAGCTTTCTTAGCGAATAATAGTTGCGGTATCCCAGGAAGCCGTCACGGCAAGAATTCCGCGCAGTGGATATTCCATAGAAACAGATTACTGACCTGGAACTCCCGGACATTGCTGTTTCAGGCTCCCTATAAACTGTGAGGGTGCGCAGATGTTGGCGATATATCCATCGATCATGTGCAGATGAACCCTTTACTTTGTTTATCGAGATTACATTACCACATGCTGCCCTACTGGCAAGTTGTCTTCGCACAAGATGCTATTCCACACGCGCATTGCCATCGCTGTTTTCTCCGTGGTCGTCATCTACTCAGTCATTCTTGTGAAAAGAAGACAAGCTGAGATCAACGACCTGTTCAGATTCAGCGAGAGTTTGCCTCACATCTTCGGACAGATTACCTCACCCAGCTGGCCATCCATATTCGGTGGTTCCGAAAAGCTTCACCTTCCTCACATCCAGGACCTCTGCTCAGAAACAGTTTGGACCCCGAACCTTTGGCTCCACTGTCACAAGGGATGTGGACCTAACGGGACATCCCTCTGCGGCGGGCTCAACAACGCCCGGAACCGCATAACAAGCTGCCTGCGAATGGCCATCGACGCCGGCGCGGGTCTCATCATACCCCCTGTAGCAATGCGCGGCGACGACCTCGAGGTCGACCCCAGAGGCAAGGAGCACTGCGCGGACACCTGGTGGGACCTACGCTCGCTGCAGGACGCCATGGCTGCCAACTGCCCACAGTTGCAGATGCGCGTCGCCTGCGAAGGGCTGCCATACAAAGATGCGATCCCTCCGCTGGGAAGCATGGCAGACAAGGCGACGATCGAAGCCCCGCCGCAAGTAATATGCCCGGCGCCGGGCCCATGCTGGACAAAGGGGGCCTTCCGCAAGGGCCTGGCCCTGCCGGCGATACTGGCGGCTTCGACAGACAAGAAGACCCCCACGATCATCCGGTACGCCGACTCGTTCCTCGGCTGGAACTACCGCGGCTCCGACGAGATGGACACGATCCGCAAGGAGCTGCACCTCAGCCTCCCGTTCCGCGCGCAGCTCCTCGGGCTCGGCGACACCATCGCGCGCCGCCCGCAGCTCGGCGGCGGGGCCTTCATCGGCGTGCACCTGCGCGGCGAGAGCGACTGGCCGTCTGACCGGAGCTCCCCGGACCAGCAGATGGCGGCCTTCGAGGAGGAGATGCTGCGGATCCGCGGGATGGGCCCGGATGGTGAGGGAGTGTCGGCGGTCTATGTCAGCTCGGGGGACCAGCAGGCGATCCAGAACTTTCGGGAGAGGCTGGAGCCGCTGAACTTCACTGTGCATGACAAGTGGACGATCCTCAAGGATGAGCCAAAGATGCTGTCGCTGGTGAATGAGATGGATTTTGATTCCATGGGGGTCATTGATTATCAGGCCCTTGTCCGGGCTGAATTCTTCATTGGTGTGAGTCTTTTTGTTTTGGCCCTTTGACTTCTCCTGAAATCTCGTCCCTTCCAGTTCACCTCAGACCCCCCAAGACATGCTAAATTTGTCGTTCTGCAGGTCTTAATGAGCACAATGAGTGCATATATCGCGTACACAAGGACTGCCAATCACGAGGAGGATTTCTTCGATAAATACATCTTCCCGGATGTTAATTTCCTCGGCCCGATTGCCCACTTCCCAGAGCCTTTCACCATTCGGGGTAACAACCACACCAGCCTGCTGGTAACTGATGGACAATACTACATGGACTCCTTCCCTTGATGGGTGCCAGCATCTATAAGTTGCATTGTCTTGTGGCCTTTGGGGCACTCATCGCGATTCTGGCTGAGTGGTGGACGTGAAGAATGGGGGGGAATTACACGACATCCTTCATTGTATTAGATGAGGTACTTATTGTAATCCAAATCGAAGACCAAACAGCTTTCGAAGGACCACATCCCATATCGAATCCATTGTCTTGGGCTCTCTACTGTTATTCTATGCCAAAGTGACAGCTGATTGGGAAACATTGGCACGGAAAACGGGAAGACCCAAACATGCAAGAGCAAGGCATACGACAAGCTGTTTGACATTGTTGGCAATTCGGTCCGATACTGGCAACCAACAAGTTCTTCAGTCTATAACCCAGTGAATGGCATTGAATAAGCACAGACACATTGAATTATCTGCCTACATCACTGCCCAGGTGTCATTGATCTGATCTCCAATCCTACTTAATGCAAGGCAAAGGGCCAACCTGCTAACACATCGGTTGAACATAAAAAGGTCGTCCGTTTTGGCTCTCCATCGTCGGCGAGCTGCGACCTGCGACCAAGACCCCAGCCATCCTGGTGCAACCCGAAGCATCGACAGCCAACAAACACGTCCATTTCCTCGACCTGAAATGTTCAAGTTCATCGACCCGCAAGAGAACGCCCCTGGCCGCCAGCCAGCGCGGAAAGACGTCACCGTCGAACAACTCGTCAGCTGGCTCGGTTGCCCCGGCATCACCGACAGCGTCACCGAAGACGCACTGAAAGTCAGCGGCAGCGGTGAAGATGTAGTCTCTCTGCAGGACGAAGCGCGCGCCGAACGCCTCGCCGCCGACCCCGAGTTCCACCGCTGGCTGACCAGCAAGGAATCGGGCCATCTCCTCGTCCAGGGAAACTACGACCAGGCATCGCAGATTTCGGGACTGTCGATCTTTAGCAGCGCGCTCAGGCGCGCGCTGTGGGGGGAGGCGCCGCGTTGCATCCCGCTGCTGTTCTTCTGCGGTTTGCACACCGGACCGCCGCGTCGCCCGCGCGCCTTGAGGCTGGCTGACAAACAAGCACAATCTGGCCCGCCGCGATCCATTGCTGCCATTTGCCTGGAGGAGCTGGAGACCGTCGGCCACACCATGGTCCGTAGCCTCATCTACCAGCTGGTCCACCGCCTCGGAGATCATCATACCATTGCCATCGATTGTTATGACATCGTAGGCATCAAGGCAGGCAGCATCACTTGCCTATGCAACCTCCTGTCGCACATCCTGTCCTCGATGCCCAGCAACACTGCGGTATGGTGCCTGATCGATGGTGTGGAATTTTACGAGCAGAAGAGGCCTTGGTTCGACGTCAAGTTGGTCCTGGAAAAGCTTGCGCGATTTGCGAATCCGGCGGACAACACGAGAGGAGGAGCTTCCGTTCGTATGCTGCTTACGACCCCGACATCCATGGCGCGCGCGCCGCAACTGTTTGCGAACCCGCAGGTCGTCTCGCTGGCCGCGATGGCTGGGGAGCAGCGGGACCCTGACCGCTGGGCACTTCGGCGCATTCTGGACGAAGAAGTTGAGAAGGCACACGGGTACTGGAAGCCACAGAAGCCTCGTGCAGATCTGGATGACTTTGAGGCTTGTCTGCGCGGATGGAGGTATCTGATGTCATTTCAGATGCCCGTCACCTGGCCGGGGGAGAGGGACGCTCGTGACCTGCCGGTGTCACGTTATGTCGGCCAAGCAGGCTACGAGTTCTAGGCGTTACTGGAATCAAAACAGAGATGGCCCTGGAATCCGGACCTTGGCGCAGGACTCTACATGTGGAATTTCGGTTCTTGGAGGAGGCTGGACAGAGGGATTTCCCTCTAGAGCTTACCTTGGTATCCTCTGTTTCTTCTGTCTTTTTTCTTTTGGAAGGGGGGGGGGACAAAACGCGTGAGGTTTTATGACGTAAAAGCGGAACCACTATTGTAGTACAATAGCGACTACCTTGTATCGCGACAGATTTCTTGATTTCTAGTATGAAAGTCAAGTTTTTCCTCTCCACGGTATTGACAGGGGACAAAAGTACCTGTGTACCTAGGTAGTCATCTGGCGCCCAGGGTCACCTCGTAGGGCGTGTGTTGTTCTCAGATCCATAAATCTTGAATCCCTAACTGCATTCGAAATCAATCTTGGCCACCAAACACCGCTGATGTTCATTTACTCTACTGCGATTGAGCTATTCCAGCAACATGCCACTTCCAAGGTTGTGACTAATTTTGACTGATTATCCATCATCACCCTAAATTCGACGCCAACAATACTATTAGTGGGCTCAGTTCCAGACACCCAGCAGACCAGCCACTACTTACCTAGGTAGGTATGTGGTTTCGCTTCTATTCCGTATACGTCCGAGGACATACATGGCGCCTTCATACGGTGGTAAGCACCTGGGCACTCAAGACCCAGCGCTTGAAAAGAATACGATGCCGATAACGATAGTTATAATACGATAGGTGCTTGTGGCCTCAGCCTTGCGACGCACAGACAAGGCTAAGGGGCACCGTCTTGACGACGGCGTTGACGCCGCGCTACCTAGGTAGGTAGGTATGTGTCATGATTTCTGCCGTCAAAGCAAGGTGAACTAGTTTCGCTTCTATTTCTCATATGTCTGAGGATATGGAAGTTAATACCATTGTACAGCAGTAAACGGTTTAGACCTAGCATTGTTAAAAAGAAAATAGTATTTTAATAGGTGTATGTGGCTTTAGCCTCATAGTGTCTAGATAGGGCTAAGGGGTACCGGCTTGGTAGTGTTGTTAAACTTGTAGACATGAGTACCTAGCCTGTGGGTTAGTTGCTGCTAAAGTAGTTCTATGGCGAGACTAAAAGATGGTCGCTATGGAAATGAAGCCCACAAAGGGAATCTCAGTCAAAATTTTAGCCCTGTTTATATACAAAGTCAGCTCAAGGAACATCCAAATCCTGCTTGACCAACCTGCTTGACCAACCTGCTTGACCAACCTGCTTTCTGCCTAGGATCACAGATTGTAAACACAGTCCACCGATTCTGGAGGTAATGCTTGAAATCTTCCCGCCACGGCGCACCCGTTAATGTGCTATTTCTAAATCTTCATAGAACCACGGAACAGACGAAACTTTCCTTCCGACCTGAGTCAACTGGACCTGGGCGTGAAATCGATCTCTGTAGCGTTACGCAACGCTGTGCCCCCATAGTCAGCATCGAATGACCCAAACCATTGAGCTTGTGGCCTCGAGACAAAGGAATCCGCCTCCTAGACGAATGATGTCGTATCATGCCCCACAGAGTCCTTCGCGACAGCATGAAATTATTCTGTACACAGTTTCACAAGTCTCCAACGCCGTTGGCAGGCCAAGAATCCTCACCGACTTGCACTTCCTCGACGCCAGGCGCGAGACTTTGGTCCCCTCAGAAGAACGAGCGCATGCCGAGCAGCTCGTCAGAACCGACGAGTTCCGCAGGTGGACTCAAAGCCGAGGGTCATCACAGCTCCTCGTCCACGGCCACCTCCCGGCAGGCGCCGCCCGCGGCCGCCCGTCAGGGCTGTCCTACGTCTGCCTGTCACTCGCAAACGTGCTCATGGAGCATGCCGACCGTTTTATCAATCTGGTATTCTTCTGCGACATGGAAACAGTCCACTACGGCTGGCCAAGAAGTGACGGCCGCGAGATGATCCGGAGTCTCCTCTACCAGCTCCTGGCGCAGATGCGTCGCCTCGGCATTATCCACAGCTTCGCCTGGACCCCACAGTATTTCCAGGACATCAGGAGGGGTGACCTGGATGCTCTGACCGCCCAGTTCGAACATCTGATCTATATCACACCGCCCCATCTCACGATCTGTTGTGTGGTGGATGGTACGAACTACCGCGTGGGAGAAGACTTCTCAGACGACGCGACGCAGATGCTGCAGTGGCTTCTGAGGACTTCGATTGATTCAGCACCAACGGGTGCTGCTTTCAAATTGCTAATTACGAGCCCTACCTTCTCACCGCGTTTGATACATATAATCCCGGAAGCATTCTTCGTGTCTTTGGCGCCACAGCCTGATATTGCGAGACTTGAGGGGGAGATCAAACAACTGATTCAAGCACGAGGGGAACCCGAAGAGGACGCGATGTACTGGTTCGGGGGTGTCGACTGAATCTGGTCTGGATAGAGTGTTCTGGCATTTGATAGAACAAGACTCCGAGTTGATTGCCGTACTGGGAACTACATATGTATACACAAATGATGCTTGAACATGTCATTGACGAACCGACCTTTCGTTGCAGATCTCATGGTAACTATGCCGCACACGTGCGCCATCAACAGCGGTCTGTGGCCAAGTGTACAAGATCATAAGTCATTTCTATTGATAACATTCAAATATCAGTCGCCGACCTTGAGCCCGGAGCCGTCTTGTGCACAGCCAGTCTGGTGGCTGCCAACACCTCCTGGAGGATATGTTCCTACCAGACCAAACAAGGCGCCATTTGAGCGGCACCAGCAGCATGGAAATGCTTCTTCGCCAAGAGCACTCAATAGAGTTTGCGACCCCAATGCCAATTTGGCAGTCGATCAGCGACAGGCCTAGCTCTGTCTACCCTAACACGAGGTAGAGCAGGCCATTGATCCTTCAGGATGCGACTCTCATCTTACTTAGCAAGCCGGCCCGCATAATCAAGGTCACATTGGGGGCCGGCATGGGGTGCAGGCACTTTCGTGGCTGAATATTGCCTGCCTCTTTCCTTGGCTTGTCTCTGCAAGGGATGCCGTCGCCCGTCCAATCCAGTGGGAATACACTGCACTGGCCACCCCTTATTATTATGACTACAGATCTACCTCCTTGCTCCGGGCCGTGCCAGCTTCAACATCAATAATTACCCCCAACCGTCGTCCCACCGAGGCGATGGCCATCACCGTGACGTCCCTCAGGACTATAGTGTCCACAGGTGCATCTGCCACGCAGACCACGACCGTCGCGACGACTCTGACCATCACCCCGAACCCGCTGACCACCGCCTTCGAGCCGCCGCCCTACTGCACGCAGAGCTACCTGTCCAACTGCCAGACGGACGTCGTGTCCGGGACGTACCCATGCTTCGTCTCCGTCTACCCGCAGGGGGTCTGCGATAGCAACGGCCAGTCCTGCTACCCGCCCATCCCGGGCGTCCTGGACAACACCTACCTGTACTCGCCCGGGCTGAGCTGTCCCCGCGGCTGGTCGACGGCGTGGAAGGAGGTGCGGACGCCCACCGGCGACGACGACGAGGAGACCACGGCGCATTGCTGCCCGACGTGCGTGCTGATGAGCTGAAGACGACTTTCCCCCGGGAGCAACATGTGCTCGGGCTGACAAGCGCTGATCATATCATCGCAGGGGACTCACCGTCACGACGTACGGCATCTACTCGACCTGGTGCGAGGGGACCGTCACCGCGGGGCAGGAGACCATGGTCGTCAACGGCCTCTCGCAGTGCCCCGCCTCGACGACCGTCTTCAGCCTCGGGCGGGACCCCGTCCAGCTGACCTGGCTCAACGCCGACTCGACTAGCATGTCCATCTCGGGGACCCCGGTCTTCACGGTGTCGGCCGAGCGCGTCGCCCTGCTCTACCGGTCATCCGACGTGGCAGCCGCCGCCGGGGCGTCGTCAGCGGCCACGGGCGGCGCGGACGCGGGCCCGGGACCGTCCGGCTCAGCATCATCAGGCTCGGGCTCATCAGGTCTGTCAGCCGGAGCAGTAGCAGGCATAGCCATCGGCGCCGCGGCCGTCGGCGTCCTCCTCGTCTCGGGGCTCTTCTGGCTGTGCCTCCGCCGCCGCAGGAGCGCCCAGGGTCCCGCGGCGGCGTATTATAACAGCCAAGGCGGGGACGCTCACCACCCACCCCCGGCACCAGCGCATGCTCCGTCCCCCGGCCACGCCCCGGCCGGAGCAGCCGTGCACGAGCTCAAAGCCTCGGGGTGTGCGGTCTCCTCGCCCCAGGTGTTGCCCGCCGGCCACGCCGCGCCGAACGCGACGGAGCTGCTGGGCAGCACGCCCTCGGACCACCGCTGGGTAGGCCTGCCACAGGATGGGGTGGACTCTCGCCGTGGCGGCGGGACACCCGTGCCTGTGCCCGGGGAGGTCTCGGTTTCAAATGACTACTATCAGCTGCCAGGGACTTATGAAAGGGGCCAGGGGCCGCTGGACGATTCGAGGCAGAACACGCCGATTAATCTTGTTGGTCCGGGCGCTGGAGGGAGAGGGTATCCGCCAGAGAAGACTGGTTGGTGAGTACATAGGTAGTTTGTTAGATATGTAGTTAATGAGACTCATCTGGGTCGTAACCGGGGAGATGGAGACCAAGCTGGAGACACCAGCTGACACTCGTCTGAGCACTGACGAGCCCTGATATCTGTGCTTTGATGTTGGTTTCCGAATAATTTTCATGGAAGAGTTCAGAACTCTATAACCTGACCACGACATCCGATTAATGTTCGGCCCAACCGTCAATTCGTGGTGTCACATTGAGTGTATCCACGGCGCCCAGCGGCCAACAGTTGCAGCTCTAGACCACCAGCAGCCCCCCGCGCCCCCTAGACCACCTCTTCATGAACGCCGGCGTCATGGACAAGCCCTTCTTCCTCTCGGACGACCCGGGCGTGGCGGACATGGACGCCGAGGACCCACCCGAGCCAGACGCGCGGCCCATCGACCTCAACACCAAGGGCGCCATGTTCAGCCCCAAGTTGGCGCAGCTGTACATGACGGCCGCGCCGGGCCCGAGACCGCGGAGCAGGAGCGTGGTCTTCGTCCTCAGCCCCGAGTCCTTCGTCACGCTGCCCGCGAGCATCATCCACACCGGGTCCAAGTTCGGCGCGCGGGGGCTGTTCCGCTCCGCCCGGGTCCCCTTTGCGAGCAAGGGGGTCCGCGTCAACGCCATAGTGCCGTGGTTCATGGAGACAGGCATGAACGCCGGCGAGGGCGGGCTCTCGGAGGTCCTGCAGGCGCTCGGGGTGCGCTTCGTGCCTGTGGAGTCGCACGCGCGGGCGGTGGTGCACTTGTTGTCGGATGGCGATATCGCGGGCCGGGCGGTGGCCCTGGGCCAGTTCGAGGGCGACACGTATTTTGACGTTGAGGATGATGATGCCGGTGGAGATGGGCACAGGAGGTACTGGGAGCTGTTTCATCGGGGGCGGCCTGGGGTTGTGGAGGCGCGTCACAAGATGTACGGCATGATGGGCTTCCAGGACCATCCGGAGACGTGGTTTTGGTTGGTGGGTTCGAGACTGGTCACGGTTTGTGGAGTTGAGATGCGAACACGCCCAGGACACGGCCCGTAAGAAAGTGAAGGCCGATTGGTGTAATCCTGTACTGGCAGTGCTCGATAATGAGGGCATTAGCAGGTATAATTTTGCTTCTTCTTCGGAGATATGGTAATGAGGCTGTGATTTTCCAAAAATTGGGAATAGTCCCTCAGGGCCTTGTCGTCTCTTGCTTCCTAGACGTCCGTCTGACTCGACCCATAGACACTAGCTATGCAACTGTTAGCCCCCCTTAGAGGTGATCGACGAGAAAGTATTCCACAGGCAGGCACCTCCAGCATGTTTTCCGATGACTCCAGCCAATGTCATAGTGCTGGGAAGGAGATTATGCTACAGGAAATATGGAACAAATCCAGTTGGAGCCGGGTCACTACCACCCGGCTTCTGTTCCAGTCGTCCATCGCTGACGGTGGCTTCGGCCTCGGTGCCTCTCACTTTCTGGTCGCGAGGGCCGGTCACAGCCGAGATGACTTCGCTGAACTTCAAGCTGCATGCCGACCTGAAGAGACGTTTGATATCGTCGCAGCAATTCTGGTGGAGGACAGTGCCAAAGTCCCGGGCGAGGTGTGCCCGAACCTCTCGAGCTTGCTCTGTCGGCTGCTCAAAGTAATCATAATTCCCTCTATGTTCCAGACGTGCAGGGATTACATCTCCAGACTCGTTTCCGTAAGCTGCATTCACGCGGCCAGGAACCAGATCCATAGATGCAAGTCGGTCAGGGTCGTCCCAGAATGCCCAACCGACGGCCCTCAAACGGCGACGCGTGGTGTAGGTGATCGGAAGTTCGGCCAAGTCTGAGTGCAAGACTTTTTCCTTGAAGTAACGCAGGCTTGTGGTATCACGCCTGGAAAAGAAAAGTCGTGTTTGAAAACGACATTTATTGAAAAGGTGAAAGGTTGCTCGAAAAAAGTGAAGTCGGGCTGTCGCGTCGTGGGAGAGAAAGTCTTGCCAGAAGCCAGGTCCTAGCAGGGACATGCTGAACGGCCAGCCTTCCTGGCCGGGGGCACAACCGGGATACCTATAAAGGCGAAGAGATTCGTCTGGCAGAGAGTTTGAAGAGTCCGTGGCGGAAGCAGTACGTTGGCCCATCCTGGCGACAGCAAGAGAGAAACTCCCGACGACCTCGTTGAATGCCAACAGGTACTGTTCACACACATATTCACGGATACAACTAAGCTCCTCGCGCATGTATACTGGCATCTGACTGAGCAAGTCACGGATGGAGGGGAAGTCTCGGGGGGGTTCGATTTCCTGGTCACTGTTGACATCCCGGCCTATCTGGGGCAGGCCCCACACGACGCAAAACAGCTGATAAAGCAAGAAGGCCCTCCAAAGTCGTTGAGTCTCGCCGTCTTGCAAAGCTGGTGCGACACAAAGGGTGCTAAGCGAAGCAAATGTCTGGGGGCCGGAATCCCTGGTGACACGTCGCTGCGCCCTTGCCATTGTGTAGAGACTGTAAGTTTGAATTGCCTTGTGGATGATGGCGAACAGCCTGGTCGAAGAGTCGATTGTGTTGGGTGACAAATGGTGAATCTCGGGCTTGGGGCACGGGGGTGTTGGATGGACCTTCTGGAAGACGCAACGGAGAGCCTGATCAAGTTCATCTCGAGATGCTATACCCTCGAGCTCTACCTTGGTGGCTGCGGTGGTCCTAGTGAGCCAATGCCTGTCGGGTTGCAGTCAGTAACTGCACATGCATCGTGAAGTCCCGGTGCCGGCGGGTTCTGTAGGTGTGCTTACCCAGTACGCAGGTGGTGTCCAGCAGCTACGACTATATTCATTAGGTGCTGGTTCTCTAGTGACAAAACCTTGCGCAATGCAGATAACAGCACAGAGCTTGGGCTGCCAGTGGTGTATGCTTGGAGGGAACCAGGACTGGCACGTATGAGATTGGCGACATCCCATGGGGAGGCTAGCGAGCGCAGGATGGCATCATGCACGATGAGTGGCAGCCCGTCGAAGCTCGAAAAGTGACCCATCTTCTCAGACTGAGGTTGTCGCAAGGACGCAAGCAGGCTGCCCAGCGATGGTGTGACGGCTGGCGTGGAGGTCGAGGTTTGATGGAAGTCGCCGTTATTACCAAAGGGGACAAATGTTCAATGCCAGAGTGCTTGATCAAATGAATGATGCACCTGAGTGTGGTGACAGGTGTTGCAAGTTGGGCAAACAGGATGAAGATGCATCAAGACCGTTGGTTGCTGTCAAGTTGTTGATTAGGCAGACACATTGCTTGGTAACACCGTATGAAGGCGCCAATGTCCTCGGACGTATACGGTATACGGAATAGAAGCGAAACCACACACATTGCTTGGTAAATGCAGGAGCGGGAGGTACCCAGGTACCTGGGTACTAACAAGGGAGAGGGGGTTCGGGTTGTCCTGCAGCCTGCCAGACGGCAGGAAGGGAAGAGTCACCTTTCCCCCTCCAAAACCTCACGCAGCACCACTTCCCACATAACAACTTGCAACCTCCCCCCCCCAGCATCAACCTTCCCTCCCATGTACCACCATCTTTTACAAGAGTCTTTCAACCGATGCCCGCCTGTTGCTACGACCATGTCTCTCGATCAGCAACACAGTCCCTTCGAGGCGATGCCCCCCGAACTACACTTCAACGTGCTGAGGCACATGTCTGGACCAGAAGATGTCCTGTCCATCATCCAAGCCAGCCCAGCAGCTTTGCACGCCTTGCAGACAGGACGGGAGCACATCTACGTCTCCGTTCTCCACACACGGCTTGCCCCTGAGGTCTTCCGCGAGTTTCTTGCCATCTTGAATGCGCCTGACCACAACACTTGGTTCGTCCAAACCCCCCCCCCCCCCAAAAAAAAAAGTCGACATCCTACTGACATCACCTTGACAAGTCCGAGTGCGGGGCGTCTTCAAGAAGATCACGAATGGTTTGCAGACTGTGAATCAATACTCCAGGAGTGGAAGGTATGGGAGCTGAAAGCTGGTGAATTCCTACGCAGCCACGCCCTTGGTGCCACCTACTCGACCCCGAGTCCGGAGGCAGACGTCGCAAAATTCAGGACTCAGACAAGATTCATGATCCGCCTCTACTTCTGTCTCTCCAGACTCATCACTTACTACCTGCCCGATGCCAGAAGCAGGGTCCTCGGCACCAGGATCAGCCTGCCTCCCATCAACCCAGCTTTCTCTGGGCAGCCACCTCTCACCGAAAAAGAGCTGCTCAGAATGCAGCGAGGATTCCTGCGCCATGAGCTCTGCTGCCGTCTAATAGGGCTGCCGTCGATTGCTGCCTCCTCCAACCCTCGAGTCTTTGATGCCGTGGTCGCGCCCCATCGCCGACCGGACCCCAAGCTTGAATTTTGGGAAGTGAACCCGCTCACTCGCCTTCTGCCTGTAGACGAAACAGAAGAAATCATGTGTGCTTCTGAGTACGTCAGCAATCTGTACAGCAGGATCCGTGAAAGTTTCGTTGAGGATTTCGAACAGGCCGTACTGGACTGGCCCCTCGGCCGCGATAAAGACTACGGCCTGTCAGAGGATAGGATGGACATTACGCCCTGGTTGCGTAGTTTTAAATCACTGTTGCGAGACTATCGTACTTTCCAGTGGGCAGGGTTGTTCGGGAAAAGACTGGGCCTGGTCTTTGTTGATCGAATGATCCGGTCGACCCCGGCAGATCGGAGGAGCTTGTTGAGGACTTGTTCTCACACGTTCCGACCAATAGCTTATGAGCCTGCCTTCCTTGCAGAATCCTGGCGGGATGGTGTGCGCAGGCGGGGTTTCCATCGACGGGAGTACCGTTCCTCGCCCTTGCAGGTTGGACCGCACTGCACCGCTATTCTGAGGACGTGCAGCACCAATCACGAAATCGCTCACCTTCTGAGCCATTGGAAATATAATCCAGACATCCTTCGCAGGAACGGCTGGGCGTTCTTTGACGACCCCCTTCAGCTTCGTGATTTAGACCTCCCTCAAGATCACAGCGCCAGCGGTATTGAAAGGTGGGTGATTGACAAGTACGACATCCGAGAATTCTCTTTCGACCCGCCCCGCTCTGTGGACCCTCATCTTTCTGAGTTGGTATCACGCTTCAATGAGGACGAGTTCGCGGCTTTCTATGGGACCTACGAACCCAAGGACCTCAAGAACGACTTCCATGCGATGTCTCGATTTCTTGCCGAAGCCAGAGCGGTGCTTGATTTCAATTTAGACCGCCTTCCACAGACGGATTAATAAGATCCAATGGATCAACCTCCTACAGGTCAGCCTCCGATGTGTCAAGGTCATTAGAAAACCTCATATCAGATTACCTAGCAGGGAAAGTCGAGGCACAGTGGCTTTGTGATAAAATAAAGCAACTTTATGTGACGACATTGTGGGAATGATTTACATATGTTAATGTGCGTGACAGTGAAAGAATAATGTAGCACCACAACCTTCCTCGAAATATGTGCAGTGAAAGCGGTGACTGCCTACCCAGGTTCGCGCAAAAAGGAATGGCCCCCTCCCCACACACCATATACTAGTAGTAATTCCACTGCTAAGCCGCCTGGCGATACATCAGAGTTCCGAAACCAAGGTAATCATACCCACCGCTGGTGCTCCCGTAGTTGCCACCACCCCCTTCAACCCCGCCCGTTCCGTTGTTGGCAAGGTCGATGTACTCCTTGGTCCAAGACGCATCAAGGCCCTTGACGTCGCTGTAGTGGGCGTACAGGAGCTCGAAACCGGGGCGGATCGCGCCGCGTGATGCCGGGGAGATGCCGGGGAAGGTGCCCTGGTCGGGATTGACGTACTCGGTGAAGGGCACGTCCTGGCCCACGTTGTACTTGGCGAGGTACTCGGATCTGAACACGCACACATTTCGTTAGTCTCACAGGCACCCACAGAGCGGGACCCTTGGGCAATCATGAGCTACTCACGCCGCCAGGCCGCTCCTTGACATGAGCTCGAAGAGGTCGTCGCCCTGGTTGTGCCCCTGCTGCATGATCACACCCAGCAGTGCAATGTCGAGCGTCGCGTGGCCCTGGTCCCGGCTGGCCTCCTGGCTCTGGGCCAGGCTCTTGCCTGTTCCGTCTTCGGTGTGGTTGGCCACTATGAAGTTCGGCATGGCGCCCATGCCGTCGCCGTTGACGAAGTAGTTGGTGGCGAAGTCGTACATCGTCTGGTTGTCCGTGAACACGCCGATGGCCTGGATGGCGGCGATGTTGCACAGGTCCCAGTTCGCCCACTGTATTTATCAAGCCCATCCGGCGTCAGTCAGCGTTATCGCACCGACGAATTCGGCAATGGGGACGGGACTTACATAGTGGAACCGCGACGCATCGTTGTGCGTCGTCAGGAACCTATGGTTATCCTCAAAAAACACATCTCGCAGCAAGCCCCCGAGCCGCGTCCGGTTCTCGGCCGGCCACCCGGCGTAGTCCCGCATGATCTCGCCCGCGTTGGCGAGCTGGTACCCGTACAGCCCCGCGGCGAGGAAGCGGTCGCTGTTGCCGCCGATGGCCGTCATGGTCGAGGACCAGGCGTCGAGGACGCGGGCGGCGGCGTCGGCGTACTGGCTGTCCCCGCTGATCTTCCAGCGGAGCGCGAGCTGGTACGCCGCGTGGGCGTCGTTGTACAGCACCGGGTAGTTCTGGGAGTGCACGCCGTCGGAGCCGCGGTAGACCGTCGCCGCCGGGCGGGGCTGGTAGGTCGGCGAGGCGTGGGAGTTGGCGGTGAGGAGGTTCCAGGAGGTGAGGTATGGCTCCTTGCCTTGGCTCACTAGGTTCTTGACCCTGGTGAAGTCGTCCGCGGTGTGGAGGAGGCCTGGGTGGACGAAGCCTGTTGCTCCGGCCGCCAGGGCGAGAAGGGCGGTAACACGCACCATGATGATTTTGAAAGTTATACAAGAGGGAAGGTTGCTTTCGCTGAATTTGAGTGTACAGAACTGGGAAGGCTATGGATGATGAACTTTCTCATGTTTACAGGATCTCAACGCTGTATAAATACCCAAGTCTTTTATATGATATAAGATACCTATAACAATGAAGTTGTATCGCCATGAAGCCCAGCAGCATACGAGTCGCGTCCACGGGTCTTTCCGCCCATCAACGGCTCTTCCCGTACCTCCTCGTCTCATATAGAAAGCCTTCAATCCACCACCTTAGTCTTCTTCGTTCCTAGCGTCTTGTTGGACAAAAGTCCGGCCCTCAGTCCGCTCCGTGGAATGCATGCACATGTGGGTTGGGCCATCATCGACTCCACCGCCGAAGATCCCCAAGCCTGTCAACTGTCAACTCTGGTAGCCTCATTTTAAGCGAAGATCATTACAGCGCGAAGGCTTGGCGTGGCATGACTCTGGCCTCACCCATGTCTGCGTCCTGTCCATCTCGTTCATGAAGCCCTCCTGGGAATCGACCTTGGGATACACAACGGCCTTTGCCCGAACATCAGGACGTCCACCATGGGGAGAAATATTGTCTAGATCAAATGTGCAGATTCCGTGGTCGACTGACAATTTGTTTAGATCAAGGTATCCAAGTGCCGCAGCGGCACTCGTCGATCACCATGAACTGATCTGAGGGAACGGGCCGTACCCGGTTTTTTACCCCTGACATTGCCGTGTTACCCCGGATCATCCGCGCGCCTTGTCTCCGCGCGCGCCGCTAACGACCGTCCCACATGTAGAAGGTGACCAACATTAGTCACGGCGCCTCGGGCCAAGTATCGGAGGTTGCCCCGATGACTGCTGCGAATACTCGATGCCGACCACAACCATGACGTTGGGCTCCAGGGTGACAACGACGTCGAGGCAAAGCGGTATCTCCGAAATCCACGCCAACTGGGTGTTTATGAAATGCACAAAATACTACACATAGGAAGACAGAGGAGGCTACGTAGTCGAGAACAGGGAACTCTGAACAATGTGGCCTCGACGTGTGCGGCATTGCCTTGATGGCAGACGGACTCCAGCCTTGGCTAGCACGGTGGTCCCTCATTCATTTTATGCAGACTGTGATATCTTGCTAGTAAGAGACAAAGGATGTGAAATCTAGATGGGAAATTTATGACGGCGGGGTTCTAGATTAAGATGTCCTCCGTCGTCTACTGGCACGGAAGCGGTTGATAAGACTGGCTGCTCGAGCGCGTCGTCTCATACCTGCAAGTTGCGTGAAGCATTCCACTTCCACGGTTTCACGCCAGCCGCAATCATCACGCCCCGTCATCATCCGCCCTCTGGGCTACTTCAAATTGTGTCGACGATTCTAGTAAGCGGCGCCGTCGGGGGCGATCATTAATGCCTACTAGCCTTGTCTGTGCGGCACGAGGCTAAGACTACGTGCCCACATATTGTATTATCTCTGCACTGTTATTGACACTGTGGTTTATTGAACTTTGGGTCTCCAGCGTTCACCGCTAGATGAAAGCGCCGCATATGTTTATACAAATGAGGATTAGAAATCAAACCACTTACCTGCAATTACTCGGCGAGCAAGGGCCCTTCAACTATAACCATGGCAACCTACAGCAGGACCTTCCACCCGTAGCGAAGGACTTTTACAACTCCAATTTTTACGGATATGTTCTCCCTTATATCATTGAGTACAAATACCGGGTTGTAAAGGAAATAAGAACCCATCGTGATCCCAATAATATCAACAGCCCACGGTCCCCCGCCCGGGACCCACCCGGCTCAGCTGCGCCTAAGCGACAACCAGTTCACTCCGAGGCAGACGTTGATCACAATTCTACACCTTTACACTGATCATCAAAATCCCACTCATAACCATGACCCCCGATAACAAGTCCACAGATGTCTGGCTCGGCACACATACCGCCGCAGTCTCGGCACAGGAGGGTAAGCAGAGGGGCAGCGGGCGGCTCAAGGTGGACTCGGAGCTTCGACCAGAGATAAGTGAGGTGAAGGGTCTTTCACAACCATCAGTGAGAAAGGGGAGTGTTGCACTGCGGGGGACCTGCGGCTCTGGCATGCCAGTCCCAGGATGTGCCACAGATGCATGCTTGGCATGATTCATTTTTTTCACCGTCGTATCTAAATCGAATGAGGCTCCAGGGCTGCAATTCGGCGAGGACATGCAAGGCAAGTTGGCTGGTCTGGAGTCGCGGTTGGGGATTCCTGTGGATTGGGTAAGGGTGAAATTGTTTTTTAAGATTGTACTTACGTACCTAGGTACCTAGGTAGAGGGTTTGCAAATAGTTAGACTTTTGTTGCGAGTGTACAGACGAACCTTCTACTTGTATAGGCTACACTTCCATATGTGATCTACCCACAAATTACTTTCTGTCAGCCTTTGGGCTACTTATATCCACGATTCTAGTCAATGAAGCCGTCGGGAGCGATTCTTTCTAGCCTTGTCTGTGCGGAATGAGGATGAGGCCACACGTCCGCCGAGCTGGAGCCTTTTCCGCTGTTGTTAGCATCTCTTTTTTTTTTAACTAAGAACCCTAGGTCCCGACGGTGACAAATGGTCTCATACTAGGGAGGAACGTGCCACATACATTTTGTAAAATACGTATGGGCATTATAAATGAAACTATCCACTTATCCTTTCATCCCGTGCGGCCATCAGCTTGACGAAACGTGAACGCAAATTTGATAACCTTTCCATCGTCCTCGATCACCACATTTTCGAATGACCAGGTGACTGCAACAAGCGGCGAGCAACAGCCAGTTTTCCCAAACACACACACAAACAAAGTCTCCTCAGCGCTGAGCCCCCCGGTATCGAACATGTTGCCAGTGCTGCCGCCAGCTTTCGAGGCTCTCCCTGTTGAGCTCCACGGCCAAATTCTGCGGGAGATGACGTCGCCTGAAGACGTGTACTCTACAATTCGAGCCAGCCCCAAGGCACTCGGCGGCTTCCTTGCCTATAGAGAACGTGTCCTCATTGAAGTCCTTCAAGCACACCTGCCTGCCGAGATCTTTGCGGGGTACCTCGGGCTTTTGAACCTCCCCAGCTATGAGGACTTGAACCACGCTTTCAACCTAAGGTAGTATGTTATCCCTCGGCTTCTGTCACCACGAGAACGAAGTTAGCACATAAAGCTAAGGCATAGTTTTGGACATGTAGTGAATGTGATCCGTCGCACAATTATCGGCAAGCGGAACTTGACGAACACTACGTCTGGTTAACTCGGGTCGATCGTTTCCTGAATGTTCACCTCCAAAGCGTCGACGCGGCAAGAGCGACGGATCTATGCAGCATTCCGAAGAGGTTTAACAAAGTTGAAATCAACTATCTAATGTCAGCCTACGGGATGCTGAGGCGGTTCATCCGGCGGTACGAGCGCTTCATACGGAGAAATATGACAACCAAATCTGCTGATCCCAAACATCGGACTGAAGAAGTACAGACATCGCATGACTGTACACCACTCAGCGAACAAGAGAAAACCCGCGTTCATCGAGCTTTTCTTAGATTTGAGATCGGCTGTCGCTTAAACAGCATTGGAGCACAGCTCGGTGCCGAGATACATGGACCGTGGCTCTTTAATGGCACCTCTCTTTGCCAATACCTTCAGCTTTGGGAACGGCAAGAGATAGAGTGCATCGTGGCTTACGTTAACAAGCAGTACAAAGAACTCGCCAGGGATATTGTGGAAGACTTTCACCGCGATGTATGTCGTCTCAGCAGGAAGACCCGCCACGGGCACGCGCCCGACAGCGATATCAAACCCGTACGAGATATCACTCGCGGATACGAGGGGTACAACTTGGAACGGTCGGAAGTCAAAATGACATCCCTCGGCCTCCCTCTACTCCAGCAAGTCCTACAGTCTGGGTTCGACGATCAGCGACGTTTCTTCATGAATGCTTATCTGAGACATGCCAGTGCGCCACGATATTACCACCCAGTCGAGTTTAAAGGACGCACCAAAAACAAAAACGTCGGCTGGCAACAAAGTGCAAACGACATCTACAAGTTGTTCATCGAGGGGTGCCAATATAGGAGTTATCCACCGCGAGAGAATGAACATCTCGACAACCCATATCTAAAATGGTTGGACCATGATCACCTTGGAATTGGCCTCTGGGAAACGGGATGGGTGTTCTGGGAGGACCCCAGCCGAGTCGACTATTTTTTCTCCCCTGGAACAGGCCACGACGCTCACTGCTGTTCTGACAGGGATCGTGGTAGAACCCACGCCAATTATATGGGCAACCATATCAGCTATCACCTAACTAACCTATCGCGTACGTATTCACGAGACATGGAGTTGAGTGAGCGCTTCCGAGACGAGATGATGCATGTCATCAATGAGGACCACCAGGAGCTTATGAATAAATATGCTCCCAAGCCTCGCGACCTAGATGTAGAGCATTTCCTGTTTGACAGATTCAGGGCGATCAGCGACTGGTCGTCAAAGGAGGTTTCACCCGCGTTCCGAGAGATCTGCTTGGGAACAGATGCGACGGAGTAGTTCCCAAGCCTCATGGGATGTTGTCCGGCGGGAGGTTGTCACCTAGGATATTGTCCTTGGGGAAGATACTCACTGTTGGAGGTCCGGTTGGAGAAAGGGGAGGGGGCTGTATGCCTGGACGAGATGCTGTGGCTAAGTTTGTTCATTGCTACTAGGATTGGTTTCATCCCCTTTGATTCTGTGTCAGACCAGGCCAGACTCTGCAGGCATCTTCCGCTAAGATAGACTACCCGAAACCAAAGATCATAGCCATAATACTGAGGTTCATAGTTGTATTAGCGGGGTATCGGGCGACAAGTGGTTTCGGTCTTAGTTAAACCAGATATCCCGAAGGCTTACGGTCCCTCCACAATTAGAAGCCCCAAGGATGATGTTTAGCTATGCTAGGTACAGACATGGACTTCTGCTTTCTCGTTACTGTCTGGTGACCAGTAGCCCATCCCCGACAGAAACCGACTTAACACGCAAGTTGCCTGAGAACAAAACGAAGATCGTAGTTTTGCAACAACTACTTTGAATTATTTTTGGGAATTTCATCAGATTCAGATTAAAGGCTTCAAAATTTTCAGAGGTTTAATACCTTTCAATTTTGACCCACCTCTTTACCATGCAGAGTACATTTTCCGGGCGGTAGCCCTGAGGGTGTACTTGGTTCCCTTCTCCCCTTCTGCCCCCTCGTGAAACAAATGCCTCTGTTGAAATAACGGCACTCTCTCTTTGGAATCGATGGCGAAACTGTCCAGATTTGGATCCTCGAAGTAAAAACAAAGCAATGTTTAACATCACACCAAATAAAAATGGTCGGGATTTACAAGTGTAGGGACGCTCAGACTCCTCAATTTGCTCGAAGTCCAACAAGTTTGAGACTCTTATTAGGAAACAACACTGAAAGCTGCATGTAATTTCAAGCCCACGACAACGAATGAGATGCGTGTTTAATCCAAGCCAAACTAGGTCATTGATGTACCTACGTAGAACTTTATGGCCATAAAACAGCCCTCACCGTATTTCTACTTGGCCTTATGCAGCAAATCTCGTCTTCCTGTTCCTCTACCAAGCTGGGAGACCACCTAGGTATGGAGGTGAGGGGGAGGCAGGTGTGACGAAGCAGCTACTTGGTCTTGTTGCAAACATGAAAGTCCCCGAGGTTTGGGAAGTTCTCTCCATTCTGTACCACACCATTGTGACAGATAGTGGCCCTGTAGTCCTTGTTCTGATTGACGACCCCCCTGTATGGTCCCGGATTCTGCTTGGGCTTCGAATCGAAATCGTAGCCTGGGCCGTTCTGCATAACGGGATACTCGTAGTAGCTCGTGCTGTCGGTGCTCTGTCGACGAAGAATGAGGCCGCCCTTGTTCATGAAGGCGTGGGGATAACCGGACCTCCTCCTGTCGTTGGGCGCCGGAGCGCTTGCGAGTTGGGCTTGGACTCTCGACTCCGAGATCTTGTTGTCTTTGGCTGGAAGACAAATGTTGTTGGAGTACAGTGTCTACGCAGAGGTCAGAGAGTTTCCTTTAAGAAACCTTGGATCAAATAGGTATTTGACCTACATCCTCATCGGTCTTGACTTGCTTCTTCTTTGCCATCCTGTATGTTGGGCACTCTGTGCTGGACTTGTGTTCAGAGCGGGATGGTTGTTTGATGAGGTTGTCAATCCTAGAATGGCGGAGAGTGAAACTTGGGTGCTCGAACAGACCCACAACAATTTATATTACACAGCTCGGTTGGCTGAAGAAAGTGAAGCACATTAACTAAGTGAATTATACGCATCCCGTGGATTAGTAGCAGAGGTGAAGGCCTAACATCACATGGTGAGACCACAAGTCACTGCTCAATTCCATGTCGGGCGGTGTTCATGTCGACGGCCATCATCATCGTGCCAATTACAAGTCCTGTGGCTAAGATTTCTTCCGTAGAAGTTATCAAAGCATGTTTATCTAGGGAGTTAATTCCGGGATGTGACTTTGATACGTACGGTGCCCAGATGCGTTCAATGCTATCTTCTTGGGTATCAATTGATTTTAGTGATCAGTTTGCCAAGAAGCCCGAACACATGCATGATTTCCTAGGTGACCAGGTAGTTCCATAACCCTAAAAAGTGAATCCATCAACAGCCCTGAACTCACATACCAGGTTTCACTCTGCCATCAGCCAGCCCTGGTGTGATACAACCTTGGGCACACCCGGGTTAGGGTCCGTGGCACCCTTCACAGGTGAATTCACACCAGTTGACTCCACCACCCTGGTCAGTCACCATTCCTTTGACTCCAGACTTGCTAATAAGTACAAGAGAAGCCCATGAAAAAAACCACAGAGCACAGCAATCTCGATTTAAGAAACTCCACTCGCAGAATCTCTCGACCAAACCATCGACGTCGCTATGGCTGCACCACTCCAGCTCAGTCTGAGAGACTCTGACCCATGGGCTGTCGCAAAGCAGGCGTTTGACCTGATCAGCGATTACGTCCAACCAGACAGCTCGGTTTCCCCAGGAGACATCGCCCAGCAGCTGAACAGCCTGACTCCAGGGCAGCGAGTGCTCCAGGATGGAGAGAACGCCGAGGAGCCTGTCAGCTTCCTGCTGGAGTTCTGGGAGACGCTTGTCTGCATCGCGCGGCAGATCCCATACGACCACCCATCCCAAGAACGCATGGTGAAATTGATGGCCAGTCTGGATGAGCTATCTTCACAGTCGACCGAGGCAGCCGTGAGTTGAAGACGCGCTTCTTGTCTCTCATGCTATCCTGCTAATCCGCTGCTCCTAGTCTAATGGCTCGGGATCAATCTGGCGGTATTTCAACGAGCTAAGCAACGTCCTTGATGATACGTGGAATGGTACGTCTTGACTCATTACGACATCTAGTTGTCTCAGAAGCATTCGGCGGGTAGTGACTGACCTGCTCCTCTGGCACAGAACCCACAGAAATGGAGGATAGTTTCGAGCCGTTCCAGGAATGGGTAAATCTCAACTCATTCGTCGCTCGCTTGTTCGGAGACGGGCTCATAGACTGGGACAACTACGCATGTTGGACCCTGAGAGACTCCCTCGAGGCCCAAGATGCCACCACCAAGGACCTCAGAGAATCTCGCCTCGCAGCAGCAACTCAGTGGTTCACGCATGCTGCCCTGGCTCTTTTTAAGGTCATGCGTGAGAAGACGGCCACCGAGTCCAACCACATGTATCTGAGGAGTCCCGTATTCAGCGGAGACAAGGTGATTTCGTTGGAGCGGTGGAATTTCTGGAAGGAACAGCTCCAAAAGGTGCAGGGGAAAGACACTGGCCCCGAACAAAAGCAAATTGCTTCACAGGCCGTTGGGGCTATGGACGATGCCGAGGCTCGGTATGGGCAAGGATGAGCACGAGACGTCTTCATGGCCTGGGGACACAGCGGTCTGATCATCGCAACAGCGAGGGGAAATTTGGTTGATGATCGGCCCCAGCGACCAATTTGGTGTCCCCGCTTCCTGGAGACACAGCCGGAAAATGACAAAATCAATATTATTCATATTAAGAACTATGGATATGCAGATTGTGGTATCTTATTGCCTTGCTCTGGCGATTCTACTCACAGAGCGACAGGTTGCGACAGAGTGAACGTTACTGGTGACCCGGACATCTGTACCCAGATCGTCAACGGATCCGAGCCAATCTGCTCGGTCGTGAACCCCTTGGTGTCGGTCACCGTGCCGGGGACCGTTACGGGGATAGATGTGCCGCAGGTGTTGCCGTTGGCCGTGACCGTGACGCCGGTGATGCTGCCGGAGGTGACGGCGTAAGTGAGCTCGTAGGCGCACGCGTCACGCGTCATGCGGTTGGCGAACCAGGCAGAGAACTGTGTTACGAAAATTCTTGTCAGTTTGCTGGGCTTATCGTGGATACAAGGGAGTGTGGTAGGAAGCATTTCAATGAAACGTGACGTGTGAAGGTGGTACTTACGTCGACTTGCTTGAGGGAGATCAGGGGCCAGTCAAAGATGCGAACAAACTCCTGGACAACTGTCTCCACCCAGGCCTGGAAAATACCAATGGTATAATCAACGCCGTTGATCGTCGTCGTGCCGAGGTCCCCGGTCGTGCGCAGGTTCGCCTGATGGAACATGAAGGCATCGTGGTAGAGACCCGCCAGGTAACGGATGGAGTCGGCCTTCTCCGCAGCCAGGAGGTCGTTAAACGTCCCGACACCAGCTGAGGTGTCGATCCACTCCTGTGTCGTGCACTGGCTGCTGTCGCAGTTGAAGTAGATCCTCGTGGGCCACCGGCCGTTCACCTGGATGCCGGCGAACCCGTCGGCGTCCTCCTGGGTGATGTACGGCCACATGTCGTTCTGCTGGTTGCGCAGCACAGGTCTGCTGTTGTCGCCCACACACTGGACCAGGCCCGCGTCGTGCCACGCGCGCAGGGCGTCTCCGTTGTGCAGGCCGGTGATGGCCGGGGGGATCAGGCCGTTGGGGGTGAATATCTTGTCCGCGCCGATCCCGGACTGAGCGAGCCACTTCTGGTTCCACTCGATCTCCTTGATGATGTCTGCGTACGTGGCGTTGTCCTGGTCCTCGTGGGTGAAGGTGTGGCTGATGGTGTTGAAGTTTTGCACATTCGTGTCGAACCACTTCTTCAGAGGGTCGAGGTTCAGGCACTCCAGAGAGTAGTTGTACGTTGACGGAGACGCCGGCCATATGTCTGTGCCTGATCCCAGGGGCTTCTTGAACTCCAACGCGGTGTCGGCCTGGTCACCATACTCGATAGCGTCCGGCGAGCAGACGTCATATCCGTTGTTGGTAGCCTCGGCCTGTTCGATGTTGCCATTGCCGTTGAATCCGATCTCGACGGTCCAGTTGCTCCCCGCTGGCATCTTTGCGCGGACAGAAGGCAGCCAGTTGACAATTCCAGTCAGGTCGTCTGGAGTCACACGGTAGGTGGTGCCGTTGGGGAGATACAGGTCGGTCTCCAGGAATATATCGTCGATTTGGGTGTTCAGGTGTACACGACGGTAGCCAGCGTACAAGCCCCTCGTCAGCCACGTAATGTAGGCATGCTGAAGGACCGACGAGGTGGCCGACCAGTTTTGTGAGAAGTCAATGAAGAAGACCATTTGCTGGCGGCCATTCTCAAAGTTGTTGATGACGGCGGCAGTGCTCTTCGCAGAGCTGCCGTCGCTTGAAGCCCCAAACTCGGCGATGGCAGTCGTGGTCGTGGTGTTCGAGATGGTAGAGGGGTAGTGATACAGGCCCGATGTGTCCAGCTCCGCGTTGGCCTTCAACCCAGCTTGTGAGAATGCACTCGTGTTGGTGAAGTAGATGGATTGCGAGACGCCGGTGTTGCAGCAGCCGGCCGAGGCAACCACTCCTGCATCAAGAGTGGGGAAAATTCCATATTGCACCATGCGAACTCCATACGTTATTTGGTACTCGTACAGAGCATTCCACTGGTCCTGGGTGAGAGCACTCGAGTAGTTGCTGGCACTGTACTCGTAGATGACACCAGCCACGACGATGATACCACCATAGTTGCCACCTGATGCGGAGCTCAGCGCCGGAAGGGCAGCACCCGCCTGTGGTATTATGAGGTTCTGGTGTGGGATGCCGTAGCCATTCAATCCCTGTGCGGCAACTGTCGCTGATGTGCTGTCTGTGGCAATGACAAGAATGGTCGAGGCAACATTGCCGCTGAAGGTCGCGAAGGTCGAACTGCCGTTGGCCGCGTTGGTTGAATTCTGCGCAGACACTCCAGACAGAACAGACAAAAATGGAAGCAAAAGCGACGGGGCGGCTTGGAAAAGCTTCATGATGGTGACGAAACGAATGAAATTGGGTCAGAGAAGAAGAGACACACACCAAGAATGACCAAGTCGAATGGCACAACCTGAAATATCGATCTACCAACCATGATGGAGGACTTCAGCTGGATATATAACCTTCATTATAGGAGATATCTGGGTGGTGGGTACGCATGCACCCACCGTCACCGAAATTGTGTTTCCTGCAGTACAACACGAGGGTTGAACACGTCGTGCAACAAGGGGGACCTGGCACGCAAAGCTCGTAAAAGGCGTTAGCGGAAAGCCTGAAAGCTTAGCAATGCTTGTTTGGACGGCCGGGGACCGTGGTGCAGATTTTCTGCGCCACTGCGCCGTGACCCCGCCCACATGCCGCTCGCATGGTCTCTCCTAGGACATTATCCATGTAGGGGATCCAGCGGCTCGCAGATTCGGAGATCACACGGACAGAACATGCTTGTGGGATCTAAAACCCGGCATTTTGTTGCGCCATTGGGGTGGCTCCCGGGATGTGGTGCCGTACAAGCGGATGATACCCATTGGGCGGAACGGCACGGTGGCGCCAAGACCAGTCCCTGGCTAACCTGGGAATGGAAAGGTCTCTCCTTATTTTTAATCCTTTTCTCTATTAGGCGGCTGCCTGTTACGCTCCAACCCCCTACCACTTGGACGGGACGCGTAATCGGCAAATCGGCACATGGCCTGATGGGCTACCTTAGCTGATCAAACCCTGCTATTAGCCCGTCAGCCCATCACCGCATCTGATGAAAAGGGGACGAGGTCAGCACGGAAGAAATAATCCCAGGTCCCCATGATCTACACGGACTATACGAGATCTGCAGGCCAGACTTGCCCTACTTTGTCCCCGCACGACCACGACCAGTTCAGCCGCTGTCGCAGGACACATCAAAGCTCTCCGGGGCAGATGAAGGAATGCTCGCAACATGCACGATGAGTTGGGCGGCGCCGAATTACCTAGTTATTCCCAACAATTCCCGCAGTGTCGGCGCTTTGGGACGGGGCAGTGTCGAGCCGAACGGACTCTGCTAGATCAGTGTCAACTCTTTGCCCGCGATTACGTACTACGAAATTGAGAAGGATTACTTTGTTCAGACTCGAATGTCGTGGCACACGTATCGATGTTTCTTCATCTCCGAGGGCACCGGTTCCTGGTTCTGTGTGGGCGCACTGCATCCTAGAGTCCAACGCCGCATAGGACTTCTGGAGTGCGAGCTCTCATGCGTTAACAACCAGGCCCCAAGGTCAGCAATTGATTGCGCCGGCTTTTATTATCTTTCTCGACGTGATCAGCTTAAAACTTAAACAGCACAAGTGCGGGCTGCACGGCCACGCGTCTCCGAGGAGATCTATCAGCAGGATGGTCGGCCAAAGGCTGACTGCCGAACAAACCAGGCACTGACCTTGGCAGCCTTGCTCATATTTTCTGCGGCGGCTACCGTATGTGTGAAATGAGGTGGATTCGTTTCTAATCCCCATATATAAAAAATGTATTGTGCGTCGCAAGGTTGAGGCCACATGCACCTATCGTATTTTAACCACATGCACTGTTATGGACACTTTATGTTTGTTTAACGCTGGGTCTTAAGCGTGTACCACTGTACGAAGGCGTCATGCATGTCCTCGGACTTATGCGGAATAGAAGCGAAACGAGTGACCACACACCTGCTTGCGGAACCTGATATGAACAAAGGTTGCTCTACCTACCCTGGGGTAGGTGAGTCCAGACGGCTGAAACCTGTCAAGGCATCCCAGTGCAAAGCCTCGCACCTCATGGGTCTGAGGTGGCTTCAGACGTTGATCTTGTGCTACCGTGAGCCAAAATTGTCCGTGACTTTGATGTTGTGCAAGGGGCAGCCTAGGACACCACAGTAGCACGTTGGCGGCTTCGACACCACCTGGAAGCCAGAAATTATGTCGAGCCACAGTGAATATTCTTTAGAGTAAGACTGATTGATTGTAGGCGGGTCTGTTTCCATTTATTTGATCATTTTCTCCGTCATGTGTGAATCAAAATCTGCATCAGGGGCCTGGCTGGTACCTACCGGGGGGAGGGGGGTAAATTAAGTGAGTAGTACTATCATTTTAGAATAATCTTAATATTCTTTTAAAATATAAACATACTATTAATATAACTATACAATATTTAAATAATATAATACTTTTTCATTTAATATAATTTTATAATTAATAGTATATAATATATTATTAGAGGCCTAATATATAAATAAAAAAGGGAGTTTAATTCCTATTAGAATTAAGTTTTTTCTTCTTTTTTTAATCCTTAACTTAACTACTTATTAGTTAATTTATAGTTTAATTATTAATTTATATTAAGTTTATAAAGTTATAAAGTTAAAGAATAATAGAAATCTTAATTTTTTACTAACTTATAAAATTTAATACTAGTAGATTTAGGGACTTAAAGGGATTCCTAATATATATTAACATAATATTAAAACTTAATATAATATTAACCTCTTAATAGATTTTACTTATAATAGTATTTTATTAGCTTTTTATTAATATTTAGTTATAATATTTAAATTTTATTTAAATATTGATTTTTAATATAATTGTACGCCTATATTAGGGACCCCCCCTCCCCCTGGTAGGTAGTGTGTAACGACTTTGCGCAGATTTGTGAGACAATTCGATCATCTCAGGTGAGAGTACCGAGGTAGCTGCGAGGTCTCTCGGTTTATTGAATTACGGGTGTCATCCAACTGCGGTATCCATAATAGTTATTCAATTTTGGTCCGTTTCTTTTTCACGTCAACTCCGAAATTTCCACAGGGCTTACATCAAGATTGCAACGAATTGAGAAGAATAGTAAATGTCAACAAGCTACAAATGAAACAAGGTAATCACACGACCATACGACTTGCAACTTGCGCAAGTGCGGTACAATCAATGACATTAGGGACAACAGATATGTGGGCGTTCTGTATTGTATTTATCCAGGCTCAACTCCAATGCCACCAGCAGTCTTCAGCAATGCGGAGTTATGAGGCTCATGATAAGGGTAAACACTGGAATGATTTAGTAATGAATTCAACTACCGAGAAAATACTACTCCGTACCACGGCGTGGTCAGGTGGATAAGAACCCTACGGCTGCGAGTCATCCAATTTCATCTACTCGGTTTGCCGAGGCGACTAGAGTATTCTAGTGTACAACCTTAATGCGCGGCGCCAAGTGCCAGGCCCGCCATTACGCCATGCGGTTCTGGTTTATCGCGACGTTGTAGCCTATGGTCGGAATAAACTCCACCGGTGCCAAGGTGCCAATACCGAGACTGCCAGTTCCAATCTTAAGCTAAGACTCTTGTTTCCTTCCTCATCCAGCCTTGACCAAGACAACGGTCGATATACCGATAGCTCGGCGTTATCAAATTCCCAGGTATAACAGCAGAACTTCCAGCCGCTAGTCTCCACTGCAAAGATGCCCAGAGATACTATTCCGCAGGTCCGATCGGGTGCGCACATTGATGGTGACATTTTTCGATGAGAGAACGCCTGGGTGGCAAGGTCTTGGGCTCATTATAAATGCAGGAGGTTGCCGCAAAGAGTGGCTGTAGTGAGTCTGGGGACTTCGACCTGACTCAGCAGCGAGTGCAATCTTGGTCGCGAAAATGGTTCCAACACAGTCATACGCCGCGGCTCTTGTCGCCGTGGCTTCCTTGCACACGGCGGCCGCAGCAGAAATCGACATGACCTATGTCGCGTCTTCTGAGGAGTACCTTTCGGGCAAGGTCCATGCTCAAAGCATGGCGGCTAAAAATGTAGGTCTGATGTATGAAAGTTTTCCATGCAAAGATATTTATCATTTTCCAGGCGCAATGGAACGCCGAGCTCGCAGCAGGCTTGCTTGACAGTGTTCAGTACCCGGAGCTCAGTTACACACCCTGCGTCGATGGCTTGGCAACAGCCATCCTAGGGGATGCGAACAACACTTTCCAGTGCAATAATGTAGGTAACTCATCGGATATCTCGGAACTCCATGATTGGACGGAACGGACTCTAACAGGGTGAAGATTGACCTCTACCACTTTCTCTCCCACGCTGATCTTGGGAGCACGCAAGGCTTCGGGTCTTCATCCTGGGGGTGGACATCCGAGGACGGGCGCGAATTCGTTGCTATCGGCCAGTACGACGGAACTGCATTCGCAGAGATCACCTCGGAAGGCAAGCTGGTCTATCTCGGCAGGCTTCCCCAGTACGATGCCATCGGCTCAAGATGGCGAGAGATCAGGACACTCGGCGATTTCATCATCGTCGGCTCAGAGGCTATCAAGCACGGCGTGCAGATCTTCGACATGAAGAAGCTTCTTGACCTGGACCCAAACAACCCCACTGTCTTCACACAGGAGGACCTCACTGGCCACTTCAACCAACTGCCCGTTGGGAGGACGCACAACATTGTTGTGAACGAGGAGCTCGGCTACGCCATTGCTGCTGGGTCTGTCGGTGGCAACGAGACTGTGCGCAACCGTGACAATCTGCCTTGCCGAGGAGGACTGATCTTCATCAACATGACGGACCCGACCAACCCCACCACGCCCGGTTGCGCCGCCGGCGATGGGTACGTGCATGATGCACAATGCCTCGTCTACCGTGGACCAGACACACGTTATGAGGGAAGAGATATTTGTTACGGCTACAACGAGGGTATGAATACTTGCATACTTTTGACCGAAATTAAAATAGTGTGCAAATCGGAGACTGACACAAACACTGGCCCATCATGATAGACACCCTCACAATTTACGATGTAACGAACAAGGTCGGGAATTTCACGAAGTTGATCTCTCGCACTTCATACACCGGCGCAAGGTACATCCACCAAGGCACCGTGCTGGACATCCAAAACCAGGAGTTCCTCGTGCTCGACGACGAGCTGGATGAGCGCGATGGAACGGAGGGTCCCGCAACCAGCAAGCTACCCATCACGTACATCTTCGACATCCGCGACCTCGAGGCACCCAAGTTGACAGGCTTCTACGAGGGCAACACCCGTTCAATTGACCACAACCAGTACATCGTCGACGGGTATAATTATCAATGTAAGTTGAATCCCAATGGAAACGTGGCAGGGGTTTTGTAAGAAGACCGGGCTGAACATAAATACTGATGCGTCGTCTACAGCCAACTACGGTGCAGGGCTCCGCGTCCTTGACGTTAGCTCAATTCCTTCCGACCCGACCGGTGCAGGTGTGTGTGAGGCTGGCTTCTTTGACATCTACCCTGAAGATGACGCGGCCGAGGGAGGCGGAGTGGTTGCGTTCACGGGAACATGGTCCTCGTACGCGTACTTTAAGTCTGGTTTCATCTACATCAACACCATTGAGCGTGGCTCATTTGTGGTCAAGATGACCAGCAAGGCCTGTCCCTAGGCCTAAGATGGAGACTCATAAAATTCAGTAGGAATATCTCCCAATTCGTACAATACAACCTATCATAGATTTCTCATCCCACTTTGATAAGCTTCTGTTTATATAAGCAGCGAGGGTTTCACACGAACCAGTTGTTGCCAGGTGCTTGTCTTGTAGGTACCGCCACATCCAGGGAAATCGTTCAATCATAGGGAAATGGAACAAGAAACCCCTAATGTTTGATGGCAACGGAAATATCTGTTACGCCTGGACACAACATCTTGACATCACTTAGCATCCTCTTGGATGGGACCATGAGCGCCGTGCACTCTCCGGGGAAGATCGCCACAATCATGCCGTACAATGTCTGATCGTGCACAACCCATGACCCAGAGGAACCTGGGGCTACAATCCGAGTCAGCACCATTCTCGTTGCCAATTTGGAGCGTCAGACTAACCTAAGTCTCTAGAAAGCCTTAATTGTCTGGCATCGATTGGTACTCCGCCCATGCTAAAGTGAAATTTGCCAGGTTGGATAGTCCCGCTCAGCACTTGCTCGGGATCAAGCAGAACGAATACCGGAAGAGGGATTTCACAATCATTTTCCGATATCGAGGTCACTTCTTTCGCTTCCAGATTGCTTGGTTGGATGTAATTATTGGTCAACCCCGGACGATGAAGGGAATCCAGAGGGAAAAGAGCGAGGTCACCGGACAATGTGTCTTCCACATCTAATTTCCCTGGCTGTGATACCGTTTGAGGAGTTCGAAGGAACCGAGCACCACCGAAAGCTGCTGAGACGCCATGATCGATAGTCGTCCATCCCACATCGCTGAGGTCAACAGAAGAATCAATCGACGATCTAGCTTTTGCGTAAGTGCTTCCGGCACTGAGAGATTGAGAGTCTGTTTCGTCTTCAGACTCAGAGCCTGAATCATCCGACACCCCATCGCCGTAAAGATCGTCTACAGTTTGTGGTGAACTGTTCAAATATTGATGAACTAGACCGTGCCCGGCAGTCACACCGTAGACTGAGGTGCGGCCGTCGATTGTGAGTAAAACAGCGCCACCAACCCTAGAGGTGCTCCGACTTAGCTCGATTTGATCTCTCCATGCGTTTGCGATGCACCTCAGACCGATGAGTGACGTCAAACCATATGATAGCACGTGCAGGCGAAGTTCTGTCAACACCGGAAGCTCAATCTCGCTGCCGTAATGCCTTTCTTTACGCGCTTCCGGGCGAATCCTATCTCCGTTGTAGCTAGTACCACCAGCCCAGACGTAATGCGCTGTGTCTGGGTTGTAGTAGTCGCTTCGCGGTGCATGATGATTGTTGTCGCTCATGCTAGTAAAACTAGCCCAGACGGAATGCGCTGCGTCTGGGTTGTAGTAGTCGCTTCGCGGTGCATGATGATTGTTGTCGCTCATGCTAGTAAAACTAGCCCGGACGGAATGCGCTGCGTCTGGGTTGTAGTAGTCGCTTTGCGGTGCATGATGATTGTTGTCGCTCATGCTGAGAGATGGAAAACTTTCCTCATAGTCTGACCGGAACCTGTTTTTGCCTTTGGATGGTCGCACGCTCTCGTGATCGTTGCTGTGGATTGACGAGCGGTGGTTGCTGACATGGCTATTTTTGCGATTGGCATCGACGTCCTCTTCGACCTGTGGGAGCTTTTTCCTAAGGTGGCTCCCCCTATGAATGCTGTGGTGGCTGCGGTGGCCTTGACGATTCTGGACGGTCACCGTTTCCCAGATGCCATTATATGTACGACTGTCTATGAGATTGCGGTCAAAGAGGTGTTGAATAACGTGCCCATCTCTCAACATTTGTTCGTGCCGGTAGCCTTCATGCACGATGTGGTGGCGGATATGCTGCATCCGCGACGTGAAGGTGTAGCGGAGATCTCCATTAGAAGTCTGTCTTGCATCAAAGTAATGGTCATTGCAGAACCAACAGCGGAACTTGACGGGAAAACTGCCCCCTAAGTGACTCTCAATATGATCCATCCAGGCGCGTTCATCATCGCCAGCGAATACTACATTGCAACCCGTTATGTTGCGTAGTTCGCACGGTAGCTCATATACCTGGGTGGGCGCAGCCTGACGGTTGATGGTACTGTTCACATCGGTATAGTGGGCTACTCTTGAGGGCGCATCGGTAGAGATGGCTGCAGTTCCGTGAGGTTGTGAAAGGCTTGAACCACTGGATTGACGTCCTCGACTGTACGAAGACATGGAGCTGGTTACTGAGGAGGCGTCGAATCCGGTATATCCGCCATAACTGTGTCCACCGAAGGGTTCAAGTTGGCTTTGCCAATGATACCCAGGTGCCTCCAGCGGCAATTGCGTGGAAGCAGCCGAACCTGGCGCTGTGATGTATGGTGATATTTCAGGATATTCCGATGAATTTCCGACACTGAATTCTCCGGCGAAATTTTCTGGCACCAACCCTGTATGGTACCAACCCTGGTCGTCTCTCAGGCGTTCCGCAGGACTGCGATGGCTGCCCAGAGGTTGATCGAGATCTCCAGCGGAGCTTTCCGGATCAGTTGCGAGCAGCGGGCCGCCTTTGCGAACACAACGGACATTGTGAGACTCAAGCCAGTTAAGAGCTTTGACGTCGCGCTCCACTATCTTTTGACACCACTTACTGCCGCAGAAGATCCAGATGCAAGGCCTCAGTGTTACTTTGGTGGAGCCACGCGCAGGGGTTCCCGCCATCCGCATGTCGATCATAACCATGCCTTCATTGCGCGGTTTGTTGCAGCTCTTGGCTCTTATTTTGGAGAGGGCATGGGTGAGGTCTATCTCAAGCCTCCGAAAGATCTGCTCGATTTCTTGTGGAGTGAAGTTACGCGGGCGGATCCAGGCCCGAGCCACGTATAATCCCGGCGCATGCTCGCTGATATCCGTCGATGAGAGGTCTACATCGATCTCGTCTATTATACCTAGGGTAGAAGGAGTGGCAGGCGGTGTTGGGGCTGATCGTGCATGGGCTAATATTTGGGCACGCTGTAGTTCTCGGTCCTCGGTAGAGCCGCTCGATCCATCGTTGTCACCTGAATCGGTACTAATAGAGGTATTTTCGTTTGTCTGTTCCGGAACTCTGGGCAGTGGCACCACTGAATCCAATTCCTCTGCCATCAGGGGTGTATCTGCGAGGCAATCAGTACAATGCTAAGTGTGAAACTCGAGTTTTTGACAGGCGCTGTTGTAGTGCTTTTGCTCATGAAAGGATGATGACTGGGACAAAATTCTCGGGAGGGGTATCTGCAGTTTTGATAAGGCTGTGTCTGAGTGCGGCGGGGTGAATTGGGCGGGGAGGTCGTACAAGACACGCAAGACTGCATGCTAGCGGTGGCAAAGTACATTTGTGCCCGGCGAAATGTGGGCGAGATGGGTGAGACCAATAGGAACACAAGTGCAGATTTGAGCCAGAAGTAGTTTGGACCATATCATGTGGCGGGGTGCATACTTAAGTACCCAGGTAGCACAAAAACTAACTTTCAAAGTGCTTGATCAAAATGTTGGGGGCGGTTCAATTCTTTTTGCAGAGATCCTGCAGTGCGGATTGTATCAACTGTGGTCACTGTCCAAGATTAGTAGTAAATAGGCACCTGTCGTATTTGTACCATTCTTATCGATTCTATATGTCTTTCAGACGCTGGATGTTTAGAGTTTACCATTGTATGAAAGCGCCATGTTTATCTTCGGACGTGTGCGTAATATAAGTGATATCAGGTTTAACAAATACAGAGAAGGCAGGCCCAGCCCTATGGTAGGACAGTACCAACAGTAAATGAGCATGATATCTCAGCAGCCGAGCAGTAGTAATGACGTCTATTCGATCATTTTCAGCGCAATCTAATAAGATGGTACATTCAACCTGGTTTGGAACCCACCGCTCTCACCAAAAGCTTGTTTGCATAACTCTATCCGCAGTAGAAGTCGAACGTCTAAGAGGACGGGTGAGTCTCACGCGCATTGCCACGTAACCCCCTCCTCTGGGCGTCCCTAACTTAACTGAATCTCCCAAATCAGAAAATTGTCAAGGTGAGAACCAATGTGTGCCAATGGAGTCAAGAGTCCGGAAAGACGTGTATTTCAGCGTTGGAGCAGAGCTTGCAAAAATATTCGATCGGCAAGTTTGATGCACTGCTGCAGTTCCTGCCGTACATGAGTATACACACCCATCATGCATTCCAGGATGTTCGAGACCGGCATGGGATCTGACTCCAATATTGGAATCAAGGGTCCAGGTGTAAACCATGATTTTGGGAGCTCTGGATGAGCGCCGTATTCAAGTAGGGCCCTGATGGCTTCGACATGCGCCTTTTGGGCATATGCTGGGGGTGCGGCTCTGTCAGCCAAGGTGTCAAGATGCCCAAGGAATTCCGCCCACACAGAGATCCCGTCAGGGCTCTCGTTCGGATCTGCGCCAAGCTGCAGCGCGAGGCGAAGCACTTCAATGTTGGGAAAGCGGTTTCCAATCATGGTCTCGGAGCCCAAGTAGTCGGAAAAACGACCAATGAGGATGCAGTTCAGGACAGACAGGCCCCGCTTGGCCTGTATTGCCCGTGTCGTCAACTCGTTCTTGAGGTAGGCCACAAGATCAAAATCAATGGCGACACCAAGGAAGTCCGGAATCTCTGCTTCGCATCCGTTGAAGCTTGAGGAAAGGTACCACCCCTTGTTGGACCACACATGTGCCCCAGAGCGTGCAAGCGATTCAACGATGGGCCTAAGCTGGGTCGCAATGAGCGCCGACTCGTCACAGTGCTTGAGGTCGTCGGTGCTAAGAGCACTCAGCACATAGCTTGACAGGCCCATAGCCAGCTGGGCATGCACATTGTTTCCCTCGTAATCAAGTGACTGAATCTGCGCTAGCCTGGCCTTGCATAAGAACAGTCTGGTGTTAAAAGGCCCATCTGAAGATGCCTGGAGTTGTTCGAGAATTTTTGGGCTCATTAGGAAGTCCCTAAGAGAACGATGAATCAGGCCGACGTGACGATTGCACGCGTCCAAGAGCCCCATGCTGCGGGTATGACTCGGTGATGGGCATTGCGCATCATAGTCTATCTCGCTCATCTCCGATATATCTGGACACCAAACATACGCATTTTTGTCGCCATCTCCCTCATAGCACTCGATGAGTCCCCGGCACCTGCTATTGACCCGACGAGCGGTAGTGTCGAGCCTGAAACCAAGCTCGGGGATATTGTTCGGATCAAAGGTCGTGTCGTAGTACCCTCCATGGGTATCGGCGCTGCCCTGAATTTTGCCTATATAAGAGAGATCAAGTAGCCGAAGCCCATGCATAGATGTAAATGATTCCTCGTCGAAGAGCGTGATCTGAAAAAGGTACGACGCTTCCCGCCTATATTCTGGCGGGATCGAGTCGATAAATCGCGTAAAGTAGCTGTCGAGATCACGCGGTACTTGGTGGGCCATCTCAACAAGCTCAGCGGAAGTCGCGCCGTCTCTTGCTGCTCGGATAAGGTCGTGGACAACAAGCCGCACCCACAGAAAAACACCAGAGGCTGCGTCCACAAGGAACGTGATCAAGCCTTTCATCATATACAGGCTGTCTGGACTTAAGTTCCGAATACTCCGCTCCTTGGCAAACCGTTGCTCAACATATTTTCGAATGTCGCTGTACGTCAGGCTCTCCAGTTTCAGGCGGGGACAGTCTTGGAAGGCATCTCGAAATATGTTGTCTGGCCGACTTGATATGCAGAGCTTGACGTTGGTATAGCTTCCAAGGTCAAACACAAAACTGATAAGCTCCTCCCGGCGTTCTTCGTCACCTTGGAGTTCCTGCGAGTTTTATGAATCAGTATCAGTATACGCCCTATTGAGGCTCGACCCACCAGTAGCCATAAGTTTCGTGGTATCAAGTTCTACGTACATCGAGGCCATCGATAAGGAAGAATAGATAGGCTTCGGTTTTGCGAACGAAGGAATGTATGCCGTGAAGCAACTCTGAACTGGTCCATTCGGTGGAAATAGCCTCAGAAGACAGTGCTGCTCTCCATCGGCTGGGAGAGACGCACGGCTCAGAGAGCCCGGGAACCTGATCAAGCAGCTGTGAAAAGAGAGAGCGCAGCATTCCGATCCACGATTTCTGCAGTGTCGTTCCCGGATTCCAAAAAAAGTGCGCCGCTTTTACAACAGCCCGGGATTCCGCCCAGGGACGAAGATGGTCGTCAATATCCAGTCTGTCATAAACGAAGCGAGATAGCGTCGACTTTCCGGAACCTGCATTTCGAAATAAGAGTCGAAATTCATTAGGCGGTTTAAGGTGTTTTGATAAGACTCACCAGGCTTTCCATGAATCCAGTAAATCCTCTGGGGGCTGCCTAGTCTTCTAGCCCAAGCAACAAAGCTATGCCAGCCCTCCTCCTCTCCAGGGTGGTCCTGAAAAAGCCACTCGTATGTGTTCTCGTAAGCTCTGGATATTTCCTCCCGTCGGTCTTGCATCTGGGGGAATTGCAAGCTTTGGAGTAACCTGTGCTGCGGCGCCACACCCTGTTTAGAGGCCTCCAATGACTTACTCGCCTGATCTGAAGCCCTCTGGTGCTCCCAAATTTGCGCGAGCTGTTCCGATATCTGGGCCAGCTGAATCTGGTGTTCAGAACTGAATTCACCCATTCTGTCTTTGCTCTGATCGAAGGACATTTCTTTCAAACGGGACGTCAGTTCGATAATTCCTGCCTCGAGCGAGCCCGTATTCTTCTTCAGGATGTCTAACATGCGATATTCGACGTCAGTGGCGGTTCTGATGGCATGGCTATGCATGGTCAAGGAACGCTCACTGGGGACATGAGATCGGTCAGCAACACTTGACGTCTCTGAGACTGGTAACTGCAAAGGTCTTGATATAGAGACTTACTGCATGAGCAGCAAGAAAGCCAGGGTCAGGTTTGCTCGACTCTCGGATATCTCCTTTTCAAAGCTTGCCAGTTTGTCCTGATACCACATTGATTTGATACTAATTCCGATACTGCGCCACACGGACTTCTTGGTAACCTTGAGGCTATCAAGAAGCTGGATGAAATCGCCTGACAGCCTCAAACACTGTTCATTCGCCTCAACTAGCCTCAGCTCCGCAGAAGAGAAAGAAGTCTTTCCCAGCGGATCGGGCAGGAAACCTTTCAGCTCATCATTGAGACCTTCGATCGTGTGCAGGTTGCCGACGATGATGCCGATTTCATCTGGGGCCCCGCTTTTGTAGCACTCAGCGGTCTTACCCAAGACACGGAGGCTTGTCTCCACCATCTGGAGGACATTGCACGCCAGGGAAAATGCGCTCAAAGGGTCCATATGAGGTTGAACTTGAGAAGAATAGAGATGACGAGTTGATAGTTGGGGATGTTATGGAAACCGTACGGCATAGTGGAATCGAAGTCAAGTACGCTAGGGTAAGGAGAGGTTTTTTTTCGAGCGGGGTAGATCTACTTGGGAATACTACATACATAAGAATAGTAGCTCTTATCATACTATACCCCCTATGGCTGAAAAATGATAATTTTAAGTATAGCTTAACTATTATTTTCTGTTATTTTCTGTATTAATTTACTTTTTATAATATCTTTATAAGAGCGATTGAGGAGGGCATGAAATAGTCCCAACCTTGGAATATCAGAAGGTGTTGGGGATGAAACTCGCTGGCGCGAGATAAGGCCACAAAACCAGCCAGTATCAATGATCAAATTGATTGGGACGAGAAGCCACTCCAGACGAGAAACTTCTTATTATAGTAAAAAGCCTCCCCTCTCCCTTAACGAGAAGCTCTTTCTTCCGGGCCAAGTCACAGGGCCTCTACCTTCTCTGACGCTCGCTTGACCTCCTCACCAAAATCGAACGGTCCTCCAATCATCGCCGTTACCCTCGGGTCCGAACCATTCTCCAGGATGCTCTTCGCCATGTAGCCCCTGCTGACAAGATCCCCGAGCATCTCTGGCACCTTCTCCTGAGGGATCCTCGGGAATTCCACTGTCGCACCATCAGCGGATTTCATGGTACCACTCGCGGCGTCCCACTCCCACTCCCACTGGTAGTCCGGGTCGGCGTATGCCCAGGGGTTGGCGATGATCTTGCACTTGCGTGTGGCCCCGGGTGGGAGAAAGGGGATGATGTAGTTGATGTAAGTCTTTGCCACAAAGTCCGTTGCGAAGAATAGAGGCGGCGGGGTGGACTCGTCGATCTTGCACACGGCCGCGGTCGGTGGCTCGAGGTATTTGAACTGTGGGTGGCCGTACAGAGCCCTCAGGAGCTCGGCGTAGATGACCGCGTACTCCATGACCTGGAATGGGACAGGGTGGGCGACGGCTTCCAAAGGCTCGCTTGTCATATTGCTTATTTTCTTTTCCGTGGTTTTCCAGCAGAAGTTACAAGTCAGAGTTGCAAAGCAGCACGCGAGGCTTTTGCCGTGGAGTTTTGAACGTGGGACTGACGGACGACGCGGTGACGCGTTTTGTCATCGTGGACCCCTCGCGATTTACAGTTTGCCTTAAATTAGACGGGTATCGCGCCAACAGCAAATGCCGTCTGGGGTTGCAGATTTGCACCCTGCCTTCCGAATTAAACGCAACCTATGTCATTTCTAGCTCCTTCTCCTTTCTTCGTTTGATTTCCATACCGCAATACCCCTGCATTCCTAATCTTGAATGGCATTCGCTCGTCCGCCGGGGGGGGATGTGACATCACGCGTCCTGTATATTGTGCCCCACAAGTCGCGGAAAAGAATGGGTCCGCTAGCCCACCATCGACGACATTTCTAGGTGAGTTTGGGAGATTCAAGTTGCCTGGCCGGACTGACTTGGGCACAAAGCAGTGTTTCCTTCAATGGGCGTTGTCCCCCCGGGGGCGTTGTTGTGAGTCAAGAACATGTATGGTTTATGAAAATCTCAACAGGCTTGAATATCTTTGCACACTTCGCTTTCACCAGTTGACATATGCGGGGGTGGATGGCCCTACCGTGGACATCAAGTGTCGTGTGATAATACTCTTGGTATTGTTGAGCATCCTATTGAGTTCCATTCCTGCACTCGGGCTTCAGAAGTGCAGTTGTGTTTCACTTATGCCGCCGGATGATCTTGCAGATCAAGCCAGTTTGCCAGACAAACAAGTAGTCGTGCAACTCCCATTCTTTCGACGGATCCGCCAGCTCAAAATCGAACCTTTTCAGCAGCTCTGGCACCACCTTGGATATTTCCAGGAGGGAGGCATTCTTCCCCAGGCATGTTCTCGATCCACCCCCGAACTAGACAGTCATCAGCAAAGACCATTTTTCTGGCAAGGAAAGATTTACGCACCGCGAGGAAGTTCCTCTCCATGAGTTTCAGTTGCGCAGTGTCTGCCTCCAGCCACCGCTCCGGCCGGAAGCTATACGCATCCTCCCCGTACACCGATGGATCTCTAGCAGCAACCCATGGGTTCATTCCAATTACTGTCCCGCCAGGCAACCAAACACCACCGATGTCTGCGCCGTCTCTGGGCACCACGCGCTCAAGAAGCAGACCGACTGCAGGATGTATGCGCATGGCCTCCTTGACGACTGCCTGGAAGTACCTGAGCTGCTGTGCCTCCTCGAACGTGACCGGGTCGGACAGGCGGCCGTTCCTCTCGGCCTCGTCTATCTCGGCGAGGAGCCTGTCGTGGGCCGCCGGGGTGCGGCACAAGTAGTAGAAAAGCGCCCTGAGGGTCGACGCCGTGGTATCGCTGCCAGCTAGGATGTTAGCAGCGGCGTGAGACATCAGCTCTTTCTCGTCCATCACCTTCTCCCCGTCCTTGAAGCGCTTGATCCGGCCGAGGAGGTCCTTGAACTGCATCGTGCCCGGGTCTTTGCTCTCGCGGCGCCGCACCTGTTGCGTGATGAACCCTATCAGGTACTCCGTCGGGTTGAGGGATTCTGGGTCACGGAAAAGGCCGATGACACTGTTCATGATACGTCTTATGTAGTAATTGGTCGAATAGAGAGGCGCGGCTTCGGTGTCTCGATAGAATTTGGCGACCTTGCTCACCAGCGGGTTCCCGGCCAGATACCTGTGCAGGTACGGCGCCTGCCCAACCGTGGTGACGTACTTCAACCTAGTCGACAACGCGTTGATGACCCCCTGCACGTCGCCGCGCGCCTCCATGAAGCCGAGGCGGTTCGAGAAGGCGATGGTCGTGATGACATCGAACGCATACCAGTGTAACCACTCCCCAAAGTCCACCTCCCTCCCCACCAGCGCGTCCAGCTCCGCGGTGAGGATCGCCGAGCACTCGTCGTTCATCGGCTCGAGCTCCCTCATCGTGCTCATCGAGTACGCGGCCGCGACGGGCCGCCGCTTCTCCCGGTGGGCCAGCTCGTCGCGCTCCGAGAACGTGGTCGTCGCCCCGTCCAGGTGGAACATGTCGTAGAACTCGCTCTTCCAGAACCGCGTGTTGAACCCGTACACGGTGGGGATCAGGCGCCCGTCGGAGAAGGAAACATGTTTCGGCCCCACGCGCACGAGCGGGCCGTACCTGGCGTGGAGCTCGAGGTGGTAGTTCATTTGCTGGCCTGAGAAGCAGCTCCAGATGCGGTCGAGGTTGGATATGCTGGCTAGGAATGGGCCTGGGATGCTGCGGAGCCCGGGCCGGTTGCGGATGAGGTAGATTCGGACCAGGCGTAGGACGGCTGCGATCAGGAGTAGGTACACACCTGCTGCGAACACCGTTCGGTCGTCGACCCAAAGCTTGCGCCAGAGGGCTTTTGATTCCTTGTCCATGTTTTCGGTGTCTTTCCAGAGTTGACTCGATGGCTTTGGGAAGCAGTCTTGATTTGAGCCTCCAGAATGCGCGGTGAGTGTGTAAATCGGTTGCCATGCAGGGTTACATACAACATCGGGGGAGATGGGGATGATCCTAATTCCCGTACGCTACCTCCATAGAACCAGTTTCGCGCTTAATAATAGACCCGATGTAGGATCTGTCACCATGCATACTGGGGCGGGGCACGGTACCGAGAACTGTCAAGCTTAATCATCGGATGCCTAGATAGGCTTGCGAGATCGTCAGCCAGTATGCAACCAAAGGCTCAGAGCTGCTTCAATGGGCCGTGAGAGTTGTTGGTCAGGCTCGGCTTGATGTCTGATGAGAAACTGGGCAAGTTTGTTCCCTGAGCGAATTGTAAAGTCTTCGCTCGTACTGATGTGAAGTGCTTATTGTATCTGCTTTAAAATGCAGTGAATATAGATTAAGCGGTAAAGGCCACTATCTAGGGTTACTAAAAGTATATAGTTTTACTTCTATTCTATATACATTTAAGAATATATATAGTATCTTTATATAATAGTAAGTATTTAAGATTTAGTGTTTAAAAAGAATATAATATTAATATTAATAATTATAATATAATAAATATTTATAACTTTAACTTTATAATATATAAATAAAGTTAAAAAGTATTATTTTAATAATAATATTAATTATAAATAGAAGTAACCTATAATTTAATTATTATAAAGGAGTTATATAATAAGATTAAGTCTTTAAAAATAGTTATTATATAAATAAATTATATTAAAGAAAGCTTAATATTAAGGCTATAGGTTAAACACCTATAGAATAACTAGTAGGTTTATATACTCTACTTATTTTATTAGCTTAAGTAGCCTCTATACCTCTTATAACACGGGATTATAGCTTTACTACCTCCCCTATACTATTCCTTAAGTAACTTTAATTTTAAATTAATAATTTTTTATAAATAATTTAAGCCTTCTTTTACTATAAGTTATAAGGACCGTCTTATTTAATTAAAAATTATCCCTTTAAATATATATATTAGTAAAATCTTTATTAAATAAGTTTATAAAGTTAATATTATAATTTTTATTTAAGTATATAATTAATTTTAAAAGAATTTAAAATAAAAAAATTAATAATATATTATTTTTAAGATTTTTATAATAAAGTATTAAAACTTTTAAAAAGAGTTTTAAAAGTAATTTATAAAAAGATAAAGAGAGGATATAATAAATTTATCCTTCTTTAAGTTTATACTTTTATTATTAATAATTATTCACTTTTTAATAATATAGAAAAATAAAATAAAAATAAAAGAAAGGGTAGGTTTAGAGTTTTTTTATAAAAGGATTATAAGGATATATATAAAGTTATTAAAGACTTTATATATAAGTTTTAAACTATTAGGGAAGAAATAAGTAGTTAAATTAAAAGATAGTTATATAGTGTAAAGGAAAAATATAGTGTGGCCGAAGCCTTCTAGAAGTATGCTATGTGGTTTTAATGGGCATTGGCTCTTGTTACTACTGATGGAGCGAGCCGTAATCTTAGACTTGGGCCGCCGATACCGCAATTATCAATGATTGTTCACTTGAAAGTATGATTCACAGCCTTTAGAAAGGTTCTGCGACAGCCGAATAGTGACACAACCCGGAACTCTTTAAGTGTGAGTAGATTGATGCATTGACTGGCGACGCAAGACATATTGGGGTCTCGAGTGCGCGCTTCAGTTGAAATGCACCGTTCACTAATACTACCTATCTCTGTCAACGATCTCAAGCAAGCTGCCGTACGGCAGTCTCATCATGCTATGTGAGCAAGTTTTGATCAACTGATCATCTCGGCAGTGTCGGTGGTGTCGGCGAGGTCGGTGAGGTCGGCCAAATCGACGGTGCGCAACGGCTGCCATCCTTGCTTAAGTGGAAATAAGGTGGGAAAGTAAACGGGTACAACTATCTCACAAAGGTACTTTGACCTAGATCCCAATGTCACCGACCTTGTTACCTACCTAGGTAGCTACACAGACTTTGATTAATACAGCTAAGCAGAAGCACGCGCAGAGCTTCGGATATGCCAAGCTCAGTACACATGTGTTGGTAATCTCGGATCATCGATGTCTTGGACAACGAAGCACCGGTTATTGCAGAGACCAAAGAAGTACGAAGGCACGTACCTGAATCCTTATCGCTTGTATGCATATCTAGGTAGGTAGACCGTTTAATCTACTGCACGACCCTGGTAGTGCTGACCCAAGGGTGGGACCATAACGAACATTGGCGTAAGCACTTCAGTTAGTCGATATTGCACAAGGCGAGCTGCACCAACTCCGGCTTGCTGCCTAAGTGAACGAACCGGAAGGACAGTTGGTTGCTGACGAGCCCCCAGCGAACCAACACACTTCAGTTAGTCGATATTGCACAAGGCGAGCTGCACCAACTCCGGCTTGCTGCCTAAGTGAACCAACCGGAAGGACAGTTGGTTGCTGACGAGCCCCCAGCGAACCAACAAGAACAAGATTTTGATTGATCAGCTCTCAATTGAGTACATAGGAGCACTTCCAGCTCATCCTTCCAAGTTGCGGCCGCCATCCTCCCCTCCAGCTAATCTCCCATCGTTGTCAGTTTCCCGCCCAGATTTTCATCTACCTAGGTAGCTTAAGCAGCCCAGACCAAACGTGTGCACGATCCAACCAGCCAGCTCTTGATCTCAAAATGTCTGTTCAGCACCCAGAACTCCCTCTCCCCGATTACTTTTCGAAGTTTGCGAGCATCTATGTTCGTCAGACAGGCCAAGCAACGCTCAATATCCTGGTCGACGCTATCCGGGTGCACATCCAGACGTCTGCCAATCCCATCGGCCTGGACTCAGTGGTTCATGACACAGCAGCAGGGCCAGGAATTGGGGCTGCTGCCCTTCTCGCTGCTCTCCCCAAAGAGCAGCTACCAGGAAAAGTTATGGTCTCAGATCTCGTTGCTATGATGGTTTCTGCCGCGAAGGAATCGCTTGAATCCACCTCGCTTCCGAGTGTCGACTTCAAGGAGGTTGACTCGCAGAATCTCACAGGAGTGCCTGACGACTGTAAGTAATACTTTTTTGCATAGTCTGACCATAGTCATTCGAACTAACACCTGGCAGACTTCTCCCACTCTATCAACAACTTCAGTATCTTCACTTTCACCCAACCTGTTGATGCAATCCGAGAGACATACCGTACTCTAAAGCCTGGAGGCCTTGCTCTTGTGACATGCTGGCGGCGGTTCGCACCAATGTTCATTGTTCAGTCCGCACAGAAAAGAATCCGGCCAGACTTGCCGCTCATGCCAACCCCGAGTCCAGAGTTCTATGAGGAGGGTGTGCTCCAGCAGACCGTTGAGAAGGGTGGTTTTACCAAGGAGAAAATCACCATGGACGACAAGGTCTTGATTGTTAAGGACGAGGAGAATGTAGCTGGGCTTACAGCACTTATGTCGGGCCCTATGATGGCTAGGGCACGGGAGGGCTATACAGCTGAAGAAGAGGCCAAGTGGGCCGATGCCGTGAAGCAATCCGTGAAGGAAGAGATCGAGCAGTTCGGTGGTATTCGATTTGAGGCCTACATCCTCATGGCCATCAAGTAAAACACTCGATTCTATCTTCACAGGTTCCCACGTGGTATGAGAGGCAGTATGGAGGTATAAAGGTACAGAAGGGGCAGTATTGCCACGAGTTCTCGGCGTGTTTATCTTCAGGGGGTTGCCCACTGGAACACTAACCTAGCGCCTTTTCACACTTCTTGCAGTATTTTTAAGTGAGGAAACATCCACGTTATTTGATTTGTTCCGAAGTCATTTAAATCTATTTTCGGGTTCACGAGATCCATAGCATCTCTTCTCAAGACAGCTAACAGCATTTTATCTCGCCCTTTGAACTATTCCCCACTCTAATCTTTTCATTCTTGATCCAATGGACCGCAAATCAGCTGTATTCGTGAATATAGAAAACGCAGCAGCCAACCGTCATGGACTTATGACGCCTAATGGGCGAAGATGATATGCTGCTAAAGGACACCATTTGTAGTGGTAGCATTCCTCCTCATCTTTCAAAAGCCCAAGATTGTCAGGCTTTTTGTCGCATAGTATCTGATTCTAGGCCGGGGCTCGCCAGAAGGTCCTATGACACAGTGGCTAGGGTCACCTCCAGGTCTCCTCTCGGATCTCAGCCCCAGAGACGTCAGCCGCCGCTTCACCCTGGGAGCAGGCACCTCCGCAGGGGCAGCACCACCGCCAGGTCCCGATTCGGGCCCTCCAACCTCCTGTTTCCTTGGGATTGGGCCCCCCTGTCTGTCTGACTTCCGCACGGGGCCGAACAGGGCCTTCTGCCTGTTGGCGGCCGATTTCCTGACGCACTGCGGGGAGACGTTGCCGTCAGGGGAGATGCGTCTGCGGTACGCCTCCGACGTGTGGGGGTAGTCGAAGGCGTCGCACTCGCAGGGGAAGTCCCTGTGGAAGTACTCGGGCCCGTAGTCGATTGTGATCTCCTCGCCGGCGGCGATTTCGCGCTTCGTGCTGAAGACCACCACGGCCCGCCCGCCGTACATGGCCGTGACTGGGTTGGTGTTGCAGTTGCAGTTGTGGTTGATGAAATGGGTGATCTGATTTTTTAATTGTGGTTAGCTGGTACTTCTTTACGTGATTCTCAAATGCGGGACACTCTGGGCCTCGGATCACAAAACTCATAGTTTTTGGATCGAGTTTTGGGGGGGAAGGGGGGGACATACATTGCAATACGTCTCTGCGTCGCATTCAGCCCGGCCGGTGATCACATAAACGTAGGCGCTTTCGACGCGAGGGCAAGGATGAAAAGGCACAAGGCGGCCCAGATACTCGCCGATCAGAGTGCCTTTTGGTATATCCTCTCGGGCAAATACTCCAAAGCCCCACCTGGCTTTTCTGATTTGGAGTCTGTGGTCGGTTTCATCTCGGAACCGGTCTTTCGCAATGTCGATGCAGGCCTGTCCATGGCACTAAGCTCCTGATTAGTTCCTGAATATCGACAGACTAGGTGGGTATACCCCAGCATCCGGAAAACAGCACATGCAGAGATACTTACAGCATCTCCTCTTTTTCCACACACAAAGCAGCCGAGATTCCCGGTGTTATGCCCGAGGACTTCATCGACCGTCTTGGCTCCGACGGGTGAGGATGATCTATTGCCGTAGTGCAAGCCACCGCGGCTGACAGCTTCCCCTATTTGGTCATACAGTATTAGTATTGGTGACAACTCCAGCATAGCAACGGCAACTCATGCGAAAACACGTACAGTCGGAAGGGTCAACGAGAAAATCATCGATCACCCTAGGATGTTTATTGTCATTGGAAACAATAGGAATCATTTTATCCACGTGTGGATCATAGTAGGAAAACACATTCAAAGTGTTGGGGTCCGGTAAGCCTGCGAGAGGGGCCATTTTGCCTAAACTTTATTTTTTCTGAACTGATGAAAGAAGGTAGGTGTTAAGGTTGAGGTTGAGGTTGTTCAGAAATGCGTGGTTAGAATCAGATGGCCGGGATTTTGTATTTCTCTCAGAATGGGCACCCTTTTCTTTTCTCCCAATTACTGAAGTAGCACTTGAGTTGGCTAGTAAACAGCTAACCCATCAGATCTTAAAGTCACTATCACTTTTTGTCAAGTGTCCGTCGCGGAGCTAGAGGAATACCAATCTTGAAGTGGCCCTTCGAACAGTCAGTCTGCCACGGCGACCCGCGCCTGGCGCCGTGTTAGGTATAATTGTTCTTTGTCAAATCATGCACACTCATGGTCCCTTTGACCTCCGACAAGGTATTTATGGACTGAATTTCTTTGGAGTCCCGCTTCTTATCCGGGACGGCAGTGGCCTTCACATCTATTTCTGCTAGGTGGTTTCGTTTTTAATGCCCATACATGTAAAATGTACGTGGTGCCTTCATACAGTGGTAAACGCTCAAGACCCGGCGTTTGATATTCTAGTCTCGCCGTATGACTGCTTTGCCGGCTTTCTACTTAGGTAGTGCGGCGCCGTCGGGAGCGATGCCTTCCAGCCTTGTCTGTACGGTACGAGGCTCAGCCACGTGCCCACAGACGTACTGTATTCTCTTTCCACTGTTATTGGCACTGTATTTCTTCAAACGCTGGGTCTTGAGTGTTTACCACTATATGAAGGCGCCACGTACATTTTACATGTATGGGGATTAAAAACGAAACCACCACTATTTCTGCTAACCGGCGGTTTCTCAGAAGCCACCATTTCGCACTGCAATCTGAGAAAAAGTGCTAGTGCCGGGCCGCATCTTTTGGCGGTTGCGCTACCTGGCCGTCCAGGTTGAAGGCATTGCCAAAGCCGAACCAAGTCTGACCATCAAGCATTATGTCGAGGTGGCTTTGCTTCTCCTTGGGACTTAGACAAGTAGCCCGGAGTCAGTGAGCACTTGTTAGAGCCGGTGTTTTGGACGATCTGGATTGTCTGCTCTGCCAACTCACAGCAATTGGTGCTTTGCATTACTCACACGCATTGATATTGATAATTGTGTTTCCTTCGCCCCACTACTAGCAAACCCTGGAGCGGTTTGGTGACTTTTGAATGTTCATTTTAACATCTGACGCGTGCAACTCCAATATCCAAGGCATGTTGTTGTGACGACTTCTTACAATGACTAATAATAAATATTCTATTGACCTTGCAAGTTGGAGTCAAGTGGTACTAGTGGGAGCCTCAGCACAAGAATTCAAAATCAGCTGGATGACATGTAAAGTCAGGCCCTCGATGCCTCGTCTTTTCTCGGGCGGGTACGTGCAGATTCTGTCACTATGACCCGGCTCGCATCCAGAACGAAGAGGCCATTTGGTGTGACGATGAGAAGCAGGCCACCGCAGATGACACTGAATTTGGCTGACTACAAGCTGCATTCGTCTCGTGTCTTGGATTTCCCTATGAGTTTCTTTGATTGTACTGGAGATTTGTATCCACCAGTTTACCATTATGGTCAAAGTTTGTCCACGGGTTTGGCTGCGGCTGAACAGCTGGTGTGAAACTGGGGACAAGGTGCACCGTTGCAGGTAAGTGCATGCACTAACTCCCACAGGGCAGGTTGGTGCAGCAGAACGGATAGTGCCTGCACCACCAGATCGTTCCTGCCCACCCCAATGTGCCCCCCCAAACAACCAAAACGGTTCTTGACGGCGGCCCCCAACGGTTCGAACGGTCTGTTTGTCAAGACTTTCCAACCAGCAACTGTCCGTAAACGGTATGTATGATGCCATTTGGTAGGCCTCCTGCAGGTTGTGTGACGGTGTTTATGAGTCAACGAGCCATGAGCAAGAGGAGAAAACAGGGACAAGAACAGGCTGGCCTATGGATTGGGCTGCTCTTTGAATTTTGGCTTTCTTCGCCCCTGCTGGGGAGGACCTGCTCATTGGCACACCTGGGCATGATCCACTGCAGCTGGCCGTCAGGACCCTTATTAGGTGCTGGTTCTTTGCTTGACCCCGCCTTGGCCAGTGCCCCTCCCCTCCCCACCTTCCCAAAGCTCCAGGAGGTGTGAGCTCTCCAGTAGGCCTCACCGTATCATGATGAGGGCTGTTGCTTCCCCATCCATCTCTTGTCCTCATCCCACTTCCTCCCACTTCCTCCCATCTCTTCCTCCATTCATAACAACCACCTCCACCCCCCCACATCATCCTTCTCAGGGCCTCGGCGATCTCGTCTGTTTCTCTACCATATCATCCTCATTTCCATCCTTATTTTGCTGCCACAGATCGGCGGGTCCTGACCTACACGTGCAAAAGCTCTCTCGCCCCAGGGTTTTTGGGGCTGTCCAAGCAACCGCTGCCGGTGCGTCGACCGACTCTCCCACCCCAGCTCAGCAACGGTGTTCCCTGCTGTGCCGACGCCCATGCTATGATACTGCTGGATCTCATGCTAATCACATGCCATCAGATATCCTTCCTTGCTTGGATAATTTCGTTCTTAACGGCCGCCTGATACAATCATACACACTTGCTTGACTATCGCTGCCTCGAGTTAGGTGTGCTGCGAGCTATTCAACATCCAGCCCACCTACTTGTGTGCCTTGCACTCTATTTTGACAGGCACTGCCACCCCCCAAAATGGCTGATAGGGGTCGTGGAAGAGGACGAGGACGTGGTGATGGCGCTGCTCGCGGCGGTCCAAGCCGTGGAGGCTCTTTCCCGCCCGCCCGTGGAGGAGGCGACCGTGGAGGTCGTGGTGGATACCGCGGTGGTGGTGACCGTGGTGGAGGAGATCGTGGTGGTGGCTACCGCGGAGGAGGAGGAGGAGGAGATCGCGGCGCGTTCCGTGGAGGTGGCGATCGGGGCCGTGGGGGCGGTGACCGAGGTGGCCGCGGCGGACGGCCGCCTCCACAGGTCTACGCACCTCCCACTGGAGGAGCCCCCGTCCCCGACAACAAGGTTAAGAACGTCGAGGCTGCTCGCCAGAAGGCCCGCAAGTCTCTCGAGGGCGCCACGAGTTCGCTGAGTCTCGACACTCCCGCCCTGCTACCAGCTCGACCTGGTTATGGCACCGAGGGCCAGGCCATTACTGTCTACGCCAACTACGTCGAGCTGCTTCCCCCGTCCGACCTGACCCTATACTCGTACGATATCGCTGAGATCAAACCCGACGTCGCCGGAAAGAAGCGAACCCAGGTGATCCGTCTCTTGATCGCCGAGTCGCCAGAGCTGGAGAGTTGCCGAGGAGACATGGTCACCGACTTCAAGTCCACCCTGATTTCTCGCAAGAAACTGGACCTGGGAGGAGAGGAAAAGGTTATCGAGGTTACTTACAAAGCTGAGGGGGAGGATGATCCCAAGGAGAAGGCCCCCGTATACAAGGTTAGTGTTAAGTACACTAAAACGCTGACTGTTGGCGACCTGATGGCCTTCCTCACCTCGACAAACCCATCAGTCCAATATGACAGCAAGTTGGAGATGATCCAGGCCCTCAACATCTTCCTCAAGCACTGGGCCAAGTCCAACAACAACGTGGCAACTATTGGCGCCAGCAAGACCTTTTCCATGACTGGCCGCGCCGACAAGCTCGATCTAGGAAGGGGACTCACCGCCCTTCGTGGTTTCTTCACCAGCGTTCGAGCTGCCACCAACCGCATCCTCGTAAACGTCAACGTCAGCCATGGCGCCTTCTACAACGAAGGAAAGCTTATCGATTTGATCGGAGCATATAACCCTCGTCCAGACCACAGTGGATGGCGCTCCCTAGAGAAGTTCCTCAAACGTGTCCGCGTGCGAACGACACACCTCAAGGAGAAGAAGAACAAGAAGGGAGAGGTCATCATTCGGGCCAAGACCATCTTCGGTTTGGCAAAGGCATCAGACGGACAGGGCCCCAACCGGCCCAGGGTTCGAGAGTTCGCTGCTGGACCAAGGCACGTCGAATTTTGGCTTGAAGACAGGTCCCCAGCTCCCGCAGCTTCGTCCTCTGTCCCAGGTGCCGGGCCATCCCAGGCCGCCCCCAAGAAGAAGGGCAAGGGAAAGGGTGCCAAGGGAAAAGCCGAAGCACCTGCAACAGCAGGACCGCAGCCTGCATCTACTAGCGCTGGTGCTGGCCGCTACATCAGTGTCTACGACCACTTCAAGAACACGTACGACCTCACATGTTCAGATGACTTTCCCGTCGTCAACGTTGGCACAGATAAGAACCCTTCCTACTTGCCCGCCGAGGTTTGCATCGTGTTGCCTGGCCAGAGCGCCATGGCCAAGCTCAGCGGCGATCAGACCAGAAACATGATCAGGTTTGCTGTCCGCGGGCCCTGGCTCAACGCCATGTCTATCGTCAACGATGGTCTTTCTACTGGTGGTCTGTCAAGGGATACCAATCCTCTTCTGGTAAGTGTTCATGAATGAGGAGAGATGTCCCCGAACCGTACCCCTTGGTCTCCGTGGTATTCATCGCTAACCACAGGCAATCAGGCACAATTCGGCATCAATGCTAGCCAGAGCTTAATCACCGTTCCAGCTCGTGTGCTGCAGGAGCCCAAGGTGTTTTACAAGAATAATAAGTCCGTCAATGTTGCTTTCGGTAGCTGGAACATGGAGAATGTCATGTTCAACAAACCAGGCAACTTGAAAACCTGGTCGTGGCTGTCCATCCAGGATGGGAGGCGGCCCAATTACACGATGGACGACCTCAATGCCACTGTGGCCAGGTTCTCCGCTTCATTGACAAAGAATGGCGTGACGGTGCAACAAAAAGCGTTTCCTGGCAAGGAAGTTCGCTTGAAGTACCCCAGCGACCCAGCGTTGGATGCGACGTTTAAGGGAGCGGCCGACAAGCTGGACCTGCTGCTCGTCATCCTCCCTGGTAGGGACAAGAGCGATAACACCGAGTTGTACAGCTACATCAAGACTCTTGGCGACACGAAGTATGGCATCCATACCATTTGCGTCGTTGGATCCAAGTTCACTAGTGAACGAGGACAGGACCAATACTTCGCCAATGTTTCCCTCAAGTTCAATCTCAAGCTTGGGGGTAACAATCAGATGGTCGAGCCCTCACGTTTATCCTTCCTCAACGATGATAAGACCATGGTTGTCGGCATTGATGTGACTCACCCATCTCCTGGCTCATCCTCCAACGCACCCTCTGTCGCCGGCATGGTGGCATCCACGGACAAGCACTTCGGCCAGTGGCCTGGCCGCCTTAGCATACAGAGCGAGGCACGTCAGGAGATGGTTTCCGACCTCACATCTATGCTAAAACAGGCTCTCCAAAACTGGATCAACATAGGAAGGCACGCGAGTCTGCCAGAGAACGTCCTCGTGTACCGCGACGGTGTTTCAGAAGGCCAGTACCAGACTGTCTATGACGAAGAGGTTCCCCGCCTGCGCCAGGCGTTCGCGGAGATGTACCCGGCGGATCTTACCAAAAAGAACCTGCCGCGGCTCACCGTCATCATCGTCGGCAAGCGCCACCACACCCGCTTCTACCCCAGCCAGACCAAAGACATGGACCGCGGCGGCAACTGCAAGCAGGGCACCGTCGTCGACAGCGGCGTGACGGAGGAGGGCATGTGGGACTTCTTCCTGCAGTCGCACGCGGTGATCCAGGGCACCGGCCGGCCGGCGCACTACGTCGTGCTGCTCGACGAGATCTTCCGGTCCCGGGCCAAGGCGCTCAAGTCGGCCAACCCCCGGGACACGCCGGCCAACGAGCTCGAGCGCATCACGCAGGCCCTCTGCTACTCGTACTCGCGCGCCACCAAGGCCGTCAGCATCTGCACGCCCGCGTACCACGCCGACATCCTCTGCGAGCGGGCGCGCAGGTACATGGCGGACCTGTTCGAAGGGAGCTCGGACGACGCGAGCAGTGTTGCTACTGGTGGTGGTGCCATCCCCACTGTGTCAGTGCACTCGAAGCTGGAGAACACCATGTTCTACATCTGATCTTGGGGGGATGGGGAGGGGGGACTCATCAATTCGACTTTTGGCGATTTTGCCATGCGAGGCGATCGATCTCTGATCTGCAACATGCGACACTCACCCAAAAGCAAAGGCTTCCACGTGCACACACTGCTCGGAAGCAGAAGGCTTGCACTACAAGTCATTGCACGTGCGCCTTGTGACTGCTCATCGGCATCGAGATGAAGTTGGAACTGGCCGGTAGGGACTTGAAGCCTGCTAGGCTGACTGTCAGCGCATCCACTGGATTTATTTGTTGTTGGACTACCTAGGTAAATGGGGGTGGGAGTCCAGATTGGGCACTCTGTCTTAGCGATAGTTTTTTTTTTTTATTTATTTTTTTTTATTTGGTTGTTCTTTCGGTAGCTTCAGCGTGTTTTGTCATTATTTATGACTGGATGTCGAGCGATGCTTTAGCAACATTGAAGAGATTTCAAATGATGACTGGGTCATGCGATCGTGATACTATGTTGGCCTTGTCTGTTCTTTTCTCCTAGCGCCCGTTGCATGTGCCGTGCCTCAATGGCCAGTTATGGTTAACCATGATTAGCATGAGTTACTGCCTAGCATTCCGAGTCGAGCATAAAACCCGGCAGAGGCCGGTCTCCTGCGGCCCAAGGACCTTTGAAACGGATGGTAGCCCCGAGATGATCTACCACGTCCCTGAGGTGGACACATGGTAACACCCGTTGCCCGACGGCAGGTGATAGAATCACGTAGTACTACGTGTTGCCTTGCCAGCTGTGGTATCACTGGGAGGCCTACTGCCAAGGACCCTTGGAGTAACCCCGGGCTTCACGTCTTGTCTGCAACCGAATTAGCACGTGTGGTGGTTCTTTTCAATAGTGAAAATTCTGGTCCGGTTGATGAGGCTACATAGAATCGGAACACGTTCAGAGAGCCCTGCTGGGCTAGCCGGCTACTCTATCATCTGCATATACTTCTAAGCAGTCAGCGTACGATTTTGGCAGTCCGATGTCACGTGCTCTTCCGAAAGTGTCAGCGTAATGACGGCCAGTACTGAAACGCTAGGCACGTAGTTTAGCTGCATTCTCAGTGTCTTCTAGGCCCTTTGAGGCTGATCGACAGTGGACTATGCTGCCGTGCTCACCCCCGCGCCTTATTGGTACACTGTCACAATGACCTCACCAGCCCTTGAGACCGATCAACGGGTCATGAGCATGGGTGTCGTCATTGTTCCACATACCCGGTGTGAACGCTATTTATATGCACAGCTCATGTTTAACCTACCATCATGCCTCACTACCTAATCTCCCATATTAGTCGGACCTCTATACTTCAGCTTTTCCTCACAAGAGCTTCCTCCGTAACACCGATCAACGGCTTCGCAACTTGACAGACCAGAAGAATACACGAAGACACTCAGAATTCACAATGTCCGAGAAGTACACGATGAAGCAAACTGGGAGCGGAGGTATGTCTGGAAGTGTGCAGACACCAGCCAATGCGCACCTGGGGCAGGACAAGCCCAAGGCATTCGACGCTGCTGGCGCAATTGGCCATCAATTTACCGGTACTACTGAAACCCCTCCCCTCAAAGCTAGAGACCTCAGGAAGCGATGAGAACAACTTGCTGATGGCCCATCTTCTACAGAGGACGGTGCGATTGGAGGCACGGCACAGAAGATCGGAGGGCCTCTTGACAAGGACGGAGCTATCGGCAAGCAGTTCACCACGGAGGGAAGTATCGGCGGTGCGGTGCAGGATAAGCTGGGGGGGACAGCTAGCAAGAGTAATTAGATTTACCTGCTTCATAATAGTACTGTAATATGCAAATATTAATACCGAAGGATCTGCCTGCTGCAAGATATAATATCGCGACAGAATTGCGAAAGCCACAAAAGTGGTCCGCCTAGTTTGACGGGGTCATATTAAACACACGACTAACGCGTTAATTCTGCGCAGTCAATATAATGACATTCCTTGTGCTTCCTGGTCATACCGCTTGGTCGTTTTATGCTACCTCCCGCCTGCATCTCGCCGTTGAGAATGGCACCAAAGGCAGCGCCCAGTGAAAGCCCCGAGGTCAGACGCACGAAAATGCTAGGGTCGTGACGAGTCTTAAGATAGCTCGATTGGAAGTAACATTTGAAGGAGAAACGAAATGACCCAGGACAAATCGTCGGAAACGAGAGTAAGTGACAAAGCTTGATCACTTCCATCCAGGGCTCCGTTGCCCGGACAAGGCGAAGGTCTCTGTGCTCAAAAGTCTCCAGAAACCTTGCAAAATCTCAAGATGAGCATCATTTAACAACCGAGTGCAACCACTTTGAAGCAACTCTGTTCCGATAGATGTGTAACACCAGGTGAGGGGTTTCGGTGGTACGCATGCAGGTATTTAAACCCCGCCCTGGGCCGTCTGTAGTCGCTGTAGGACTTTCTGACACCTTAGGAAGAAAGACAATATCAAGCTGTGTGCTGGCCATGACAGGAAGTTACTGACAACATCTTTTCGCGTTCGTATTGCCATCTGGATAAGCCACGAATCAAAATCCAAAATCATGTCTCGAAAGCTGCGCACGCAACGAATGCCTATTATCGATATTGTATATCACCGTCTCGCGGGTGCGCAGCCTGAAGTAGTTGAGGCCGTGGCTGAGACAGTCACGACACGTCTCAGGGACTTGCACGACTTCGATGGTAAATACGTGGTGTGGGCCCTGTGGGGGTTCCCGGAATTTCTTGATAATTTGGTCGCCATGAGGATATCCCATCGATATCGCAGCATGACGCAACATGATAAGACGTCACTACACGGAAGACACTCCGGCGATGGAGAGACACTCGTACAGAACCATGGTATACTGGTACTGCCTCAGAAGGACGGAAACGCGTGGCTGAGGGCGCTTCTTGACCTCCCTCGTCCGGTTTCTGGATCAACGTTCCTTTCTCAGGAGACCATCAACAACCCTGACGGCTTTGTCCAAATCAATCGGTTCTGCTCCTTCTGCCAACACATGTGCAGAGAATCAAGAGCCCTCAATACTTGTGTCTGCGACGAGGATACCGTCATGCCGGAACGGGAGACACCGAATGATTCATCGGAAAATTCCAAGAGATTGTCCCATATACAGGAGGTTCGCGAATATTTCGACTTCTGGCCCTCTTCCGCGAAAATGCTTTTGTCTGCGCGGAACGGCTGCCCTCTATGTACTGTCATCTGTCATGAGCTAAGTGCCATGATCAGCGATCCGCATACTAGTATTACTACCTGGGGGTCAGACCTTCGGTTCCCCCCTACGCTGCGCCAGCAGTGGGTTCCTCGGAGCGAGAGCGAACCCACGGGTAGTAGTACTGCGGTTACTGACCTCCGGCGTGCATCACTTTTGTCATCCCCTGGACCAGTCAAACTCGTTGTCGTCTGGACTTGGAAGGACGACGAGTTTCCACCTGCTCGTCTTGGTTGTTTGCGTTCTGGATTTATAGACCGTAATCTCTATGTTCAGTGGCCACTGAACGATCCTCCTAGCGACGGGGAGTGTGTTCAGAGTTCATATTTCGTTAGCTCTCAGAAGATGATGTCCTTGCGACTGTGGGATTTATACATCGGGCAGGCCTGGCACGGACACCGCTCCGACCTAAGGAAGCGGGACGAATGTTACCACAGTCTTGAGCTTCAACGAATGCCCACCAAGTTGGAAAGGGTAGCTCACCACCTGCTCAGCCATTATACCGGTTCAGAGGCAGTACTGAGCGTCGCACAAGAGTGGCTATCCACGTGCCATGCCGAGCATAGCTGCCACAAAGACCCCAAAGATCCGGCATCTAACACGATCTTCAGGCCAACTCGGCTCCTGGATGTCGGCAACTCGGACGGCATGCAACATCCAAAACTTAGCATTCGAGGACGCAGTTCCGTTGCCATCCAATACCTTGCTCTGAGTCACTGCTGGGGGAAAACATCAAACGAACTGTATAAACTCACATCGGAAAGCGAGCAAGAGCTACTTCGAGGGGTCCCGGTGGAGAAACTGGCGCAAACCTTCCAGGACGCAATTAAAGTATGCAGGAAGCTAAAACAGCGATACATATGGATTGACACCCTATGTATCAAGCAAGACAGCGTCGAAGACTGGGCTCGGGAGGCGTCTCAGATGCATCTCGTATACGCCAACTCTTACTGCACTATCGCAGCCGTCTGCGCCAAAGGTGATGAGGAAGGCTTCCTGCGCTTTCGAGATCCGAAGAGTAGGCGGCACCATTCACATTGCATTTGAACATCGCATCTCTTCTCATCCCAAATCGTCTATACATTACTAACTGCTACAATACAGTCCTGCAGGACTTCGAATTGCCTACAAAGATCACGGCTTCTTACAGGGGATTGTTTCGGCGGTCTTCCTTCAATCAGAAAAAAAAGCCTCTTTTCTCCCGAGCGTGGACATTACAGGAGAGACTTTTGAGTCCGTGCACATTGAGGTTTCATGAGGATGAAATTGGTTGGGAATGTCACGATTGCTATCTCACTGAGAATGGAGAGCCATGTAATAGGGACGGTCTTTCCCGCGGTGGTCTCACACGCATGTGCACTCTCCTGGACCCGGACACCGGTCTTCCGGAAACAAGGAGATTCTTAAAGCAATGGGATATGTTTATACGTGCGTATACGGGAATGGCCTTGACGAAGCCACAGGACAGACCCGTCGCGTTTCAAGGTATCAATTCCTACATAGCTGACCTTAGCAGCAATAACGCATACAGAGGCGGTGGTGTTAGGGTATCCTTCTTCGACGGGCTCCCGGTCCCATTTATGTTGCCCTTGCTGCTTTGGAGGGTTTGCAGCACCAAGGGACGACGACTCAGTCAAAGAGTAGTCCACAAGGGCACAAAAACATGTGTTGTGGCCGAGTGCTATGTCAACACTCTTTCCTGGGCGTCGGTCGAGGGCGAGGTGCAGGTCCCGTACAAGTGGCCAGTCTGTTCTTCTGGACGACCGGCGACTACTATTTTTGCTCCTGGCTTCGATAGCGGCAACTTTACACTGCAAAAAAGGACGCAGGTGATCGAGCTCTCACCCAATCCAACTGCGTGGGAAGAAGGAAAAGACGACGACGGACTCCCGAATATCCCTGAGCGCAAAGGGGTGTATATGGTATTCTCAGGTCACCGCTACTGCACCCGCGTTGTGTCTCTCATCCATGTTCGGAACCTCCTGTCGCGCGTGACCCTTGAGGGCCCGACGTTCAGTTTCACGACACCAAGTACCTATGAGTCCAGGCCGCTCTCCCCTGGCGGTTGCATGGCCCACTGGGATCACCCTGAAAAGGGCCATGGCCTCAAAGATTCGTTTACCTTAATGAATCTTGACCTAGGGTGCCTGCGGGTTTCGAATTTTGGCCTTTCAACGCAGGTGACATGCCTTACCATTATCGAGTGGACATGGGATCGGGGTGGCAGCTGCATGCTGGACATGAATGGTAAACATCCAGACCCCAACAGCGCCGCAGGGATAGTGCTGGTTAAAAGCACCTTTGGGGAGGATTGTGCGAGCTCACAAAATGGTGAAGAGGTTTACACCAGAATCGGGTACTGGGAGTTGGTGAAGTGGAATACGCATCACCCACCGTACGAGCCGATTCGAAAAGCGGCTGTCGTGCGGCGAGTCACGGTTATTTGACTCAAAGAGACTGGGGATTTACGATCACATCAGGGATTACTGATCTGAGATTGGAATCATTGGTACTTTTTGCTTGAGTTGATGCAGCTTTAATCAGTCAATGACAATTGTTGTGTGCTGGGCACCAAGAACATGCTCCGGGAAGCATCCAGAGCTTGCCGGCCCGGGGTTCAACAGTGAAGCAATTTTGACATCCATACTGATGATTGATGCCTTCTACCCTTTATGATTATATTATCTTCTTATTTTGGTAGTCAGGAAGGGCAGGCGACAATCATTAGCATGGATGCCTACATTGCTTTATGTCGGCTCAAATGATCGAACTTCTTCTGCTGTATTTTGACGATGAATGTGTGAGTTGAAACCAAGACAACTTTTTGGATACCTAAGTAAGTAGGTTTTCTGTCAGGATTTGATGTGGTCCGGAGCGAGGGCTTCTGTACCTGGGCGCCTACAAACCTAAGTCCCGGGATTTTGGGTCCTGGCTTGGCTGCGGTTATTAACCTTACTGGTACACCGCATGCATGTTGAATCAAGAGAATCAAGAAGCACTTCATGTTGCTGGGCAAAAATGAATCTCTTTGACTGAGTGAGAACTGAATGTGCAAACAGATCAATTGATGTGACACAGTATTTGAAACCCAAGCTGTTGCTCAGAGGGCCTACCTGCATGTGGACCGCAGCGGTGAAGGCCCCTCGTGCTTCAACAGCCAACCGTCTGTTTCTAGTACATGATCAGCAGTCCCTGTAGAAAGTGAGCCTCCACAGGGACTCTTGAGGTTCTGCATCGACCGCATTGAACGCATTATACCTAGTCCCCATGACCCAGCGTTCCGCCCGTTCTTTTAGGGCTGCTTCCTCATGCAGCAGCCATTGCGAGTCGCCCTCTCTGACTCTACTCTGGACGGCTTCTGTCCAGGTCCAAGGCCAAACGAAATGAGCGTAGAACCTGGCAAGGCCGAGGTCTCCCAGCTCAGATATAGGGCCGAGAATCCGCGTATAGGCTTTCAGCACTTTCTGCCCGTCATCTTTGGTCAATTGCTCCCGGTCCCTCTGAGGCCTGAACTCGCTCGTATCTACCATATATAGACGCAAGGTAAGGGCGGGTAGATTGGCGTTGTACTTCAAGCGATGGACACAGTCGATCCAGTCTTCAAGAGAGTCATCGCCGTCCTGGGGCCAGCTGTCATGCGGGTATGGAGGGAAGACTATCTCAACGAAGCGGAGCAGACTTAAGCAAGCGGTCGGGACGATGTCTTTGAGGAATACGGAAATGGCAAATCGATCGTTGGGGTAGCCGCCATCAGCAGGCACAGGAGGGTGCTTCCACACAACCAACGGGTCAAAGTCGTGAACCACGAAACGATTCCCAGAAATGAAGACGACCTGGGCATCGTGGTAGAGGTCCCTACAGATAAGAAAAAGTCCCGCCGGGGGAGCCCAGCACCGACAGGTTGACGAAGAGGCACTGTGAGCAACACGACAGAAGCAACCAATTGACGCCCCGGGAAAGGTGATCCAGCATTGCGAGAATTGGCATCCGCGGTGAACCCAGGGCGGGCAGGTCCTCCTCATGCCGTCCACGTTGCGCCAGCCTGTCCTGCTCTCCCAGTATTGAGCTGAGCACCGGTTCCACGTGACCTCCCTCCACGGCGTGATCAGGTCTGTGTACTCTAGTATCCGGAGGCGAAGCTCGCGGGGGAGAGCCAGCAGCCGGGAGGGCGAGCCGCTCGCCCCCGGTGCTTTCAGGGCCGTTCGGCTCTGGGTGGCAGCTGAGATTCCCCGGGCCTTGAGGACCGCGTCGTCTGCTATTTCCTGGATTTGAGTGCTGTGTTCCCTGCAGAGGCGGATATGACAATCTTTCAGCGGTGCTAGCGAAGCGAGAGGGGCCACTGCAAGTCTGGCGATCTCCGGCTGGTGAGGCTGGACGTCGCAGACAAGAGAGAGCTCCAGGCTGGCGAGGCTCACACCACGACCCGACAAAGATTCGACCGTCGACTGCCATTCGGCCAGGACTGTCTGCGTCGCGTTGGAGTCCTTCAGGGGGCCGTCGTGACCAACAGGCTCATGCTGTCCGCAGGGGTGGAGTCGAGGAATGCAAGGGTCCCTCTGGAGATCAACGTAATCACAGCATTGCCCCTTGCTCAAACCCTGCTTTCGCGGGTGACAAGATGCCTCGCTGAGGACGATCTTGAGGTGTCTCAACGACGCCAGAGACGAGTCGGTGAGTGCTCGCAGGGGAGCGAGCCCGGTGTGCTGCGGCATGTACATGGCGTAAGGGCTGGCGGGCGGCATCCGGATCACGAACCGATTCAGCGAGTAGAGAAGCTCAGACGCCTCGTCGTAGATGGCGCGGCAGGATAGGAGGAGGCCGTGGAAGCCGGGCCTGACCGAGTCGAAGCCGAAGTCGCCATGGAGATCGAGAACGAGGGGCGCCCTGTCCCGGTCGACGGGCGCCAGCCCAGCCCTAAAGTAAATGCGACGCCGCAGTTCTGACGGCAGACGTAATAACGGAGGGGTTATGGGAGCTGAGTCGGTTCGCATGTTCGCGGTGCTGTTTGGTGGCGCTGGTTGCACGTTGCACGCTGCACGTTGCGTGTGGCTCCTGACGAGATGCCTGAGTAGGGAGCGTGGAAGCCTACTAAACAACTCCTCCATCCAAAGTCACTTGATACTCCTAGTTTTACCCCACGCCTCACACCTGCAGCCAACACACCTTTTTTCGAGTCGCCAAACACTCGTTCAACGAACAGTACATGCGACCTAAAATAGCCCCCTGTTTACGTTTTATACTTCCAAGGGCAAATCTGGTTGATCTACTCGGTTCTTTCTGCGGTCACCAAACTAGTCTCTACTGCGGTATCTGGGAGGAAATCCCAAAGAAAGGTCGTCATGGCTTAGAAAGGAGAATTCAACGTGAAACAACACACCGAGTTTCGACGTTCCGAATCCCCTAAGCCAGATTTTGGTACAGCCCAGCGGAGAGTAACTACCTACCTAGATATAGAGCTGCATTTGAATTGCGGCAGGAGATAGAAGCGACGGCTTTCCCATGGGAAGAGCTCTACAGGGGGGCCTCGAGCTTCACAAGACTGGCAGAGTCAAAAAGGCTTAGACCAGAACAATTCAGAGCTAGACAAGTAAGAACCGGCTTCTTTCATGTGGGTGGTGTTTGATTCATGTGACATTGGTGTCTAGTCTATATACAAAAGGCATCAAATTTCTACATTCAGAATTCATCGCTGCAGGCTCCCAGGAGAAGCAAAGCACCGTCCACGACATCAAGGCCTGTTCCTCCCGACCTGCCCAGCATTCTCATTAACGTACGCCAACACGTCCGAGCCCGAGCCAAAGGTCCGCGGCATCGCCTGCCCGCCGAACTTGGCGCAGCTCTGCACGAGGCCGCCCTCCACCGAGTCGGTCTTGGACGTCAGGTAGTACGCGAATTTATCGGCCACGTTCTCCACCAGGTTCACGTCCCTGCCGTTCAGCTGGCTGGCGGGGGCGGCGAGGGCCTCGAGCCCCGGGTTCGCCGCGATCTCGTCGGCGGACAGGTCGGGCGGCGAGCACAGGGTGGCCGGCCTGTCGGGCGTGGCGAGGTTGCTGAACGTGAAGATGCGCGTCTCGTCGTCGGGGAACTGGCCCGTCTGGTCAAAGTAGTTGCCCGACATGAGCACGGACGACATGTTGTAGAGCCCCACGTTGTACTGGAAGTCGGGGGCGTACTCGGCGCGCCCCTGGGATGGAGCCGCCGCCGCCAGTGCTGCTGTGGTGTTGCTGTTGTCGTTGTAGAGCGGGCTCCTGTTGTTGTAGTTCGAGAAGACGTTGTTGGCGATGTAGACGGTGCCGAAGCGGACCAGCGGGTTGCGGCTCATCGAGTTGACAAAGTGGTTCCCGAAGACGGTGAACCTCATCCTGCCGATGTCGCGGGGCCCCTCCTTCTCGCCGCCGCCCCAGAGCAGGCTCTTGTGGTGGTTCGCGATGATGTTGTGGCTGAACGTGATGTTGTCCGAGCCGTCCTCGACGTCGAAGAGCCCGTCGTAGCGGTCGACCAGCCAGCCCCAGAGGAACGGCTCGGGCGCGACGGCCTCGGGCCCGTCCTCGAGGATGTTACCATCGAGCCAGGCGTTGGTGGTCGTCACAAAGGAGATGGCGTCGTACCGCGCGTTCCAGCTCGAGGGGTAGGTCTCCGGGGACGGGAAGCAGTCCCGGGGCGGGGAGATGCGGAGGTTGCGGATGATGATGTTTGACTGCGTGTTGAAGTTGAGGCTCACGCCGTTGAGGTACCCGCCCGAGTCCCAGCCGACCAGCGTCAGGTCGCCCTTTGCGTCGATGGACTCCCAGCTTTTCTGGACGTTCTGGGCTTGGCCCCTCCATCCCTGGGCAACGTCAGTGTGGTGATCCATGAAGTGAGTCGTTACGTTTGCAGTTTCTGGCTTACATTCTGCTTGTTCAGCAGATTGAGATATTCCGTCGCATTCTTGCCCTCGAACTCCTCGCCCGCCGCCTCAGCAGCCTTGACGGCATCGGTGTATGTCGAGTTCAAGGCCATGATGTAGAGCGTGAAGTTGAAGTTCGGCACCCGACTCGAGTCAATGTAGAACTGGCAATCACCAGTGGTAGTCTCATTGATCTCGCTGCCCTTGAGCTCGCCCTTGACGTAGATGGTCCGCGGCGTTTCCAACTTCAAAGCCGTGCGGAGGTCCACCATGTTGTCGACCACATACGTGTTGTTCGGAGTGGGGGCGCCACCGCCAGTCACCATTGAGGCAAAGCCAAAGGGCTTCCTGTCCGGCAGGGTTGGGGCCGGTGCATCACGAGCAAGGGCCTGGAGCCTGCTCCCGACGGCGCCCGTGAGAGGGAGGAGAAGGAGCGCTGCTGCTGTCCAGAGCATTTTGGCTGCTGTTTTGTCGGTGAAGACTCTCGGCTAGCGAAAGATGGGATTCCTCCAGGAGAAAATTTCCATCGCTTCGAGCATGGGACACCTTTAAAGCCATCCAGGACGGCCCAGTGGGAGTGACATGTTCCCGCGGCCATGTTTAACCCGGACGGCGATCCGAGGCGGGACAAGGAACGCCGCTGGGCAATCGGGGAATTTTCAGGAACCTCGAAACGGGAGGCGGGATTCCATGCCCCTATCAATCTCCATCCAATCTAGCCTTACTCGTTCGCCAATAGCTCCGCCAGGAAGGTGCTGTTTATGTTTGGTTTCACGTCATTGTTGTATACCTAGCCCTACGATCAAGAGCTGCCGGCCCCGGGGTGTATTTGAGCAGTTCAGAGTTTCCAACCTGCTGGCGCCGGCGTTTTGGAGAAGGCAATGGGGTTCATAGGCGGGCGGGCAGGCGGGACGTCGTCCCATTCGAGTGTGGAGACGAACAGATCATCATTGGCATAGTGGAGAAGGACTCGCTGCAAGGAACAGAATGGGGCGAAGATCGAACGGAGGGTGGTGGGCTGCAAGTTCCCATACATTTTGAGTTGTACGGGATAGATGATCTCGAAGATTGGGCAACTTTGTTTTGAGTTTGAGTTTGCCCGCAATTGCTCTAGGCCGGGATAAAAATGGACATCAACCTAAACCGTCGTCGTCGTGCTGGTTGACTCGATGCACTCACTCCCCAATCCCCCCATCCTCTCTCTTCACACGGTCGTACTGTCGAGCCGCCTGTCACATTTTCCGGCGGCCTGACGGCCTGACTGGACCAATCATCCCATCCTGCCATCCAAAATCCCTTTGCCATGCAGCCAGCTGGCACATGGCCCCAACAGTCGAGTCGAGATCGAGTTGCCTGATAGAGACAGCCAAGCTCCCAAAAAAGGGTCCCTTGCCCACGGGCCACGGCGCGCGGAACGGGATGTGATTTGTGGGAATTTCGCCTAGCTTCGTGTAGACAATGCCGAGCTCTGAGGCGGGCGGTCTCCAGTGTTCATTCATTGTACGACCCCCGTCAGGAGTCTCCGGGTGATCGACAAAAGGCATCTTCACACCATGCACCACCCAACCCAGGATGACCAATCTGGACACCATTCACCTAGGCCTGCCCAGCCCTCATGGTCCTTGTTGCGGACTCTCAGCTGTCTCCTCAAAAAGCGAGGACCGCAGTGAACCTGCACTAGGACTCGTACGTGAAGCGGAAACGCTGGTGCTTTGCGTGCACTATCCGTACACACATGACTGACTGGTTGCGAGTGGAGACACTCTGCCCAGGGTCGATATTACGGTTCTAAAATCAGTCACACCGTTTATTAATATGCACCATAATACTGTTGATGAACCGTGACTCATTGTGCATTATCATCAGATGCTGCTAGGACGCGGGTGGCCACTCCCGGGCGGCCAGCAAGTGGAATAACAGCGGATGTATTTCATATCTCGAGCCCAGCCAAGCATGTCAACATCTAGCCCTCCAGCTGAAGCTATTCCAGGGCGACCGAGCGTTCTCTAAAACGAGCGAACGAGAAAAGGAGGAGCGTATGCACTGCCAGTGTTGCACCGCACCCAAAAAGGAAAAAACCCTTAGTTCCAGCTCGTGATCCACGGCGCCAGCACCTCCCCCTCCGCGAGCGTCTTGGAGACGGCCATGGATTGCTGCTCCAGCGTCTCGGCAAAACCCTCGGTGCCCCACCAGGCGGGGAAGCTGCTGCCGCTGAGCCCCAGCGCGAGGGCGTACAGGATGAGGCAGAGCGCGTTGCCGACGTCGAGCGCGCCGGCGAGCGAGTACGTGTAGCGCTCCCACCAGCCCTGGTAGTACCGCCTGATGAACACGTTGAAGATGATTCCGACGGTCAGGTAGCACAGCAGGTTGAAGATGGTGGCGGGCGGGATCATGCCCGACACCCCGAACAGCGCCGGGAAGAAGATGTAGCGGAGGATGCTCTTGGGGTACTTGCGGGCAAAGTAGTACTGGATGATGGGGCATGCGAAGCCGATCAGGAAAAACCAGTTGGCCCAGGCTAGGCGAGGGTCAGTAACTTGCTGAGAGACGGGTCTTCTGTGTTGTAAAAAGACACAATAGACCGGGGGCCACGACGGGGCAAGGTGTTTACTTACAGTACATGGATCCAGCGCCGAACATTCTAGCGGGACCGATGACACCTGAAAACTCGGTCAGCACCTGGCATGCAGTCTCAGTGACGAGGTCAACTTACCCCAGATGACACTGGCGTTGTAGAAGGTCCTTGCACCGGCGCAGGTGAAACCCTGGGGCTGGGCCTTGGTGCAGACCTCCGGCAGGTATGCGAACATCCAGTTGAAGGTGGCTGTCTGAACGACTCTGTTCTGGAGTTAGCAAAGGGCTATGCAGACTATAGCCGCGCATCCTGGAAGGTTCCTAGACGCGGGCCAGGGTGGTGGTGGAAGCAGTAGGACATGAACTTACGATAGCCACAGCACAGCGAAGAGCTGAGCCCTGAACAGGGAACGAGGGGGGATTTTCACTGGGAGAAGACGGTCAGTCATGAATTGGCAGGCAATGGCCCTCGATGGAAGATGGCCAAAGTAGAACTAGACGTCCATCTCGTCGAAGCAGGTTCTGGGTGTGCTTACTGTAGTGGCCGATCTTCATGTCCTGAACGTAGGTAAGAGAGTTATATGAAAGCATGTAGCCCCCTAATGCAAGTTAGCAAGAATATCAGGACAGCGTGCCTCGGGAAGGATCCCGAAGCAATCGGCCAATGGTCTGGCATGGGGAGGACTTGCAGCTCTCTGTTGTTGACATGTGTTAGTAATCTTCTTCAGCCCAGTGAAGTTGTTCCGGGGGGTAGCTAGTGCTTACTGAACATCATCATAGCGATTGGCTTTCCGGGCAGCATGTAGCCGACAATCATCTCAGTGATAATATTCAGACCAGTCTGCTGATTGGTTATGGCCTGGATGATACCTGTCACGTGTGTCAGCACCCCAAACGACGACGAGGGATTAATCGGCAGAGACACTTACCGACTGGCAAGACGAAGAAAGCACCGACGGCAATGCAGATGATGTACGCCCACCACGTGAGATGTGTCGTCCAGAGCTGGCTGGCAAGCATTCCAAAGGCGAACATGACCAGGAAGACGATCGAGTACCACCACTCGGGCACCTCGGGGTACTTCCTCATGAGCTTCAGGTGGACGTCGGGCTCCTCGTACTTGGAGTCCTTGACACGGCGGACAATGTCCCTTCCGTAGAACCAGATGACGTGGCTGACGTTGCTGGCCAGGGTCGCGAAGCCCATAGCATAGGACAGGCCGAACGCAGCCGGGAGGATCAGTGGCGAGTAGGCCTTGTATGCCTCCTCGTTGATGGTGGTGTCAGGGTTCAGGATGCGCGTGGTGTTGTAGTTCTGGGCGAATCGGTCGAAGTTGGCATTCTCCACCATGGGGAGGTACTGGTTGTACGAAGGACCGGTGAAGTAGATGAGCACCGTGACGAAGAGGAAGAAGATACCTCCGGCCAGCATGTTGAGCAGGGCAAAGCCCGGTGTTTGGATTGGGTTGCCGAACCAACTGGCCACGCCAGACCAGTCGAGCGAGATGGGCAGGATGCCGATTCCAGTCACGCCGCCAAAAGCCTGGTTGACGGCCACGTTGTTGGGGGCGATCCAGGTGGGGAATGTTCCAAGGTAGGTCAGGAAGTTGGCCATGACGTTGGGAATCCACTCGTAGGCGAAGGTGAGCCCGGAGACGAGCATGAAGAAGTAGTAGCGACCAATCTTCCATCCGTTGGTCTTGGAAGGGTCAGACGGCGCGTGGTTGTGCAGGCTGTCCATGACGGTGCAGAAGATGAGGGCCAGGCCGGGCCACACCATGGCAGCGGGCCACACGAGGAAGCGACGCAGCATGCCGGCAATACCAAAGCCCATGGCCTGGGTGGAGAAGACCAGCAGCAGCTGGAAGCCCCAGCCCCAGTACTGCTTGTAGTAGACCTGCTGCGCAAGGAGGATGTCGAAGGCGTAACTAAAGCCAGCGCCGGCAGCGGTCATGACAGTGATGATGGTGTGCTCCTTCTTGTTGAAGGGGCCGGGGTTGAGGGAGACCTCCCTGCCGAAGATGGTGAAGGCCTTGGCGGGCACATAGTTGGCCCAGGCAACACCCATGGGGTAGGAAATCAGCTGGACGACGGGCGTGGTGATGGAAACACCGAGGTAGTGGTTGTTCAGCAGGATGTTCATGGCGGCAACGAGAGTGCAGGTGACGAAACCGATGGTCCAGGCACGGATCGTGTCGACGGGAAGTTCAGGGTCATCGCCGGGGGAGACCTGTGCTGCAAGTCAGAAAAGCGATCTATCGCCAGACGGCAAACGGCTGGATGAGGGTGGTTTTGTCAAAAGTTGACAAGGACTTACTGAGGCTCGGACTTCAGCGTACGGGGAGTCCTCCCCAATAAGTTGCTCCTCCACGACGGCCTCCTTCTCCATGTCTCCAGACTCAAGCACATTGTCGATAGCATCGAGCTTGGAAATGTCCATGAAGGGGTCGAACCTGTGCTGGTCCTTGAGCCTCTTCATGTGCTGGTCGGCATCGGCGCCGCCCACCTCGTAGCCCGTGGCCTCGGCCGAGTCCACGGGCTCGACGGGGCGGGCCTCAGACCTGCCTCGCCAGCTGAAACCCATTGTTTTGGCGGTTGCTGTGGGGTATCGGCGGTGGTGTGTCGATGCTCAACTTGAAGTGTGGAACAAAAGGCAACCCTTATTGACGAGGCGTTGCACTAGGAGAAGTCAAGCCTTCCACCAAGTCGGGTTCCAAGATGTCAAGACACTGGGCACCAAGCGACCAAGAACGACCTTGCAGGGGAAAGCAGCTGGGCAAGCTCGGCGGGCGTTGGCATCAGAGCAAAGTGGACGAGCGACCCGGGGTGACGGGCCCATTTATTTATCTTAATATTGGACGAAAGGCCCCCCTTGTGCGACGAGACTTTGGCAAACGCTTCTACGGCTGACGGAAAGAACGTCGTGCAACGCTCGGCATGCATGTTGCCTTCCACCTTCCTGAACGGTACACTGCCATCGAACGCCTTCTTCTAGAACCCTTCGAGAAGCCAAGGCCGCCACAGCTCGACGAGATAGGTCGGCGCCCGGCCACTCAGCCCGTCCTTGTCCTCGCCGGGAAGGAGATAAGGGAGGGGGAGGGGTTCGTCGGTGGAATCACACGAGGGAGGAACAAGCCGGACGTGGCTGATATGGAGGCGGGGCGCTGTGAATGGAGAGGTCTCGGGGGCAAGGGGGGATGGGGGTCACAAAAGAACAGGCCAGCCCCGTCTGATGGGGGGGAACCATGTCTGTCAGTTGTCTCGAGGCAGCTTACGGTGTACAAAGCCAGGTGCGTACATCACCCTCGCAGCCCTCGCACCTGCAGCCATGCTCCGAGACAAACATGGGCTGCATGGTGGAATTCAGTAGAGGCTAGCTTAGCGCGGTCGCGTACTCCTAATAGGCAGGATGCCTTCCTCCTGGTGGAGAATATGGTCTTGGTATGGCTGGGCGTTTGCTCGGCGCAGCTGATAAGACCGCCACCCCGGATCATTGCAAACATCGTGGGAGGGGTGCAAGGGTGGTGTGATTCCTTGCCACGAGCCCACATGCAGATATGCTGGTCGATCTTTGAGCCATCAGAATCGTGTTCCAAGGTCTGATTCATCAGATTGATGCGACGAGACAGAGATCTTGCGTGTTTCGCCTCGATCCAGGTGCTGCTCTCTTGCTCAGAGGGCGGGCCGAGATCCGTTATCAGCCAACGATATCATCGAAGCACCCAACAGCCGCATGGGAAGCCATATTGCCAGCCAGTGGCGACGCATGTGGCGATGCACTCAGCTGGAAGGTGTGCCTCGGTGTGCCTCGGAAACGATCCGAGGGAGAAGCCGGTGAGGAGAGAGAGATTGACAGGAAATCATGTTCACGTTGTCCAATCGCCATGGCAGAAATCTGCATCGGACGGCCAACAGCCGGGTGTGAGGCAGGTTCGTGCTATCTGTGCGTCTTTTTTGGGATTTTTCTCCGGCAACATCCAAATCGTCACAGCCATTGGTGGGGTCATAGACTTCTCATTCTGATGAAAAGAGCCTGGAACATAATGAATGCCTTTTATGCTATGGACATACTTAGCAGTAGTATGCGTCGTCCCTTGGTGCAGCTAGCCCATCCAGGGTTACACTGATATGATTCGCAATTTCGACCCACCCCTGGCTGAATATAGACTAGGAGGCGTTGAATCTTGTCATGTGTCCTCAACCCCTTATCTCTTGACTGTAACCTTGATAGACACTAGAAGAAATAGAAGACAAGTCTCGGGTCGGGCGACAGGAACTTTTGGTGAACCCCTTGCATAATCGGCTCAGCTGACATTCAGTTGTACGCACACAAGCGTCTTTACATGTCGCCATGCGAAGGTGCATGGGCCAGTATTAGTATTTTAAGTTCATTTTCAACCAACTGGATACGTTATGGATCACCAACTGACACACTGGCCTCTATGATCAGTACAGCTAGTCACCCGTCTGGTCCCACTTCGGCAATCTATCAGGGCCCAGAGTGCCCAGTTGATAGCCAAGAGATCCCATCTACGCGAGCCACATGGGTACACACACATGCCAAGGAGTGTGGGCGTGGCACCGACCCCTTTGTATGTGTCGAAAGCTTGAGGGTCTTGGTGGTGATAGATCTGGCTGCGCCAAGCAGAGCTTGGTACTTCTTGACCTTCAGGAGGGGGCAGCATTGCATGCATGCGACAGGGCCACGTGAGACAGCACGGCAACGTCAAGCGCTGCGTCGTCCCTGCAGCTGTGCCTGTCAGGCCACGGGCTCGGCCCATTCTTAGGACCTATTTCGGACAAGGCAGGAAGCTGCTGTGAACAGCTCACATTTCCGCATTGGTTCACGGTGCGGTGCTTTTCGCGCTTGTCGCTTCCCCTGCGTTGGCCACTGCCTGCCTGGCGTCAGCCTTATGAGGACGGCCGCTCTTTGGAGGCTGGAGCGATGACTCTGGGGCGTTTTGACGCCACTGACTATGAGACCTTCCTGTCATTGTATGAGTGATTTCGCAACCTTGGAAGTCTGAGGGCTGTAACACCCAGAATAGAAGGATTTCTGTGCAATGGGCCAAGCGCAGGTCACGAGGTGTGTTCTATCCTCTCAACCAAGGTCTTCATTTCTCACGAGAAAACTAATGCTATCCACCAAGCTGAGTCTCTTCATCATCGAGTCACTGGAAGGAGCCGATCATGCTGTAAAATACCCAGCAGAGAACATGTTGACGCTTGTTGCCAGGCCAAACAGTTAAGGTATGAAGAAAATTCAAAATATCCGAAAAGCTGCTTGTTCTTGAAATTGTCTCCGTATCAGACCAAATGCCTGTGACAGCGGCCGTGTGCCTTTTTCATCTAGCTTGAGGGCAGACCAGGAGAGGCTCTCACTTTTTCGTTGGTAATGTGACCTGAACCTAGCCCACCCTCTTCTGTGCTCATGACCAAGACTCTGCCTCACCTGGGAGGCAATAGCGAGGGGTTCGCAAGGGTGGTACATGAATTGCACGACGTCTTCTCGGCATATTCATTTGTAACAAATAATTCCACTGCATTATTCGTGCAAAGGTGACGCCACCATCTGCCATAGGTACATAGTTCTTGTAACGTGACACTATCGGTCACAGTACCGTTCCCATTATTAACGATCATGCAAGAAGGTTTAACTTACATCATGTAAGGTGTTAGTTATACTATATTCTTCTTTGTAACGTTAAGCTTATAAGTCTACCAAATGACTCATTTTCTTCCACTTGAAACCTGTTGATATATGAAGTTTTGAAGAAGTTACCTAGGTACCTTATAAAACTCTGTCCTCTAATAAGGGGTTATCCTTTAGAAAGTAAACACCTATATGATTTAGCCTGCAGGTATAACGGCACGACTATGTAGACTACACTCGAGTCCTACGAAACGTTCCGAGACTCCGTACCTTTTGCAGAACACGGCGTGGCTATAGTGCAGTGATCACTCCTGTGACAGCAGGAGGCTCATCGAAAGGAGGTTATTCTATAGGGAACTTGAATGGGTGTACCCTCTGTTTATACAGGTCACTACTATGCGAAAGTGTTGTGGATGGCTCTGGGCAAATACGGCACAGAAACGGGACTAGGTAAGCAATATAGTTGGAAGACTAAGTATGTATGTACTCGGCTCTCCAGGCTCACCCTTCTCTCCATGTCTACCACTCTCCCAGATCCAACTCCCAGCTGGGCAAGGCTGCCCAATGCATGCAAGGTCGTTCAAGACAGCCTCAGATTTACGAGGTCCACTTGTTGGTGTTGATCCAGTCGACGAACTGGCCGACACGGGTGTAGACACCGGCGAAGTTGGGCTCAGCGCAGCCCTGGCCCCAGGACACGAGACCCAGCAGGGTCTTGGAGGAGTCGACGATGGGGCCGCCAGAGTCGCCGGAGCACGAGTCCTTGCCGCCGGCGGTGAGGCCCGCGCAGAACATGTTGGTGGTGATGGCGGAGGTTCCGTACTGCGACTGGCAGGTGGCGCGCGAGATGACGGGGACGGTGACCTTCCTGAGGGTGGCGGGCGGCGCGGTGCTGGTCTCGGACAGGAAGCCCCTAAATTGCGGCGGATCAGCGTTCTCTGTTCTGCGTGTAGAAACCCAATAGTGCATTGGACTTGGGTCTAGGGAGCAAACTTACCAGCCGGCAACGGTGAGTTGTGTGCCGGAGGCGGGGTCGTTGCCCTGGGCTGGGAGGGTGGCGTAGCCGATGGTAGAGCTGGTCGCGATGGGGGTGGCCAGGTGCCAGACAGCAACGTCGAAGTCGATCTTGGCCGAGTTGTACGACGGGTGGGCCTTGAGGGCAGAGACTCCAACTTGGGTACCGCCAGAAGCCCACGCCTACATATAGTCATGCGCGTCAGCATATATATTCTGTTGTTGTTTTTTTGGCAGAGAAGAGGACGATCGGAAATTGTTACTCACCAGGGAGCCCGCGCGGACCTTGACGTTCGAGGCAGTCTGGCCAACAGTGCAGTGGGCAGCAGTGATGACGGTGTTGGCGTTCAGCAGAATACCACCGCAGAAATGGCCCTGGGTGCCCCTGGACAAGCTGACGATGAAGGGGAAATCGCCAGAGACGGCGGTGGTGCCGCCGACGATGGAAGACGGAGGCGGGAGCTCAGTCTCGTCCTGGCGGACATCCAGAAGGGGCTTGGTCTGGAGAAGAGGCCCGGCCATGGAGAGGACGGGCATCGACAGAGCGAGCGCGTAGGTGAGGAAGGGCGTCATCGTGGCGGTCTGCGGGACTGCTGCTGGGTGCTGGTGGGAAGAAGGCGTTGGAGCTGGGGCTGCTGGATCGTCATGTTCGACAAGACATGCCACGGCATCCCTCACTCTTTATACTCGAGGCGGTCGACATGTCTCCTCAACAACAACAGCCCGTATGGGTCACGAGCTGCTCGTACTTGCTGCATCTCCTGCTCAGTCAAGTCAGTTTCTGAGGGTCCAGAGGTACCACTTGCCTACTCAGTCGTCGGCCCCCGAGGGCCAAGACCTCGCTGTCTATACGCCAGATAAAGCGCTGTCCAATGTTTGCCGGTCGGCCCTGTATAGAAACACTTGGCAGAGATCTGAGAGTGGTACGGATGGCCCAAAGCAGAAGGCGAGAAGTTGACATGGCTCGTGGTCGATGCTTGAGCTGCCGCAGAACTTCCCCTTCCGGATAGGCGCAGCTGGGCTTACATGGGTTCCTGATATTTGCCGGGCGGCCACAAACCGTTCAGAGCCCCCAGGACCCCGTCCAGCTTGTGCAGCCAAGGCCCCAACTGGGGCCCCCATGCAGGCTAAACCTCGCTGACTCGGGACGTGTTTGGCTGCCTTTTGATTAAGCTCCTGTGCAGGTGACACAAGCGCGACCCCGTATAGGCGCGGTCTGCGGCACTGCATTGCAAAATCAGCCCGTGATAGGTAGGCGGCCTGAGCCATTGTCGTTGTGGTTGGGAGGTGGTGTCCTCCTGCACGCTGATAGTGTGTTTCACAAAGCTTATCTGCGAGCCAGGGCGATCTCAATATGCTCAATATGCTCGGCCGCCCAGTGGCATAACCCGAGCTACCGCGCATTTTCGTTCCTGATGCAGGTTTCTGAATAAAGATGCCTTCAGCTGTCTCTTGGCTGGTTGAGTAGATCCTCATGTCCGAGTAGATTGGCCGCCGCCCACTGTTGATCAACGAGTCGACCTGGCAGGTCGGGTCCTGAAGTCAATCGCCGGGCTCGGTATCGGGAGGCAAAGGGGACGACTGACGATTACCGTGCAGGATTGGCTGGTCCGTGGCATTAGTGTCCTTGGCAATGCGGTATGTGCCTAAATTCTGCCGTTGCACCTGGTTGATATCGGGTCATTAATTATGCTTATTCTAAAGTTGTGCGGTTGGATGAGCTGGCAGGCTGGGGAGCTGCCGTCCTTCCTGGGCATTATCCCCCTCCCCCTCCGAGTCAGTCTGCAAGTGCTCCAAGTGAAGTTCCTCAATGTTGTCTTTGTGTGTTCTTGAGCACTGTTCCTGTTTGATTATTATTCTCGGTGGCTGGCTGGGTACCATCATTACATCCCCAAATTACTGGCACCGCTTGTCGGCCCAACCATGACTGAGAGCTATACAGATAATCTAGACCCGCCATATACCCTTATATGACGGCGCCTGATTCGCACGGGGCTCAGGACATGCAACATGCACAACTTCCCAGCGCCGAAGGTCTCCCTCTCGCCCTTCCCGCCAGTCGAAGCCCACGAATACGGCCTGCAGCGACACCTTGGACACGCCCATCATCTTGTTGAAGAAATTCCGCGCCACCACGTTCTCGGACTCCCAGACCAGCTCGATCGACTCCCTGATCTCGTCGCCGGGCTCCTTCTCCCCGGCCACGATCGGCAGGAGCTGGCGCCTCCTCTTCTCGCCGGGCAGCGCCCACCACGCGTCCAGCACCGCCTTGTAAAACTCGGAGCCGTACCCCTTCCGCTGATGCGCCGGCTTGATCAGCATCTCGAACCGCGTCCAGCCCGAAGTCGGCTGGTCCTCGCTGTCCGGCAGGCCGCCCTCGCCTATCAGCTCGCCCGTCGACGCCAGGAACGCGCCCCAGTACCAGTGGCGCTTCTCGCTCGGCGCCTGTAGATGCTCCAGGTTCGCCTTCGTCTCTTCCAGGTCCCTGTCGGGCCGCCCGCGGGCCGTCGAGCTGTTCTGCAACTCGGATATGCTGCGCAGCTCGTGGAAGGCTTCGAGGTCTGACGGCAGGAGCGGCCTGATCACGAGGTTCTCTGTCTTGATCTCTTGGCGGTCTTCGACTGTGGGCAGCGGCCTTGATGGTGCGCAGACATCATAGCTGAACCATACAGTCTGGGCGAGCTTCTCGTAGTCGTCATGCTCAAGCTCGACGTGAATGGTCGGTGGTGATCCTGCCATTGTGCTCTGAATGTGGAATTTTCTTTCGGAATCTGTGTCCCGGGGTTCAAATGTGTATGACCGAGGTGCCGGTGGCTGACTCGTAGATCCTAGCTTGAGGTGCCGGTGTTCGGGCAAGTATCAAGAGACACGACTATGTGTTGTATGGACGTTGAGGGTCTTTGGAGATACAATGATGCTGAAAGAAGCTGAGTTTCTTGGGGTGTCTCGATATGAAGATACGAATAAGAGAAGAACATGGCCCGAGGGAGGAAAGGGAAGTGTTTTATTTGATACCGTGACATCCGTCGCGGCGTGAGAGCCGGGTGGAGCACCAGGAAAACATAACTCAGGGGCAGCCGGCCCTCGGTGGGCTGCCATGCTCGCCATGTCGACAGTCGAGGGACAAATCGGACCGCGCCCACACCGGCTTTCGTATCGGTGTCCACCTGAACTCCAGGGTGGACTTTTCTCCTCCTCACCCGCTCGCCTCGCCGAGTTTTGCGGCAGCGGCGCGAAATCTCCAGACTGAAAACCAGAAAATCAAATTTGCACAGAAATCAGCCGACTTGTCAGAATGAACGAACGCGTGCCCGACAGTATTTGTTAGGATGTGGAGATAATGCAACGTGGACTAGCGGGCGAGATTGCTCTCGCCTGCCCGAAATCCGAGGCCGGCCGGCCATTGGCCTCCCTCATACCAATGCCATGGATCGGCCCGCACAACTCCCCATCCAACGGGGCCCGGGGCATCTCGGATGGCCGTTGAAGTATGTGGTGAGCGAGTCGTGCGTACCCTAGAGTACTGCCCAAGACCCCACGGAAAGGTGGGCCTCAAATGTGTGAATTTGCACATCTCCGTTGCGTGTGAGCCCTTTCGCTGTGGTTTCCCTGACAATCCTAATCAATACAGCGAGTTTGACGTCCCAGACGGGCACAACCCTCGCGAGTTGCTGGCATATGAGGCAAGAAAGGCAATCACCACCAACAGGAGGCGAGCCAACCTAGAATCCTGTCGCCGATTACAGATTCTCTAACCGAGCTCGGCTGCCCAGGTGATCCACCACCCCTGCCAACCTGTCAATGGCCTCGGCGGCTTGGCATCTGGAGATGAAAACCTTCAGAGTGGTGCTCGAAGTGGAAGTCCATACGAGAAAAGACTCCTTTTCCGGGTCGGTGTTCATCTAATCATCACCGCGGCACCCATCCGGCCGCTGGCGTCAAGCACCATCTGCAGGGCTACAAGGAGTCCTCCACCTGTCAGGGGGGGCCGAACGCCTGTGCTGTGCCGTTTGACACAACCAACGGCCGTGTTCCCCAGATTATCAACCATGCGGTGATCGAAAGTCAGCCTGCTGTCGTGTTCCCTTTTGTGGAGAATTTCGTCCTTACTGGGTCAAATCATAAGACCCTGGGGCCGAGGTGGGTATAAGAGCACCCTGACCGCCCTACGGTGACTGTTTGCCGACGAGGAAAATTACCTACTGTGGCAATCGTTTCGGTTTTCGGTACCAGCTTGTGCAAAGAGCTCGTCTATGAGATAAAATAGGGACACTATCTGGGTCCGCCCTGTCCAACCCCACAAGTAAATGTAGAGCGTGTAACCGACGGCTGTCAAATGTAAACAATATCAAACTTCAAGGGGCCAGGGCCCTACCCGCCTGATCTGTGGGTCCGTGGCGCTCGATAGGGAATAGAAACCTGCCACACATCCATGATGTGGTAGATAGAGGCTAGGTCATATTCGGGCAAACCCAGAGTTCACGCGAACATCAATTTACGATGGCACATCGATGCGTGATGGCATGCCAGAACGGGACATGTCGATCATGTTCAAACCTACCACACTCGAGTAAGTTCATCGCGTTTGAGAAACACAGGTGTGACCCCTTCCCCGCGGTCACCCGGAGATGTTTCCGCCGTGGAGAGCTTTTATTATGGCCCTGTAACGGTCTGGACCTGCCACCGGAGCAGGCTCAGGCGTGCCGATCCTTTCGTATCGAACGGAACTCGTCCCCGACCCAGAACTCCCTAAACCAGATCCATTCTTGGCACATTTCAGCTCCAGGCTGCGAGCCGCTGAACATCTGTGGGTGTTGGTCCAAGGTCCACCTTGCCAGTGGGCTTTGGACCAACCGATCACTGCTCGTGCTTCTCCGAGCCTGCGACGATGGATGGCCTGTCTCCTGAGCAATCTTCAGGTTCAAACGAGAACGAGCGGTTGTGAACTGATATCATTGACTTGAAACTACCCGATCGACATTTCAAGTTTCTCGCACATATCACGTGGGGCCGACGTTGTGACCCTTCTTACATTGCCGCCCCTACTTATGCACAGGGCCATGGATCCGCGCTTTAGTCCCGGCCGCTAGGGGTCCCAAGATGGCAAATTCCGGCCAAGTCAAGCTTCTGGAAGCGCCAAGTCATGGTCAAGGCTTTGCTTCGATCTTCACCAGGTTTGTTAGCACTTGAGCTCTCAGTATGAAGCGTTGTGGTCACAACGGAATGCCCGTGGGTTTGCTCGATACTTTCAGCTGGCATGAATTCCCAAGGGTTGCTTGGCCATATATGAGAGCGTCCAATTGACTGTGATAACAACATAGCCAGCTGCCCTCATTCATGTCGAATGCCATTCTCATCTACCCGAGAAATGAAGCTGCCCTAGGGTACTAGCACGACCCCCGCCCTGACCACATAACTAACCCGTACCGGAAAGGTTTTTTTTACGATATCATGAATTAAACAACAGAGAAATACGATACCAATTCAAGCGGAAGGCGCCCATAAACCCCTTACTGAAATACATGCATTCATGGCGATGCCCAAGGCAACGGTGGCACTTCAAGTTGTTCCAAATCTCTTGGTCAAAGATCCATGGATGCCTGACCTCAGCCTCCTGGTGCTAATAAACTTCGATTGAATGGTGAATTCCCATGGTTATTGTTCCGCCTGCCACAACTGTAACCTTACACTTACTCGAGTGCTGTCACAGGTGCATCGGTATTGGATTCCATCTAACTTAAGTCTTCAAAGATTTACCATGCTACCTAGGCAACTATGAAGTGACACACAAGTTCGTATGTATACGAAGTAGGGGGGTAATTACAACCAAATAAGTACACGAACGATCTCGTGGTTCCCCAAGGGCGATGAACCACTTACCTCGTTTTGCTTCCATGCCGCATACGTCCGAGGACATACGTACACGAGATGAACCGCTTACAAAATCACCATTGGCTGTACACATAGCTCGCCGTTCTTTGTGCTGGGGACGGACCCTTGTGGAAGATCCAGGGGCTTGGTGTGGGTGTGTAGTGACCACCCTGCCACCGCCACCTCCGCCATTCCCGGGTCGGAACCGCATGCATGACGCAAGTCTAAGACATGCATGCACAAGTGGCTCCCGACGAGCCTGCAGGAGTATGTTGCATATTCCATATCAAGCGCGAAGATTTTTCAATTGTTTATATTCAATATCTTGCGGTACAAGATGACTGCAAGTCCAAGCAAACAACTCTGTCGTGATGCATGTCGAGTGCCGGGTCATAAAAATCATGGGAATCATGTCGCAAGCCGTCCGAACTCCAGTGTGTGAGTGTGTTTCCCCGTCTAAGTTGTCCATAACCTGCCTCTGCCGCCCAACCAAAAGAATGCCGCCAACCACTCCATGATCCGATGCAAAAATTCCACCATAACCTTGTCCTGCTCGAGCGCACATCCATGTGGCTGCCGCCGGTCACCAATGACCCCGGACCTGCTCGACAGGTGCGTCTCATGCACGGATGCTCTTCATGTGGGGATCGTTCCCCTCGCTTTGTAGTCGTGGAGTGTGATATCATCGATGTTGATATCCCATATCAAATCCAGGAACCCCAATATCCCGTTCTTTATATCTCACTGAAAGCCACACAGCTCCTCGGTCTGGGTTCCCCAGGAACTGGTTGTGTCGCCTGTAGTAGGTCTCACCTGGTCCTCCTGGTCTGTGACAGGCGGGTCTGGTGCGTGGGCACACGAGACACCATGGTGGTGCCCCTCCTCTTGGAAAATGCCGACTTGGCAGTCGACCTGGGCTTGATCCACCGCGTATCGCAGAAGCGTGTGCACTTGTGCCTCCTGAAAAAGGCGTGGATCCCGTTCGGCCCGAGGTCGCCCGGGCCGCAGCTATAAGACGCAGACATGATGACGGGATCGGAAAGTACGCTTTTGGCGCCAGGAGGCGAGCAGGTCAGCACCGCATCGCGCGACAGTCTTGACGTACGGAAGCCACATGGCTTGGGACGAAAAGGAGGAGAGAAGGAGAGTTTGGAGACCTACAACACATCCCCGTGCGTGCCGCCCTGCAGGTCACACAAGAGGAACTGCCCACCGGTGACGTGGTAGGAGAAGTGGCTGAGGGCCTGCATCGCGTCGCACCACGAGTCCCGCGAGCTGGGGACCCAGCCGGTGTTGCTGTTGAACTTCTGGAAGCCGAGGATGAAGGGCTCGACCAGGGCCTTGCGCCCGTTGCGGCGGTACTGCCATATCTGCGGCCTGCTCATGACGATGCGGCGGTTGACGACGCCGGCGGCGTGCCAGCTGTCGATGATGCTCTGCGCCCGCTCGATGATGTTCAGCTCCTCCTGGAAGTAGTGGTCCTCGAACACGGAGCTCGTCTTGAACTCCTTGGCGACGCAGGCCTGGCCCGTCCTGGCGCCGGCGATGTAGCGGCCCTGCCACACGTTCTTGAAGGTCCCCGTTGCGAACAGGCGGTCCCTGTTGATGTCGGCCGCCGTGGAGTTGTTGTTCCTGGAGCAAGACATGGCTGCGGTGTTTTCTCCGGTATGTCCTGGTAGAATGGTGAGATTGTCCGGGTAACAGTGGGCAAAGCAAGGCTGATGTCCTGGAGTCTTGCTCTCCTGATGAAGGCGAGTGGGTTGCAGTCCTGCTGGGCTCCCCGGGTCGCGCTTCGGATAATGCTTGGTCACCTAAAGTGTTGTCCAACAGGTGAATCCTGGGGAAAGAAGCTCATACAGCAAGCTGGAGCATGAGATAGTTAATTATCCGGTGGAAAAGGTACGGTGAAGGCAGAGTCGTCAAGGCGGCTAGACCTAATATCATGCCATGCCGGTGTTGAGTCAAGCCATCTGGGCAAGTGGTACGAGGCGGCTTATTGATGTTTGTAAGTCGGTTAATCCTCACGGACCGCGGATGCAAGGTCAGTTTTGTATCCGAGGAGAGATTCCGACTACCCGTTGCAGCCCATGAATACGTCGCCACGTGGTCGGGTGTGGATTGGTACGGGAAGGGGAAACTAAGGCCGTCTTCGCGTGTGTGGCAGTGTGTGTGTCGGTCTGCAGGGCGGTAAATGGCTGGAAGGACCCCTATGATGCGGTCTGGCACCTAGAGCAAGGATTTCGGGTGACGTCTGGATCCAGGGCGGCGGCGTATCGGAAGGGGTTTTAAGTATCCACAGAGAGCTGATACGATTGTTTCGAATACAAAAGCAACGGCCCTCTCGCCCACGCCGCCCACGTAGCAGCACAGCACCGACCATCAGGTGCTCCTTGGTGCTCCTTGGTGCCCTCGGGCTCACGTGCAGCGTCGAGTTATTCGCCGTGGACAGCCACCTGGGCCACCTGGCTGCCGCCGTGCCAGCCACCACGCACCATCGTGGGCCCCACGCGCCATACCCGCCGCCACACAGGCGGTCGTTTCGGGCTAGCTGCATCTCCCCGACGCCTTACTAACCAGGTGGTAGGCGCGGAAGCAGTCCCTGGGGCACGCAGATCCCCCAAACCAAATGCGCGCCGGGCCTCTCACAGCCTACCGAAGTGCCCAGCGCTGAACCTTACCGGCCGCTACGGTGTGGCATGATTCAGGGGTATAGACAAATCACAGGGTCCGCTGGCCCTCGGGGGTTGCAAAGTCAGCAATCTAGACCACCTGAGAAGGGCCATGCGGCTTTTTTGCCAGCGCTCGATGCGGTAATGTGGGTGTTGGGATCCCCCGGCGTGACTTACTTAACTCTGATTGCATGCACCTGGACTCGGTCACCTGCTTTCCTCAATGCCTTTTTGCCTCATGTAACACACGGCACATAATAGGGTTCACTGTGGCTGCAACGTCCTTCGGAGCACTGGCAGGTGGTGGCGGGATCTGACCGATTGCCGGGCCAAGCCGTGTGTCACCTCGCCGCCTCCGGTCCGTGGGTTTTCTTCAAGGAGAATTGATGACAAACTCGTCACCGCTTCACCCTGATCAGTCACCCCCGGTAATAACAGACACATTCGGTTCATCTGGCCATTCGTCGAGGGATAGGGCTCGCCAAGGGTAATGCAGGATTGCGTGGCAAAGGAAGCAGCGTAGAACGTGCTTGATGGGTAGCATTGGGACTCTATCAGCTGTCTGATCCGTATAGTCAGTGAAGTTGACAGGCCGTGAATAATGAGCATATTGCAGGGCGGCAGTATGCAAAACACCCACCCTAGCCTCTCGTGGCTCCTTAGCATGGCCACTTGAATGGCAAAGAACAAGAGTCTCAGCGATGTCTCGAGGCGGTTCCCCATTTTGGCGATATCGTTCTTGCGAAGAATGAAGTTCAGACATTTGACTTTGGCTGAAATCACCCCGGATGACCGGATCTTGACGTCCAGAGTATGGAGGGTCGCCCGCAGCTCCTGCAGGCACCTCTCACAATGCGATCGTGCTGTCCGGAGCGCAGCATGCGCTGCCATGGGCGACCTGTTTAACTCGTCCAGCATTTGGGCTATGACTTGAGTGTCGATGAGTCTGGCGATAATCTCAGCAGGTGCCTCTTTCACCTCGCGGTAGAGAGTATGAAGTTTGAAGCCGATTGTGGTGAACTTGAAAGCCAGCCCGGCGACCTGCAGACTACTGGCTACCGCACCCAGGATTTCAGCCATCCTTGGGGGACCGTGGTATTGTGAATATGAATGACGGTGATCGTTCTGTTTCAAATATGTTTACCATGTAGTCGCAAGCGTGGGGCTTATTATAGCGAAGCGCGTGGGCACAAGGGGCAAGCAAAGTCGAGGCCCTATGACGGCAGAGACAAGGCCGGTTTATGTACTGGAGATCTCTCTCCGTATGGCATCCCAAAAGTAGCTCAGACGGTCTGCAGAGTTCCATTCAGAATTGTACGACGATGCGCTGAATGGGCGTGGGAATGTTCCACACGCCACTTGGGCACCGAGCCGCCCAATGGCAGCACTGCTGGGGGCACCTGGGCTGTCCCGGATTCTCAAATTCGACAGGAGGCACTACAAAATGATGTTGTGCAGTGTCGAGCCACCGCACTTCTTTGGCGCGTTTGCATTATGAGGGGTTTTGCTCCTATCCACATACGTCCGAGGACATACAGTTTGCGTTATGAATGAGCAAAACTCCCATGTCATCTGCCCATTCTGCACACAGTGCCATTTTGCTCCCTTCAATACGGTGTTCACATTTATGGTATGCTATTATACTATGGCACAGGTCACCTCCAAAGACCACGGGCGGACAATTACACGCCCCCCTCACAAAGACAGAGAAGGTATTATTTCCTCGTGGAAAGGATTCCACGTTATGTCATCTATCATTGCTAGAACGTATGCGCTTCTGGCAGGGAGTGGCTACTCTCACTGTCTACACTCGATCTTGTCGCGAGTAGTATGGCTAAGCCACAACGATCAGCTTGGGACATGGCGTCATGTCTGTCCTGTAATACGAGCTGTTCCTTCCGGACGGGAGGGCAGACGATTATAGGTTGGAACCCAGTGGGACGTGTAAATGCAGTGATCCCACACTGGCACGGCACGGTCGAGGCACCCACATTGCTGAGGCTCCCCCAGTCTCCAATGCGAGGCCTTGAGGCCCGTCTAGTCTTTTACACGTTGGACCCAGTCCTTTCACGTTGTACTATGAAAAGGCAAAAGCTGCTAGTCCAACCCGAAATGCAGGTGTCCACACGCCAAGGGGACTGGCCCAAGATCCGTTGTCGTTCCGTGCTACCTGGGGAGATAGGACACAGATACACGTATACACACTAACAACACTGTTAGTTTACCGCCATGCGCGCCCCGGGGCGGGAAAAAGATACGCTGCTTCATCCGATCTTTGTCTGGTCTGGTGCCTGTGATGCCATGCTAAAGGGCTGTACGCAAGGCCTTGTCCATCCCGGAACAGCCATCATTGTCCGGGAGCAAACAAACATGAGGACACGCAGGGAGCAGTGGTGCGTTGCTGCGGCCATGCACGCCACGATCTCGTCCGACGGCAACGCACTGTTGCACAGAGAACGTAATGAATGGACAGCCAGCCTTGCAACGCTTCAAGTGGAGAAGATGCGCATATGATTGGGCCGCTGAGCTTATAATCCACCATGACCCACGGATGAGAAACCATAGGAATAAGGCGGATTTGTGGCTGAGACATACAAAGAGGTGAAATATGCCGTTGTGTATGGCACCACTACAGCCTCGAAGCAACCAAGACTCTCTGGAGCTTTCCAAGTTTGCATCATGTAGGGTGCCTGGCAGTGTCTGTCCCCCCTCCCCCCTCCTCCCCTCACTGCAGTCGTGATACCAGCCTGGAACCGCCCGACCCGTAACTCCACCGCTGACGCCAAGAAAAGACAGAAGGTAAGGTATTTACAGCTTTGAAAACACGGTAGGCACGGTGCCGCTCATCTCGATCAGGGTGCTCTTGTTCCTGGTCCAGTTCTCGAGGCCCTTGCGCCCATTCTCTACGCCGAGGCCGCTCAGCTTCCACCCGCCGACGGCCATCTCGGCGGGCGACTCGCCCCAGGTGTTGACCCAGGTGATGCCGGCGTCGAGCTGGGCGATGACGCGGTGGCACTGGTCGATGTCCCGGCCAAAGACGCCGGCGGCGAGGCCCATCTCGGTGTCGTTGGCCCTGCGCACGGCCTCGTCGAGGGTGTCGTAGGGCAGGATGCACATGACGGGGCCGAAGATCTCGTCGCGCACGATCTTCATGTCGTCGGTGCAGTCGGTGAAGACGGTGGGCTGGACCCAGTAGCCGCCCTTCAGCGCGGCGGGGACGTCGACCGCGCCGGGCGAGGTGTCGCCGCCGTAGAGGAGCCGCGCCCTGTCGGCCTCGATGCCGTGGCGGATGTAGCCGACGACCTTGTCGCGGTGGAGGGCGCTGCTGAGGGGCCCGAAGTTGGTGGCCGGGTCGAAGAGGTCGCCGGCGCGGACGTGCTGCATCCTGTCTACGAGCACGCGCTCGAACTCGGGCAGCATGGCGCGCGGGACGAGCACCCTCGTGCCGTTGGTGCAGACCTGGCCCGAGCTGAAGAAGTTGGCCATCATGGCGCCGTCGACGGCGCTGCCGACGTCGCAGCCCGGCAGCACGACGACGGGGCTCTTGCCGCCCAGCTCCATGGTCACGTACTTCATGGCCCCCGCCGCGGCGCCGGCGACCTTCTTGCCCGTGGACACCTGGCCCGTGAAGCTGACCTTTGCGACGCGCGGGTGGCCCGACAGCTGGGCGCCGACGTCGCCCGCGCCGTAGACGACGTTGAAGACGCCGTCGGGCAGGCCGGCGTCGCGGTAGACCTCGGCGAGCCGCTGGGCGTGCAGGGGCGTGAACTCGCTGGGCTTGTAGACGAGCGTGTTGCCCGCGGCCAGGCAGGGCGCCGACTTCCACAGGGCGATCTGGACGGGGTAGTTCCACGCGCCGATGGCGGCGCACACGCCCAGGGGCTCCTTGGTCGTGGTGACGGAGGCGTCGGGCCGCAGGCGGAAGCTCTCGCCGTTGAGCCCGCCCGAGGCCACGAGCGAGGCGTAGAACTCGAGCACGTCGGCGCCCGTGACCACGTCGACGGCCGACGTCTCCGAGTAGGGCTTGCCCGTGTCCAGCGTCTCGACGCGGGCCAGCTCGTCGTTGCGCTCACGCAGCAGGGCCACGGCCCGGTGCAGGATGCGGCTGCGCTCGATGGGCGGCGTGGCGGACCATGAGGGGAAGGCGGCGGCCGCGCTGGCGATGGCCGCGTCGACGGACTGGCGTGATGATGTGTGGATGGTGGCTACTGGCTGGGCCGTGGACGGGTCGATGGTCTGGAACGTGCCCGGGCTGTCGGCCGACTGCTGTGCCTTGCCGCCGTAGAAGGTGTGGCGGTCTTCCTCCTTGGGATATGAGACGGAACCCATGGTGGGTATGCTGGTTATGATAGAACGTAGGCAGTCACAATAACCAACGTGAGATGGGTTGAGTGAGAGTGAGTGAGTGTGGGTGAGTGAGTGAGTGACCGTATACGGATGCAGTAACTAAGTGAGGCTCTGTCCGGAGGACGGCGCAACGTGCAGTTGGTTCCCTTGACGTAGTGTACGGTGCGGTACGGGTGCGGAACTGTACGGAGTATGGCAAGGCCTACGGTGTGTCGCTCGGCTCCTGTTGCCAAAAAGAACCTGGTCAGGCACTGCCAGCGGCGGCCGGATCTCGGGGGGTCGGCAGATAGCGACAGCACAGTAGTGCGAGAAGCAGCGTTTGCTCTGCCTTATTAGCGGCGATGGATCTGTTACACAGCGTGGCTGCTACAAGGGTCTCGTGATCGTCAAGAGTCGTAAGCCAGGAAGCCGGGAGGCCAGCAAGCCAGGAATGCGGCGTTAAATCGCATTAGGGGCTGTACTCCGTGCGTCCTGGCGTGCCGGGAACTACCACTCGCTCTCACCGACCAAGATGGACTACCAAGGCCTGATAGAAGATAGCCTACGGAGTGGTCTAGATAGAAGTTGCTTGGCTGGCTGGCTGGATATACGCTACAGATACAATGCCCACTGTCTGTGCCCCTCTCCTCGGCCACTGACGCGATGCTGCACTCGACTCTCCGATCTCTAGGCCAGGCCCCAGGGCTCCATCCCCCGGGCCCGTGGGCCCTGGATGTGCCTCTCCCACAAGGGTGCCTGGGCTGCCCATGGGCTTGTCCAGGGTATTCTCCAAGTTGTCGAGGACTTCGCGAGTCAGACTTTGTCGTGAAAACCCCATCGACCACGCCATTCGCATGCTTCCGGGACGGAAAACTCGTGCCAGCGGTGACGTCAAGCTCCTTGGGCCGAGTCCGTCGGGTGGATTTCTCTGATGTGGATCCCGGGGGAGGAGGAGATGAGACTACGTGCTCGTTTGGTGGTGGTCAAGTGTGCTGGGTACGATCCCGAAGAGGTTGACCACATAGACTGCACCACCGACTGTTCCTGTTCCTGTTCCTTGTCTTCCTGGGCTGCCGGGGTGGAGCACACCATGGACTGAGCCCGAGGCCGAACTGTTTGAACTTGAAGATTTTTCTGGCCCTTGTCTCCTTGCTCTCCTGGAGCGTGCAGGAACGGGCCCCAGGGGCAGTCATTGGGCAATGGCACGAGTGCCTAGCAGTAGTGGCCGAGAAAACAGCCTTGTTGCCTTGGAAGGCTGATGGAAAATCTGTCACTGTGCAGTCCTTCTTCTCGCCGTCTTCCGCCGGGTCTGACAAGTGCAGAAACGGTCGTGCAGCTCCCGGCTCCTGGGAGAGTCCCTGTAGCCATCGGCATGACGCAGGATAGACTGATAAGCCCAGCCGGGCTACTGCGACGGAATATGTTCAGTCCAGACCACTGGCGTCTAAGTCGTCATGGATAGGGCCGAATCACTGAGTAATAAGCCTCCCAACTCCTCACAGCCGCCCCCCGTGACAGCAATTATTAATGCCGTGCGACCAGGCGACGCCGGCCTGAGCCAAGTCAAGCGCCAGTGCATTAGTCGACGAGCTGTTAGAGAACTCCCCCTCCCCTACTCCCCTCAACACCCTCTCCACAATCCCGACCAGATGGACCCTTTGCATGGAGGGGCACTGCAGTAAGATCTGACACTCGTCCAATCGCCCGCCGCCAATTCTTTCAAAAGGCGAGCCGGATCCCACCAGATGCCCGGGTCAAGACCCCTCTGTCTCCACGCGCAACAAATCCAACGGCTCTCTCCCCTGCGCAGCTCAGGCCATCAACGCAAATAGCATTTTTTTTGTGACAGCTCGATCCTGATTATCTAAACGGCTCCCTGTCTGCACCGTCTCATCCTGGTGTGGTCCACAGTGCACACGACACCCCAGACAACGCATCATATCCCAGATAAGCACGGGGATCGGATTGTTCGCTCGGCCAGCCTGCTTCCATCTTTGGCAAGTATAAGACAAACGAAAGCCCTCCTGTGTCCCTGACGACGCCGGCTCCTCCTCAGATCGACATCGACATCCCAAAGCCCTCGGCCTTCCTCACCATCACCGTCACCGCCAACCACCATCTCCACATCTACTTGTCAGCTCTTGACTGAGTCCGACAAGCCTGTAACACACCGTATCTGACAAGATGACGACCACATACCTCGCTCCCCACGAGTCCGACCGCTTCGACTATGTCGTCGTCGGTGGAGGCACGGCCGGATGTGTGATTGCCTCCCGTCTGGCCGAGTACCTGCCTCACAAGAGGATCCTCCTGGTCGAGGCTGGCCCCAGTGACTTTATGGACGACCGGGTCCTCGACCTGCGTCAGTGGCTGGCCCTCCTCGGCGGCGAGTTCGACTATGACTACCCTACCACCGAGCAGCCCGAGGGTAAGTGATGGATGTGATGATGCGTGCGCGTGTGTGCCGTAGATGATGATCCCTCCCAACGTGAAGAAGCGTGATGCTTACCAAAGCCCCCCTACGGAACAGGCAACTCTCACATCCGCCACTCGCGGGCCAAGGTCCTGGGCGGCTGCTCGTCCCACAACACGCTCATCTCGTTCCGGCCGTTCGAGTATGACCTGAAGATCTGGGAGTCGCTGGGGGCCAAGGGCTGGGAGTTCAAGGACTTCATGCGCATCATGGACAAGCTGCGCAACTCGGTCCAGCCCGTCCACGCCCGCCACCGCAACCAGCTGTGCAAGGACTGGGTGCTGGCCTGCAGCGACGCCATGAACATCCCCGTCATCCCCAACTACAACGAGGAGATCACCAAGACCGGCTCGCTGAAGCAGGGCGTCGGCTTCTTCAACATCTCCTACAACCCCGACGACCACCGCCGCTCCAGCGCCTCGGTCGCCTACATCCACCCCATCCTGCGCGGCGAGGAGCAGCGCCCCAACCTGACCATCCTCACCAACGCCTGGGTCGACCGCATCAACGTGCACAACGACACCGTCAAGGGCATCAACCTCGTCCTGCGCGACGGCTCCCGCCGCACCGTCAGCGCCCGCACGGAGACCATCCTGTCCGCCGGCGCCGTCGACACCCCCCGCCTCATGCTGCTCTCCGGCCTGGGCCCCAAGGACCAGCTGCAGGCCCTCGGCATCCCCGTCTTCAAGGACATCCCCGGCGTCGGCGAGAACCTGCAGGATCACCCCGAGTCCATCATCATGTGGGAGCTCAACAAGCCCGTGCCCCAGGGCCAGACCACCATGGACTCGGACGCCGGCATCTTCCTCCGCCGCGAGAAGCCCGACGCCGCCGCCTACAAGACGCCGGCCAACCCCAAGGCGCTGCCCGACGGCGACATCGCAGATGTCATGATGCGTGAGTACATATATATATATATATTTTGTGAAGTTGTAAAGGACCCCGTGCCGAGAACCAACAGCTAACCAGACCTGCCCCGCCCCAGACTGCTACCAGATCCCCTTCACCTTCAACACCGAGCGCCTGGGCTACGAGAAGGTCGCCGACGGCTACGCCTTCTGCATGACCCCCAACATCCCGCGGCCCCGGTCCCGCGGCCGGCTGTACCTGACCTCGGCCGACCCCTCGGTCAAGCCGGCCCTCGACTTCCGCTACTTCACCGACCCGGAGGGCTACGACGCCGCCACGCTGGTCTACGGCATCAAGGCGGCGCGCAGGATCGCCGAGACGGAGCCCTTCAAGGGCTGGATCAAGCGCGAGGTCGCCCCCGGCCCCAAGGTCCAGTCCGACGAGGACATCAGCTACTACGCCCGCAAGGTCGCCCACACCGTCTACCACCCGGCGGGCACCACGCGCATGGGCGACGTCGAGGCCGACGACCTCGCCGTCGTCGACGCCAAGCTGCGCGTCCGCGGCCTCAGGAAGCTCCGGATCGCCGACGCCGGCGTCTTCCCTACCATCCCTACCATCAACCCCATGCTTACGGTCCTGGGTGTTGCTGAGCGGGCGGCCGAGATGATTGCTGAGGAGGCGGGATGGAAGCACAGCGCCCGTCTGTGAGGGGGTTGTGTGTGACGGTGCTGTGCTGGGTGTGCTAGGAAGGGAAAAGGAGTGATGGCGAGATCCAGGGATGGTGGTTGGGTTGGTGAGATGATGAAAATACCCCCTGCATTGGCTGCGGGCAACCATAGAGTTGAACAAGCGGTTTGTATAGATGCGCAACTTGTGTTGTACGCATGAAATCAGATAAAATGAGCAAAGTTTTACGACCTTGACTTCTGCTACCATCCAAACATGACATTTGATGTGTGACTGGACGAACGCTTAGGGGTGTAAGTGCCTGGGGGTGATTCTGCCATTCTGCATCAAAGTAACTTGATCCTGCGATGCTCAATCCCTTCAAAAATAGCAGACCCGCCATGCTGTGCCCTGGAAATAAATGTCCCAACGCGGTAGAACTCGTTTGGGCCACTTGCCGGGTAGAGTAGAAGGCCCCAGATATCCCGTCTCAAGCTGTCGTCGGAGCACAAGGCACAGTCAACCTTGGCATCAAAGCCAGGGTGGCTGTCTTGATAGAACGATATCCTATAATCCGGTTTCATTGTTTCCTTATACATCTCCTCTGCTTGCTCTGGTGTTAGGCCTATCATGGTCGATTGGCTTGCGTGGGGCGGGTGTGCCGGACGCTGTTCATCGGGATCCGACTCTGCAAGATTCTCGAGTGCTACATGGCGGGAGGTTGCCGCATCGTTACTAGTTTGTGTGCTCCATTCAGAGCAGCAACTAGCTATCAGAAGCAAATGCAGGTGCGCTCGCATATTCTTCTTGATACCTGTATGCCTGCGAGGGATGTATTGGATTGGATCCCAGTCCCGGTGAAAGAAGGCGAAAAGCCCACGGAAGAGCTCGCACGGCTTTTTGGAACTGGTCAGGTCTCCCATGGCAGCCAGCGAGTTTGCACTAATTCTTAGCATCGGCCCACAGAGAGAGAGAGATGCACCGGCGATGCGACCGTACGGATTTATACCATCGACGACGACGTGAGACCCCAGGCTTTTGTACTCCGCTCTCAGATGGAGTCGAACCCTGCAGGTCGTGTTGGTCCTGTTTGTGATCAGAAAAGCGACCCTGGATCGCCTGGCCGCCCAACTCCACGATGGACCAAGCGACCTCGCGGAATTCTTTGCCATTTGTAGGACTTGTCGTAGGCTAGCCGGCTGCCGCCGCGATGGTGGTCTGAACACAATGATTTTATCGGATTTCCATAGCAATCCACAGCAGAGATCCTCTTCCCAGAGGCCCGCCAGGTACTTGTGGCCCGAAACCTCATGTACCCGCCGAGCCAAACCCGCTATAGCGGGAAGGATGTCTCTCTGATCTGTGAAATCACATGCACTGATAGCGGGTACCAGACTGTACCAGAAGTCTGTCGTGAATGGACCCTGATTTCGGATTGCTTCGAGCTGGCGTAGAATGTTTGTGGAGTGGTGGGGCGTCCCAAGAAAGGTAGGGTTATAGTCGAAAAAGTCCCCATCAGCACAAGAGCCGTCTTCACTGGCCACATGTTGTCCGTGCTGGAAGTGTATCATCCTGGCTCCAAAATACAGTAGCCTTGGCGAAAGAGCTTTTTCCTGAAAGACCCATCCACGCTTGTTCCATTTTGAACACTCAAGATCTCGTGGCAGAGGGGCATTGCTTGCAACCAAATCACCATTTGAGAATACAGGCTCGCCATCGACAGTAAGAAGACGCAGGAATACTGGGCTCTGGTCATTGGGTTCGATGATGCCGATACATGGAGAGTGGCGATCAGGGTGGTCAAGGAAGCCCTCGAGACAAGACTTGGATGCCGGAGCACATATAGTTAGCCATGAACTTCCAAAGATATGGCTCATTTCTTGACTTTGTTCTTCCCAGTCACTCCTGTCTCCATCTTGTCGGATGCAAATGCAGTCGATCCAAGGTACCGCAGTCCCAGCACCTGGCACACTGTGATCGCATCGCGCATCACAGGAGTCATCATTCGTCGTGGTATTGATTCATACAGGATGCTTTGCGTTTTCATAGTGAGTTTCAGCTGCTTTCTAGACTCTTCTGGCGAGCCCCAGCAATAACTCAGAGTCGCATATCTCAGCCCGCCGGGGTCGGCGGCAGCTTTCCGGCCATCGATTAGCCTGGGGCCAGATAGGGTGCCTGAGCCAAGATCCAGAAGTCTTTTGGGTCGGTAATCGTTGCAGGATATACTTTCCTCTGTCGAGGCTAGTTGACGCTCTATAAACTTCAGATTTGCCTGACTTAGAGATGTTGCAGTTGGCGTGTGAGAAACACCGAGCTGATTGGTGACTCTGTCTGCAGAGGGTCAACTTCAATCCGAAATCTTACATTGTGGCAACCGATCTCACCGTGAGCCAGGTAGTAGAAACCGAATTGCCCACCTTGGCCTGGACGGGCGCGTAGGATCACCGTGACAAAGTTGAGAGCGCGTTGACAAGGTTGTTGGCCTTCATGCCAGTGGAACCCGATCCACACAGAACACTCATGAGGTTCCCTCTGCCTTTGGCATGCCAGCATAAGCAGTTGCTTGCGCAGGAAATGGCAGAATCCACATCCACCCAGCGAACAATGTTCAAGGACAGCAAAGTTCGGCCAAGAATCAATTGCCAGTAGACAGTGCTGTGGGTGATGGAGGTACCAAGGCACCTTGTGTATATACTGGGAATTGACATTGTTCGGCTCGGTCGAAAGCCGCTGGAAAGCAGAAACACAACATGAACAAAGTCTTGCAATATCACGCCTCGGATATGGCGCCACTGGGTCTCGGTTCGGAGGATTCTGTAACCATTTTATGAGTTTTAGAGATGTTCCTGAAATTGACTCAATGATCTTCGCGCCGTTTGATGAGGGGCCTTGGACTACTACGATGGCATGTTTCTCAATGTCGACCTCGCCCTGCCGCTGGAAAAATTGTGGAAAGACATGATGAGCATGGAATTCTGCAAGCCATGCTAAAGTTTCCATAGATCGCGCAATGTGAACCGCTGTCTTCCGAGAGTAGTTTGATGTCGCCGGTGGTTGGGAAATAATGGAGGAGGCTTTGTCTATAAGGGGGAGAATTTGATCCAGACGATATGGGGGCGGTCCTAGTTCGTGCAACAACGAGTCCATGTTGAGTTTACTCTCTTGGATTAATTATCATCACAAGAGGAGGACCGAAAATGCCCCGCAGCATCGACTGATATGAGAAAATTCTCTCGGTAATACAAGGCTGTCACACCCCGGATGAACACGTCGCCCTGGCCGAAATTTTATCTTGAGCGTCCACAATGTTACTCATGTGAGATTTGTGACGTAATTATGTTTGTTTGTGTATCCTCGCTTGGAATTTTCGATGATAATTTGGATCTAGGCACGTAGGCTCAGCCTCGTGGCGCGATGACAACCCTGTGAGACGGCTAGGGGGCGTCGCTCTACGTGAAGTAATTGGGGAAATCGCACGGTGCCGCACTGATGGCCTTTCTCACATGCTCTGATCTTTCTTGTCTTTTTTCGTGGGTATCCTGGGCTGAGAGACACGGCGTAGGAAACTAGCCACACGTGAACACTCAGGCCTGGATGTTTGATTTCGTCAAGAAGCTGTCAGCAATGTGTGATGTAATCTTCAGAACATTATACAAGTCTTCAAAGAGTATGGGGCACACGGATTTGTACGGCACCAGGCCGAGTCTTGATTTATTGGAGGTGAGATAGCCCGCTATTGAACAGGATCTAGTTGGTCCTAATGTATGAGAAGTCCCAATCATCGAGGGTGGTCGACGGCGAGGCTCGCGTCCAGGCCATCAACGATTGCTTGCTTCCTCTGGGAGACCAGAAGTCGATCATTTCCAGGTTGAGTGGCAAAATAGAGGAAATTGCGCATCGTCTCGCCTGAGAGTAGCGTCTGAGGATGGGGGACAAGGATGCAGCGTTCCCCAAACCAATGTGTGAGCGGTTGGTAGTGCTCCACCATGTTTCCTTGTGCGTCCTGCGCAAGTACGCGCTTCACGATTCGAAGTTCCCATTCCACATTTAGTTTCGGACCCCCACCGGTGGCGGAAGTGACCATGCCAGGCATATCGAACATGCCAGGGACTCTGAGGGCGTCCCAATCCTCCACCCATACAGCCTGTACGTTGGAACCAGTATCATTGAGAACTTGTCTTCTCTTGATCAGGGCCGGGTTACCCCCCTCATCGGGAGGTGCCCTGATCTCGACTGTGAGCTTCAATGTTCTATGTCAGCCCGGCTTCTTATGGGTCCCTGAAATTCGCATAAAGTCTTCACTCTCGGATTTGGTTATCTTACATTGTGCCCATACATCGCCATCGGGGCCCTGTCGCACCACGCGTACTGGGCCAGCTGTTGATTGGGCGTATTATGTGGCGGAGTTGGCTTCGCACCTGCCATCCCATGGGATCATCTGAGCGTTATAGAACTGAATGCAACGAATGGTAAAGTCAGCTTCCGCAGCATTCCAGTAGTAGTTGGAAAGCACACATCCACATACATATCTAAAAAACATAACTTTCGGATTCTTCTTCCGACTCTTAGCAAGTTCTTCAACATACTCGCTGTACTTGGTAAGGCCAAATTTGCCATCGATGGCCCAAAAGACAGGCTTGCCCCCATTGGGCATGCGGCCCTCTTGGAAGGCTTTTAGCAAACATGCCGCATTTTTCTCCTGTCCAGGTTCCTGCTGCAGGGCATCGAGCCTGGATTTCAAATGCTCCCTTACTAGTCTGGCTTGCTCCTCCAGAGGATCGAGAGCTGGCTCCTGCGATGACATGACTGAGACGTATGATAAGATTGATCCCGGGGATAGTTTGACGATTGCTATTGTACAACGAGAAATGTGAAAGAAGGAGATGATTGCGGCCGAAAGTGCAACTTAAATAGCAGTTGGCGGACAGTTGTCTAGGCAGCACTGCTGTCAGAGATGGACCCGCCTGTGCCACCTGTTGGGCCGCACAAGTACTGCGGTCTTGCAAGGCACAGCCCCAACAGCTGATTTAATCAACCGACCCCGCCATTGTCTCGACTTTAAATAATGGCAGCCTCAACTCTCTATCCTTTGAGCACATCCCCAATTCTAACACTCAACACACTCTTTTTTCTTCATACCTTCCTATGCAATCCATACCAGTCACCAATTTCATCCGAAAATGACTCATCAAGAGAGCAACATATCCCAGGGCGGTGAGGGCCATGGCCTTGTCGACGGAGTCGCAGCTCTATCTGTCACTTCGCCCAACGCAGCGTTCGGAAATGGTAGCAAAGAACCTGCGGACTCAGCCTCGCAATTATCCCAAGAGACAGGAAACCCAGCTTCAGTACAATCACGCACTCCCCGGCCGCTATGGAATACCCCAGAAGGCAGGATCGCAGGGTATCGACGCATGATCGAGAAGAATCGTGCTCCAGACCAGCGTGCTAATGTTGAGGCACTGATCCGCTATTATGAAGAGGGAGGCAAAGTTCCTGAAGGGCAGGAAGAGGTGTGGGCAATTGACGGGGAGGCCTCCTTTGGTATCAGAGACTACAGGACAAATCCTGACCAGAGACCCGAGGGATGGGAGTCTAAGCTTAGGTTTTGTGATGTAAGCCAAATTTGCCTTTGATTGGGTCTGGGCTTCTCTGAATCCCCCTTGCCTCGTCTACCTGCTAATTCCTAGATTTTATCTCTTTCTCTTAGTCCTCAAAGTACTATCAAATTAACCGAGTTAGTGAGCCCGATTCCAGGCTTGCTGATGCGGAAGGGAGGGTTATTTTGTAACAAGATTGGTCTTATAATCGGCGAGAAAGTAGAAATTGAGGTGGATTGACAATCTATCTGGATTCGTTCTCATTTTGTATACCCTAGGGTATGTACAAAGAGATACATTGACAACCTATCACTGACACATATGGCGATTACGGAGATGAAGGACCTGTCCTCAACGAAACATGAGCTGGACTGCTGAGAGAGAAATCTGAAGCGAGTGTGTCCAGCGACAGCGAAGGTGACGAATATCATGTGTGAGGAACCTGAATCAATATCGTGTGTGCATTGGGTCCTCCATACCCAAAACTGTTTGCGCTGGCTCTCCCCCCCGTCTTGACGTTTGGCCAAGGCTCCCTGTCGGAGTCTCGATGTATGAGGCACATTGTCGCTGAGACGGTTGAACAGCGTGTTCGGAGGAACGCATGTGATCTGTCACGCCAGGGATGCCTTTAGAATGGCGGGTATCCCACCAGTTCCTCTGTGTGATCGAGGACCATCTTGATAGATCTAACAGAAAGTTTCTCGGCAGCTGGCACTCAAGTGGCAGAGAAGGCACGGTGGACCGACTCAACTGGAACGGCATCCCCAGGTGATGGTCCCGTGCCGCGCACCTGAAAGGACTGCAGGTGGCTAGCCAGCATGGCCAGATCCGGGCCAGCACGAGCATCGGTCGACCGGACCAATGCTTCCTGCGCGACTGCGCTTCCCATTCCAGGGTTTTCAAATCACCAGGTGTAGCACCATTAGTGTTTAGGTCTGTTATTCTCATGACAGATTCAATGCGGTCTCCATCTTCAAAGTCGGCGCTCAGTGTATCCAGGACGAGCGCCGCCACCCCCTCACCGCGAGCGTAGTCCTTGGCGTCCTGGTCTCACATACTTCCCAGGCCAGATGATGAGCGCTTTCCAAATCTGGTCTGGGATGGGAAACTACCAGCTTAGCAGACAACTTCCAGCGTCAGGCGATGCTGTGAAGCCAGGGCCTCTGCTTCCGCTGGCCTAATGCCCAAGAAGCCAGCATCGAAGGCAGTCGGTCTTCGAATTTAATATTTAATCATGATGAGCTGTAGACACAGCACAAAGAAGCGATAGGCTTCAAATGAGAGGAAAAAAGGCAGGACTATCATATATTGAGCATAGCTAGGTACCTCCTTAGGCACAGGTACTGCTTGGTTTCACTACCTACCTAGGTACTTGAGGGATCAGTCAAATGGTCCTAACATCTATAAACACAATGCATCTACTAGTAGCCGTCTGAAAGAACACAGTCCCGCCAGCATTGGCCCAATTCGACTGACTTCTCATTGATGCAGTCCCAATTCACGAATGAAGATATCCGCCGCCTTCTCACCAATAGAGAGCGCCGCATGGTTAGTGTTCGCAGCGAAGTTCTTGGGAGCGACACTCAAATCAGCAATCTTCAATCCGCGCACACCATAGACGCCGAGGCGGGCGTCGACGACGCCTTGCTGCTCGCGCGGCAGCATCTTGCACGTCCCGAGTGAGTGCCACGTGGTGCTGACGTTCTCACGTATGAACCGCTCCAGGACCTTGTCGTCCTCGGCCGTGTACTTGATCGGCGGCGCGTTGGCGGGGAGTGGGCCGTCGAGGGTCACGCAGGCTGCGTCCGACTTGCTGTCGAATGGGGGGTGGGAATGCGCCATCTCGCCCCTGTACATCGGCATCCTCCTGATGACCTCGCGCTGCTTCTTGTACCTGGAAAGGGACTTGTAAATATTGTGTCTTGTGTTTTTCGGAGGCAAAAAAAAAAAGGGGGTGAGGCTGTCGGTGGGCCTTGCAAACTCACATCCAAATATGCTTTTTCACATCGAGCTGGTGCTCATCAGTGAAGAAACCAGTCACGAAGTCCACAGGGTCGTCGACCTTCGGGCCCGTGATGTGAATATCTCCGCGTGAGAAGGGGTAAACAGTAAAAGCCGTAATTGAAAGACACGGGTCGCCCGTGGTAAGAGCTGGGTTTCCAGGGAACCTGCAAGATGTTAGAAATGCCGGCGACTTGATAGTTCAAGTGGTTTGTGCTCTGCTTACCCGCCGACCACGCTAAACACGGCCAGCGGCTTGTCAGGATTGTTTTTAAACTCCTTGTCCCAGGCCTTCTGAAACTCAGGTCCAAGCTCTGCGACCTCCTCGTCAGTCGGCCGAACCTTGCCTTGGATCTGCTGAGCGTTCCAGCCGAGGATCTTAGGGCTGGCTTTCATCAAATCCTCAGGGCTACCCATGCGCCCGAAGACGACCCCGTCTAGCGTATCCGCCGCCTCCATATTGTTGAGGTAGGGGTATCCGAGCTGGGACATTATTTTGTCAGCATATGGTTGATAGGGTGAACAGCAGATTATCAAGTAAGACATCACAGACCAGGTGGTGGTCTTCGTAGCCATTGCCAACTCCTGGGAGGTTCACAACCACCGGAATTCCGGCCCGCTCTAGAACAGTGGAATCACCCAGGCCAGACCGTTCCAATAACGCGGGTGTTCCACACGCTCCACTTGATACGACGACGAGCTTGCTTGCTTTCACGACAAGAGGATTCTCCCCAGTGGCTTCGGCGTTGTGTCTTGGATTAGTTCTGAGCTCGACGCCGACAGCCGTCTTCGTCTCCTCATCTATCAGGACTCGCAATACCTGGGACTCGACAAGCACGTGGAGATTGGGATACTTGTCGCTGTTCAAACGGGTGCGCAGGTAGCAAGTCGCCACGTCCTGGCGCTTGCCCTCGGTCGAGATATAGCGCCTGCTTTTGCCGACAGAGTTGATAGATTCGAGGTCTTGTATGTCAGGGACCTCAGGCCAACCAGCCTTCTCGGCCGCTGCTAGGAACTCTGTGTCGATTCTCTCGGAGCCATAAGTACCAAAAGACACATTGATGGGGCCGTCGTGGCCATGAATATCCTTGGGGTCCTCCCCATGGAAGGTCTCGAGCTTTTAGATGGAGTCAATATCAGCTTCTGACCTATTGTTATAATCACAGCTTCCTTGCCCAGGCGGGTGTGATTATGGCAATCAGGCCCTGCTCGCCAACCTACCTTCTTGAAAAATGGCATCATCTCGTCAGTTGACCACCCCGGCATTCCCCAAGAGTCCCAGTCACACCGTTGGCCCCGGCTGTATGCCATCATGTTCACAGATGATCCTCCGCCAAGGACGCTACCAGAGGGCATGACAAGAGGTCTATCGGCCACTTCCGGGGTTGGATTTGTCGCGTAAAAGGTGGTCGTGGTGCTGTCTGGCATGAGATGTGTCAAAAACATTGCCGGGCAGCTGATTGTCGGCATATCATTGTCCTGCCCCGCCTCGATTATGAGGATTGACAGGTTGGGATCAGCATCCGCGAGCCTGGCAGCGACAACACAGCCAGACGTGCCGCCTTCAGATCAGATAATTGTCAGTGATCATGGGTATGTAAATCTTGAAAAGGGAGTACCTACCGCCAGCGATGATGACATCTACATCCTTGAGGTCCTCTGGGAGCTTCTTATAGAGACCCATTTTCCCGAGAAAATACCAACAAAGAGCCAAAGGGCGAAGTAAGGACGGTGGATTAGGACCGGTGCTGAAGTCCAAGTAACGTAGGAGTCAGAGACACGTGGTGAGGGCTAGTAAGGAGAGGAAAGTGCAAGATGAACGAGGAATCTGGTTGTGTTATGAGCAGCGCAGTAAATATAGGCTGCCCTTCGGTGCCCACTGACAGTTGACTAGTAAGTAGTAATTGACGGATGTGCTTCGAATCTCCAACGACTAATTACAACCCTCACCGTAGGAATGGGCTGAGGATTGTGTTGCTCGCATCGATGGAGTCCGAAAGGACATTCTAGTTATTCTATAAGCCAACAGGCTCCACCCCGCTTCGTGGACTGGAAATTGAACTCGGCACGGAAACTGTCGAAAGGAGAACCAACAGACGCGCTAGATGGGCATCACCTAGGTAGCTCTGACGCCAAGTGCTGATGGTGAAATGGGGCCTGACGAGTTGGTTCCAAGCTTGTAAGACAGAGGTACAGTGTGGCAGTACCTAGATGGGCATGGCCGCAGCAGGGATAATTGTAGGACAATTTACCCGTTGGCCAACCTCCCTGCTTACACCCGTGCAATGAGCCGGAGCTCGTTGTCTTATCGTATTGTAGGGGCAACTGTGAGTAATCTTCCCTAAGGATCCAACTGCCAAGTCTTCCAAGGTTCGCAGCGCCACCTCTGGGCATGGTTCAGTGAAATTACCAACAAACAGTTTACTGGGCTGGGCAACTGTGTCAGGTAAAAGATCGACTTGTGTGCTTCTGAGTCGTTAAGACTTGGAAGCTGATGAGACAGGCATGACACTCGCCTCGACTTCTTCGAGATCTTGTGCACAAGGGTAGAAACGGATTCGCGTTGGAGGAATTTCCTCAAAACCACCTGGACATTCGAAAGCCATCGCGCTGTTCTCCAGTCTCAGACGGCTCTGATAGCTGTGATTTCTCGATTTCTTAAATCGGGTTGTCTAGATCCGTGAAGCAGGACACGCGGCGAGAGAGAAGATGAAGCAATTTGAAGGTGACTGCGAGGCACCCCAGGGCATCTTCAGTAGGAGTGGCCATAGAAGAGCCAAGTTTGCTCTGTGAAGGACCAGTCTGGGGTGAACGCCGCAGGATCTTCTCTTCTCCCGGGAAGCCAAAATTGGGTTTCACGTAGTCCAAAGTCAACGGTAGGCGATATGCTGCTTGTGCTATCTGAATTGGCAAAATCGAGGCCGCAACCGTCGAAGCTACCCTACTAGTTGGGTACAGGAGCCCAAGTGTTGCTCGTGGGCCAGATCGTTAAAAATGCTGGTCGGCTCTTGAATTAGCAGGCCCCAAATCATTTCCAACCACTGGGGCGTGCCCAGGTGGTCAGAATCGTCTGAGCTCTCTGTCTTGTGGCAAAGCTCCAAAGCTCCCCCTGCCCCGCCACTTCACTTGGACGACGAGCTTGCCCACCCCAGAACTTCAAGTTGGCTCAAAACAAACAAACGGTTTGTTTTGAGTGCTGTTTGGCGCAATGACTCACGAATTCAGCCACACCTTACCAACGATGAGGCTCCAGGTAGCGTTACTTGGCTATCTTCTCACCGATTGACACTTTACTCACAAAAGTTTCTTGCTCAGGGAGACGACGAGAACCCTCGCGGGGGTGGCCAGGAATGCCCTCCCACCACCACACAGCCCTCAGTAAGCTCTTCGAATCAACTCCTCTGACTTGGCCATTGTCTCACAATTCTTTCTTCTCAGAACAACTCCTCCTGTTCATGTGGATGTGGCAACAACAGTCCTTCCAACAGTCACCCGCAACAGGTCAGTCCTCCCAGCAGCAGAGCCCTTCCACAGACTGACAGTTGAGTACCCATACGGTCGCGCAGATTCACGCAACCCCTCCTCAGCCTGGTCATGGAAACAACAGCTCTCCCCCCCAGGGAGACGAACTTCCTGGCCACAGTCTGCAGGTAAAGGCCTCCGAGCAGTGTTTGGCCCGAGCACGTTTCTGATTCACTGACTGTCTCTTCTATTTAGAGAGATGGCCTCTTCCCGTCTCAAAGTGGCGAGACGCCCTCCCAGGACACCACTGGCATCCTCAATCAATGGAGTTGGCATCAGTCACCCCAGGTAACACCTGATTGAATCTGTTCCGCGGCTGGCCTGTCACTAATTATTTGCGCTCATCAGCTATCCGACCAACCTCATTCTCTGGCAAATGGCAACCTCGCCGACGTCGAGTCTCATACCCCTACACCTCACGAGCCTACTCTCCCCCCGACCCAGGTTAGCGCCGCCGTCGCAGAGTATGACAAGATCGACAGGGATCTCGAGATGCTCCAGCAGAAGCTTGAGCAGCTCATTCCGCAGCACCCAGAAACCCTGGAGGACTTTCAGACCACACGCAACAAGCTTCATGTCCTCAAGCAGAAGCTCCAAGGCCGGCTGAAGAACGGCGTCGCCGTCGCCCAAGGTCACAGCCAGGAGCCCGTCGAATCGGCCCCTGTCCACCCTGTCGTTGAAAAACAGCAGGTAACCAAAAGCGGGCATGGGGATGTACAGCTTAGCATTAAAGAGTTTGCATTGATGCTATTTGGCGGCTGGCGCAAATTCCTCAATCCTTCCCATCGAGGCCTGAAGGGTGCTGCGGCCTGGCTCACCAACAATCGCTATACTGATACCGTCGCCAGTGCCCCATCTCTCCACAGGCTGGACGATGAGACTGCTTCGGGGCAGGCAGGGTTGGACCTTCAATGTCTTTTGGAGTGGGTTTCCTCCCCCGACTTCAGTCCGACCTTCGCATGTATCTTCATGCCCTGCCACGTTCGGAGCAACACCGCAAAGGACCTCCGCAGACACCTGCTGAGTGACCACCAGGACCTGTTCCAGGGCAGTGGACTTCTGAGGCTGCAGAGTCAACTCAATGCTGAGGCCCTCGAAGTCTGCTTTGGAGGCCGTGTTCCGCCCTTTGCCCAGAAGCATATCAATGGGGTCTTCCACACTGCGCTTCTCAGCTCGCGAGGCCCGATGACTACTCCTTGCACCAGCCGCGAAGACGACGAGATGTCGCCTGTGACGATCGATACCTTCGGGATCCCATTGAAGGGATAGACCCCTCCTCGCCGTCGATGAAGCCCTGGACTCTTCTCAGAGCACGGAAAGATAGACAAGCCTCGGGCCCAAACCATAGAATCAATGTTCTTCTAAAGCCTGAACTATTTCTTGCTATCCTTGTTTCACACTCACTGAACAGCTACCGTTAGGCTCTGTGGCTAAGTAGTCGAACGGCATATCAAGAGTAATGAAGTCCTTACTATCTCATGCAAACATGGGGGAGATCAAGGGCGTGATGAGATCCCTGACAATGACACGAGATGTCCCATGTGAAGAGAGGACTGGCGTCTTCATGGGCTTAATCGGGACTTGTCAAGTGAGGGTCCTACCACCTGGAAGAGAAGACTTGATCTAACAATGCTTCTAAGAAGCTGATGACAGCAACGATAGGGGGAGTAAGAGGTGGAGTATGCGCCCATTGTTGTGTTTCACGAAGTCAGGCTCTCATGTCCCTGCTTACTCCCTTGTACTATACTCTAGGGCTGACACGGGCTTACACCTCTGTCGGTACCTAGCCCGTTTGAGGTATTGTGAGATTGGGTGAATCAATAGCGGGATGATAGGAAGTTGCCAGACCGGGAGTGCCAGAGCTCATTGGGCATGACCAGGGTTGAATCCTACATGTGGGATATGTGGAGTAATATGGCCCAACTCTTGCAGCCAACTGGCTTCTGATGCCAACTTGAACAGCCCCGGCCTTTCTAAAGGTTCAGGGCCAAGCTGGCAATCTTCACTTGCGGGGGCTCGAAAGGTGCAGAAACTATAACCCAGCTGTCCAAGTCGCGTCAACGAAGAAATCGAGCATGGAAACCGCTTTCAGCCTTCGATGGCAGGCATTTTTTCATGCACTGGCGACAAATCCATATGCGTGCCTCATAGCACTCTGCGTTTGTATCCTGTCGGCATGGGCTCTTCGACGCCGGCTGAGGGACACAAGCCACCCACCTAGCATGTGGGATCCCATACCATTCGTGTTCAACACCACTCAGTTCCTCGTTAATAATCACAAGTTTATGGCTCGGGCGAGGTACTTCTTCTCCTACTTCAACGTGCATCCGCGCTACCGTGTCCTATCCAGCAGCCTGTTCCTAACGTGTCAAGACAGGACAATACTCGAAAATGCAAGCATCACCAAGTTCTACTTGGGCCCGGTGCCCGTCTACCTCGTGTACGGGCGACAGAACATCGAAGCAATCTTCAGCCGCGGACTGGCCCACAAGATCGGACACGAGAGCATCATGGTACAGAAGGTCTTTCCTGTCCTGTACAGGATGAACAAGGAGGAAGTCGGGTGGTTTGTGAACGACAAGACAGGTCGCAAGCCCGTTCCGCGGGATCCCCACGAACCCAAGATCAACAGGACCCCAGCGCGGCGGTACTGGCTCGAGTACACAAACGTGCACACCAACTTCCTCGCGCGCGAAACCCACATACAGCCACTCGGCCGCGTCTTCGAGCGGCTTTTCTCCAAGACGCTCGAGGAGCAGTACCACGAGGGGCAGGGCGAATGGAGCGTCAAGGATCTATGCCGCCGCACCATCACGGGGTGTGCCGCTCGCACGCTTCTAGGCCCCCAGGTGTTCGAGCTCGAAAGGACAACAGGGGAGGACCTGATCGATGCATTCTGGAATCTAGATAAGCACGTGTTCCAGCTGGTCCTTGGATTCCCTCGATGGTTCAGCCCTGGGGCCCACAAGGCCCAGAGCCACTTTCTCGCCAAGATCGCCAGGTATGTCGATTCTGCGTGGGCTAAGTTTGACTGGGACGCGCCCGGTGCGTCCGAACTGCCCTGGGAGCCTTGTTTTGGGGCCCGAGTCTGTCGAGAGATCTGCGTGTGGCTACGGGAGGCCGGATTCAGAGACGAGGTTTCTGCTGGTGCATTGGGCACGCTCCTCTTTGCGTGAGTATCCGTGCCCATCAAGCCGTTCTTCTGTATATGTTGTGTAGCTGACACACGAGAAGTCAGAACACCAACTCCGTACCGACCATGATGTGGATGCTCATCGAAATAGCACAAGACAAGGATCTCCAACAGGCGATTCGGGAGGAAGTCTTGACAGCTCGCAGTGACGAAAGCACCGATGGATTGTTCGACTTGCAGAAATTGGCCAGACTTCCGCTACTGCAGTCTGTATTTTCTGAGACATTACGCCTGCACATGGATTTCAACCTCATCAGGCACGTCCATGAGGACGGGATTTCGATGGATCTCAATATCCGATCATCGACGGGCGCGACAACAGGGACTGCCCGTGTTGCCATCCCTCGCGACGCGATGCTCCAAGCGCCGATGGCGATAGCCCATTACGAAGAGGCCGCGTGGGCCGTACCGGGCCATCCGGCCTCAGAATTCTGGGCCGAGCGACACATCAAGTATGCCGACTCCGATGCGGCCGATGGATCCAAGGCGAACAAGAAGCGTGTGTACGCGTTGTCTGGCCGGCCAAGCTCGTTCTTTCCGTTCGGTATGTATTTCAGGTTTCTACCCTTGGCAGTCACTACTCGCCAGCTCCCATAGATTCAACCTCGTTTCGAGGCTTCAAGGTGTCATATGGCTGAAAACGTCGTTACAGGTGGCGGCGAAACTATCTGTCCAGGTCGCCATCTCGCCAAGCATCAGATATTTATTGTATGCGCGCTCATTGTGTCGCAATATGAGCTGGAATGCGCTGGCTGGGTGACTAACGGCGGGAGAACTTCAAGCAGACCGGGTCAGAACGACAGAAAGTTCGCCGGGGCGGGTGCATTACCGCCGGACAGAGACATGAAGATCCGCTGGAGGAAGATACAACAGGGATCTACAACACCGAGATAAGACCACAGCTCGATGGACTTGGGAACAACCTAATGGTAAGGGTGTAATCACGGAGGAAAGTTAGTATAGTATAAGCCCCTATAAAGTAACCTTCTTACTAAGCCCCTTATATATATAACTATTCCTCTTTTAATATTAACCTTAAAGTTACTTATTAAAGGTTAAAGTTATTATTATTTTTTTTAATAAATAGTTAAGTTAAATAAAGAGAAGTTTATATTATTATTATTATATTTATAAATAATTATCTTTTATTATAAATAATAAATTAATAATTTTATTATTAATTAAAAATATATATTTATTAACTATTATAATAATCTTTAAATTCTTTATTAATTAAATTATTAATAATATTAAGAATACTATTTTTTATTAAATATATTTATATAAACTTTTATTAATAATAAAAACTATTTTAATTTTATTAAATCTATTAATTAAACTTTTATTAAATTTATTAATTAAGTTTATTATTAATTAAATTAATATTAAATATACTTTAAATTAAAATAAACTTAAATAAATAAAAATTATATAATTAATAATAAAGTTTATAATTAAATAATAATATATTTTAAATATATATATAATATTACCCTTAGAAATTTAAAAGGTATTATTTAAACTTATATAATTATAAATAAAATAATTTATAAAGTTATTAAAAGATTATAAATTTAAAAATCTTTTAAATATAATAAATTAATTATAATAAAAATTTATTTAAAAGATTTATTAATATTTTATTAAAAAGTAGTTTTTAATTATAAATAATTAAATGATTTAAAATAAAATATAATATTAAAAAAATAATATAAATAATTTATAATATTTTAATATACTTTAATATATTATATACTAATAAAATTAACTTAATTAAAAACTTAAAAAAACTTTATATTAATAATTAATTATTAATTAAATATAAGTTAACTTTAAAGTATAAAATTTAAAAATAAAATAATTTATAATAATATCCTTTAAAAAATTATATTAAATAAAAATTAATACCTAATATTAATAGAAGTCTTTTAATAATATTATTATAATTAATAAAAAAATATTAAAAATATATTAACTTATAAATATTATTATATTTAATTAAAAACTTTAATAATTTAAATTAAACCTTAAAATTAATAATATATTATTATTTTTATTAAAACTTTAATTCTTTTAATTATTTAATAAATTTAAAAATATTAATAATACTTTAAATAATAATATATTAATTATAACTATTTAATTAAATAAACTTATAAAAATTAATATAATTATAATTACTTTAAAAACTTATAAATTTATTATAAAATAAAAATAATTAATTAAATCTTTATAATAATAAAATAATAATTTTTTAAAGTTTATAAAAACCTTTTAATTATTATAATATAAAATAATATAAAAGAATAATTAAAAATAATTTAATAATAATTTAAACTTAAAAATATTAAAAATATAAAATTAATAACCTATAAATTCTAATAAATATATAAAAAAGATTATATAAATAATTATTTAATAAATTTATAATAAATTTATTATATTATAGTAAATTTACTATAAATTTATAATAAAATTACTATTTTTAATAAATTTATTATAAATTTATAAATGTATAGTAAATTTATTATATATTAATTACCCCCCCTTTTAGAAATAAGGTCTACTTTTATATAGATAGTAGAGTAGGTAATACTAATTATAAGTAGAAGGCTCTACTTAGGTGCCTATTATTTAGCTATAATAGTAGTTTCTAATTTATTATATATTGTTATAATAGGGTAAAGTAGTTTATATAATTATATTTATAGATTAGTTAAAGTAGTTTATAATAGTAGTTTTATTTATAAAATTATTATAAATATAAATAGCTTTTAGCTTTTAACTAAATAAGGGGTATAAAATAAAGCTAATTAAAGGTTATAATAAGTAATATAATAAGAAGTTAAAGGGTATATTTAATTTTAATAGTAATAAAGTAATATTAGTTTACTATATATAATAGTAAAGTATTATATTATAATTATAACTTAAATTTAATTATAGTAATTAGTTAAGTTAATAATATTTTTTAGAAATTATTAATCGCTTTATTAGTAGTAGTAGTAGTAATTTAGTTAACCTCTATTTTATAAAGTGTATAATATTTAATTATATTATAGTTCTTAAAATATTTAATTAGTTTAGTAATATAGTAATAAAGGGTATTAATATAGTTAATAATAATAATAAAGGTATACTTAATATATTAAATCTTAAAAGTAGTTTAATTATTAAGTATATTATTAAATAAATACTTTATTAATAATATTAAAATTATAGTTTATATGAGTAATATAATAAAGATAAAGTTAATAAATAGAGAGTTAATAAAGTAGTTTTAATTAAACTTATAAATTTAATTAATAACCTTATAAAAATTAATAATATAATTAGTTAATATATATATAGTTAGGTTATTATAAATATAAAGTATAATTATAGGAATATATTAATTTTATATAGTTAGGATAATTTTAATAATAATAAGTTTATAATAGTTAATAGTTTATTAAATTATATTAAATTTAAAATATTTATTTAACTTTTATTAATAAATTAATTATAGAAGTTCATTATATTTTAATAATAGTTTTATTCTTTTATAGTAGTAGTGAGAGTAGTTAGGTTACTTTTATTAAATATAATAAGAATAATAATCTATTAAGTTTAAATTATAAAAAAGTTACTCTTAAATTTAAACTTAAATAAAGTATTATATATAAAGTAGCTGTGATTATTATCTTTAATAAGGTTAATAATATTTTATATATAGTATTTATAGTTAGTTAGAGTAAGCTTAAAGTAGTTTATTATTTAAGTTAAGGTTTTATATTAAGGAGATAAAGTAGTTATAGTATTAACTTTTTAATAAAGTTAATTATAATCTATTTATTAATTTTAATATTTATAACTTAATTATTAATAAAGTCTTTATTAATTTTAATAATATAAATAAAGGTTATAATAAAGAATTAAATAATAGTAGCTTTTAATAAATATAAAGATTTAATTTTAATTATTAATAAACTATTTATAAATATTATAAGTTTAAAATACTATCTTATTAAAAGTTAATATATAGAAGTATAAGTATAATATATCTTATAGGAAAGGTTTAAAGGTAGGTTATAAAAATAAAAGTTTAGTAGATTAAAGTTTATTTTATTTATATATATATATTTCTAAATATTAAATATAATTAATTTAAAGTTTATAAGTTTTTACTTTTATTTAAATATTTTATTTAATAATTAGTTATAGTATAATAAGTTATTATAGTTAATTTAAGTTAAAATAAAGAAATAAATAAGGTAGATTTAAGTATTTATTTATAAAATAAGTTTATTAATAGAGTAAAATAATAAAAATTATAAAAATATAGATATTATACTTAATTTTATAGATTAATAAGCTATTATATTCTTTATTATAAAGGGTTTATTAAAAAGTTATATAGTTATTATTATAGTAAGAAAGTAATATATTATATTTAGTAAAGGTAGTATAGATATAATTAGTAATAACTATCTCTTTATTATATAGGTAGATAGTTTAATAGTATTTTAAAAGTAAAAGCTTCTCTATCTTATATAAGTTAGTTACTTAATAGTAATACTTAATAGTTTTATTTTATTATAAAAAAGTTAGTTTAAGTTTTAATTTATTAGGTATAAAACTATATAAAAGTTAAGTATAGTTAAGGTATTTACTAATAATACTCTTTAAATAGTAAGAAAATAGATATAGTTAAAGTAGTTATAAGTATAATTATAAAGTATAGATAACTAATAGATAGGTAGATAATAATAGAAGTGTAATTAAGTTTATAAATATATAGTGTTTTATAGGAAGTAAATAGTGATTATTATTATAATATTAATAAGTAAAGTTTTTATAATAAATTTATATATTATTTTTATTTTAAAGTCTAACTATATTAAAATATTAATAGTTTATTCTATATAAAGTTTATATTATTTATTTTTAATAAATTTATTTAAGCTATTTAATTTATTATTAAGTTATATTATATTAATTATTTTAATAATTATATTAATAATAGTATAATTATACTTTATTTTCTATTATAATATTATTTTAAACTATTTTTTATAAGGTAGCTTTAATACTTTATTTAATTTAAAAGGGTATAATTTTTATTTTTATTAATAAATAACTATATAAAGCCTTTATTTATTATTATTTATTTTAAATTCTTTAATTAAATAGTTTATATTTAAATATTCTTTAAGTATCTATATATTATAATAATTAAAATAATCTATTTATTCAATTAAATATTTAGTAATTATTTTTTACTTTATTTTATAATCTTACTTTTGGATTATATAGTTAACTTTATAATATTTAAAAGCTTTTAAACTTTTATATTATTTTAATTTCTATCTTTTATTAAATAGTTAATTATAATTATATAAATTAAATAGTAAGAATATAACTAATATTAGCTATACTATAGATATTATAAAGTAGATATTTATATTAAATAATAATTTTAATTAATAAGCTAGCTTATCTACTTTATTTTAATTTTAAAGAGTTTTATATATTATTTTAAGAATTTATAAAGTAGTTTATTTAAGGTTATATTTATAGTTAAAGTTTAAATATATCTAGTTATTTAATTCTAATTATAGTTAATAATAGTTTTATTATAATACTATTTAATAAATATTTAAATTTAAATTATAGAAAGATTAGTTTCCTTTTAATAAATTTATTTAAATAAAATAAAAATAATATTATTTATTATTATAATTTTAAATAAATTAAAATTATATAAAATTTAATTTATAAAGTAATTAATTATCTTATTATAAATATTATTAAGATTAAATTATAATATTAAGAGTATATCTATTTATTTTAGTTTAGATTAATAGCTATTTATATATAAATTATAACCTTAATTATTTAGTTTTTAACTTTTA